CCCCTTCGGCATCCACTTCGCCGCCGGTGGGGGGGGTGGTTTTTTACTTGTTTGTTTATTTTTCTTTTACATTTTAAAACGAATCCCGCTTTTTTTGTCTTTTCGGTAACCCCCCCCCCCCAAGAGATGTTCTATTGACTAACATGTCTCCCCGCACGAGCAGATCCTGATCATGTACGGCTATCCACTTCCTTTCCTTGGTCTCATAAGTGCTTCTGTTGGAGATATGCTTGGTACAGTGTGAAAATTGGACCCAATTGACGATATGTGACTCGCAGGTACCCTCTGGACGTGCTCAAGACTCGAATGTAAGCAAGCCGCCGGTCGCAATAAACACGGACTTTATATGACACGGGCTAACGATATCCTCTTGCAGTCAGCTTCAGTCTGGACCCGCTGTTCCCGGTGCGGATTACTACAATGGCATGTTCGACTGCTTCCGTAAGATTGTCAAGAACGAGGGGTATGTCATCACTCCAGCGACGCAGCCACGGCTCTCTCTCTAACATGCGACACCGTATAAAGTGCTTCTCGTCTATACCGTGGTATTTCCGCGCCCATCCTGATGGAGGCGCCGAAGCGTGCGACCAAGTTCGCCGCCAACGACAGCTGGGGTGCTTTCTACCGCAACCTGTTCGGTGTGGACAAGCAGACCCAAGGACTGGCTACCCTGACCGGAGCCACAGCCGGAGCTACTGAAGCTTTTGTCGTGGTTCCTTTTGAGCTGGTGAAGATCCGTCTTCAGGACAAGGCACAGGCCCACAAGTACAACGGCATGATCGACGTTGTGAGAAAGATCGTGGCCGCAGAAGGCCCGCTGGCAATGTACAACGGCCTTGAGTCGACCATGTGGCGCCACATTCTGTGGAACGCCGGTTACTTCGGCTGTATCTTCCAGGTCCGCGCTCAGCTGCCCGCCGTCGAGCCCGGCAACAAGAACCAGCAGACTCGCAACGACCTGATTGCCGGTAGCATTGGTGGTATCGTCGGTACTGTCGTCAACACCCCAATGGATGTTGTTAAGTCCCGCATCCAGAACACTTCCAAGGTCCCCGGTCAGGTCGCCAAGTACAACTGGGCTTGGCCTGCTCTCGGTACTGTGATGAAGGAGGAGGGCTTCGCTGCTCTGTACAAGGGCTTCACGCCCAAGGTCCTGCGTCTCGGCCCTGGTGGTGGTATTTTGCTTGTTGTTTACACTAGTGTCATGGATTTCTTCCGCACCATGCGCGCTGAAAAATAAAATTTTCGTGCTTGTTGTGGTTGAATGTTTGATAGCGAAAGTATTTCCCAAAAGCAACATCCATGTGGACGGCCATTCCCCCCTGACCTTGACCCCTTTGCCCCGATACCCTCTTCCACTATCCTTTTCACCTTGGATTCAGAGTTGATAGAACATGTGGAGGAAGTTGTGGCTTTTGGTTTCTTGTCTTTCTATACTACCCTCTTGGCATTTTACAATAGAGAATGGCCATTAGATGGACATAAGAACAAAATAAAACAATAAATTCATGTGTTTACTCTATACATATTTACCTCCCACGATCAATCTAGCCCGGCCTCTGCGAAGGCTCCCACATCGCCTCCCTCATAAACTTGCTCCTCCTCCGAATCTCCGGGCCTTTCCAAACCAAAACAACAGGCACGACAGACAACGCAATCCCAATAAACCCAAGCAAAGTCCCCGCCCATCCATACCCGAGATTGGAGAACAACTGCGGCGAAGCAAGCGGCAAGAACGCACCAAAAGTATTCCTCCCAAGCGAAGCAGCCGACAAAGCCGATGCCGCATAACGCTCATAAGCATCAGTCAAATAATTAACAACAGCCATATAAATCGAATAGATCCCAATCCCTGTCGCCGTAACACCGATAGTCGGCACGATCCAATGAACATGCGGCTGACTAGCCCAGCCGTACCAGAACAAACCCGCCGCAAATAGCAGACTACCCGGGATAGATGTGTACAGTCTCGCCTCAGGGATAGGTTTCCCCGGGTTCTCTTTATTATGCCGCTCAGAGCGGAGATGAATCCAGTCCTGCAGCGGGTTGATGACTGTCCCGATGACCGCACCCACCGAGATGGCGAGCTGTATCAGGCCTGTTGACATCGTACCCCAGTTGTAGTTTGTGGAGTAGGTTTGCACGACGCTGGAAAAGAAGAGGAACAGGATCCCCCAGGCGAAACTTATCCATAAAGTGAAGAAGGTCACGACCGGCTCGGCTATGAGCATGTGTGTTGGGCGTTGGAAGGAGAGTCTCAAGAGATTGAGTTTGCTTGGGGCATCTAGTTCGGAAGAGGCGTAGATGGGGAGGTTTGTTTCTTTGCGGATCTTCTTTGCGCGCTTCTTAAGGATCACTTCTGGGCGGGTTTCTTTGAGTATTAGCCAAAAGACCGGGATCAAGGCTGCGTTGTAGATAATTTGGATGTAGAAGATCCTACGTGGGAGGTGGTCAGCATGATGGGATTTTGGAAATTGATATTCGGAAATGCAAGTTGTGCTTACCAACGCCATGGGTGTGATCTATGAATCTGCACAATAGAAGATCCAATAAATGGACCAAGTGAAATACCGACAACACTCGTAAATCCGAATATAGACATGGGCAGACTGCGAGCCTCGTTACCGAACCACACATCGGAGATACTTCCCCCGACAATATTAATCGCGGTGGAAGAAGCACCTCCACCGAAGAACCGAGTCACGATGAGTGTCGCGAAGTTCTTTGCGAACGCGGATGGGAAGAGCGAAATGACGAGGAGTATATACGCCACGAAGTATCCTGGCATGCGGCCGGAGGACTCTGTCAGAGGGACGAAAATCAGTGGCCAGAAGGCGGCGCCCATGTTCCAGGAAGTGGTGGCCCAGTAGAGGTTTGGGAAGGGGGTGTTTTGGACATTGAATTCTTGCTTCAACCAGTCGTTGCCGGAGCCGTAGCTTCCTGCGGGGATTCCTGTCAGGATGGAGCTGGTGAGGATGTTATTTTGATGCTTAAAATTATGTATTTTGTGTTGAGATGGCATTTCTTACATGAAGCAAACGGTAATCGTTATCACCCATTTGTATCTGAAGCTCCAATTGAAGGGATTCTCGGGGTCATCGGGCCCATCCCATGTGTGGATTTTGATATCTTTATCCTTATCAGACATCTCGGTTCAGTATTCTCAATTCTGTGAGGGAGTTAGTACTTTTGCTTTGTTAAGCGCTGCATCAAACATGAAGGATGAAGATGAAGTATGGGGATACTGACTTCCGGGCTTCTTCTATTACTTCGTAGCAACAGGCAATCCGGTGACAGGCTGTTCGGCCTGATAGACCGACGGGTCTCCTCGAATCCGCCATGACGAGATACATATTCAGGCATGACGTATGTTGACTAGTGGGTCATATAAGCTAGGAAACCAAAAAAAGGTGACCGACGTAGGGATCACCTTTAATCTTTTGATTAGTAGTTAAGCGCCTTGCCGTCGGGCCAGCTGGCCGTGCTGTTACTTCGTGATGTTGCCCAATATGAGGCATTTGCACTCGTATCGACAGTTTTGTATAATGAGGAACATGGTTGTTTTGTTCAACGCTCTGATCTTTCTATGTGATATCACAGTTGAAATCGATCAACAGTCAGAATAAAGTTCTCACTGGGAAGCTGCCTAGTACAAAAATTAACTCAATCACGGATTATCTATGGAGCTTTATGGTTGACTTTTAGATCCTAGAAATCCTAAGGGCAGAGAAAACATAAGACATAGTTGTATTCAATGTAGAAAGAGTCTCGGAGGAAGGCTAAGCACAAAGATAAGGACACACTTGCGTCTCAGAAGACATATGTTGGGCATGTGAACATCTTTTCAAAGCTACATACGACTTGGGTTCCTATTTCCTCAGCTGTTCCAACTCAAGCTCCGCTTTGTGCAGCTGCTTGAGGCTATCGTTGTAGTACTCAGCCAGTGTCGCATACGACACTTTGGCTGCTTCGGCCTCATTCTTCATTCTCTGGATTTCTTGGGATTGCTTGGAGTTGGCCCGACGAAGGTTCACATTCTCCGCTTGTAGCAGCTGAAGACTGGTCTTGCCCGATTTAGGGTCAATATTGGTCGCCTTCCGCAAATTACGTTGGTAGTAGTTGCGTTCTCTAGCCAAGGTCTGAATTCGAGCGCGCGCGTTCTCAAGCTCGCGAGAGTTCATCGAGGAGATAGGAGGAGCAATTGTTGCAACAGGTGCGAATGGTGAAACGTGTTGGGCATAGCCCTTCTGGTTCGTCAACGCTTGCGGAAGCTGCACGGCGCGAGGATTGGGGCTAGGAATGGCGCTTGCCTGTGAAAGACAGTCAGGACATATTTCTAATGAAATGGTCAATCATAAATAAGAACTTACAATCACATTTGTCGCGGCATTCGAAGGTGTAGTTGTAGCTGCAGGAGCTCGGGGAGGGCAAGGAGTCGACGAGGTGGGACTGGGAGTCTCAACAATCTCGACACTCTCGACATTCGCGACAGACTGGGTGCCAGGAGAGTTGAACAGAGAGTCGGGCGAGTCCATAGTCTGGAGGCCTTGGCTGGCTGTCTCCTCTTCCATGATCTGAGGAGTAGAGGGTGGCACGCCAGCATTGACCAAATTGGCCTGGGCGATGAGGTTCTCCCAACTTCGGACCTTGGAGGCGTCAGTGTCCTCCGAGGTGTATGCAATACCGATCGAGGGGTCGTATGGCATCTGCCTGTAGGGTGCCTGGGCAGGGATGTTGCTGGATAGTGGTTGGGTAAAGCAGTTGACAGATGTGGCTGAACTGGACTGTCCAAAACCAGACTGATCGAGGTCATCGAGAGGAATACTGGCGAAAAATTCATCGAAACTGCACAAGAGCTCGGGGATTTGATAATGCTCGAAGTCATTAGAAGCATTAGAAGATACATTGGCATCGAGACTGGTGAGGCTATTGAGAAAGGCCTCGGGGTCGAAAGCAGGCTGGTCAAGCCCAAAGTCAGGCTGGTCAAGCCCAAAGCCAGGCTGGTTGGGGTCAATTAGAGCCATTGTAATTAGAAATGAGCATTAAGTTTATAAATATTGAAGAGGGTAGGGAAAACAAGAAGATGTTGTGGAGGGATCAAAGAGGAGGGATGGTAATAACCGAGGAGGGAATTAGGGCTCATAGACAGGCAAAATGGAAGCAAACAAGAACAAAGAAAGTGACATTTCTATTGTCTTACACCAAACAATGGAGTCCAATAGGGATCAATACAGCTCAATAGAGACGACAAATACATACTTGTTTGACTACATCGGTATGTTTTTTTTTCTGCCGGCCAATCAATTATTCTGCTGGAGATTTAACTTATTTTTGGCCAATAATATGTTAACTCCGAGCACCGCTGGACGTACCGCCCAATCTAGTTCAGGGACTAGAGATAGAGTAAGTTTGACAACACGAAGAATTCACACAAGATATTGTTCAATTGTATAAAATTAGACAAATTTCTAGAGCAGAGTTATTAGCTTATCTATAAAATCATTAACGGATCTTGTTAGACAAGCAATAATGCGTAACTAGTTCTTTGCACCTTTTTGACCGCCTGCCCTTTCAGCTTCACCGCCTTTTTACCGCCCTCGCCTTATCGCCTTATCGTCACACAGCGACACCGCTTTGCTCACGTGGATCTATAATCACGTGGTGGTAATGGCAGTAAACGGGACTCCATCCTACGTTCGGTCTGGGCCGTCTCGCCTTGACAGCTCCCGTAACGCCTCAAGGGACTCCAGAGGTACCCAGAACGAGGCCACGAAGATCAATTACTTCCCCGCTACATTCATTTGAACCCAACTAAGGCGAATATGAGTGTCATTCTATGCACCGGTAAGTGGAATATCATAAGAAGCTCCCCGCATTCTTCTAGGCATTAAGCTAATTACCTTGGTTGCATATTTTAGCGGGGTACGACCATACCATTCGGTAAGTTGGCACTTAGTTAGCTGCGTGCAGTGTTTATCCAGCACCCACAGAGCGATAATTCATACCGGGACTCTTGCTGACTATTTCTCTGCTAGCTTTTGGGAAGCGCTCTCGGGTATCTGTTCACGTACAATCCAGCATCCAGACTCCCAAGTCAATCGTCTTTGCATCACCCCGGATAAGAGATTCCTGGCTGCTGCGGGTCATAACAATGTCAAACTCTTTGACATCAAGTCAACCAATCCTAACCCCGTGATTACCTTCGAAGGTCACACAAGCAACATCACCGGCGTGGCATTCCACTGCGAGGGAAAATGGATGGTTACCAGCTCCGAGGACGGAACTGTAAAAGTCTGGGACACCCGTACCGGTAGCTTGCAGCGAAACTACGTTCATCGGGCTCCGGTCAATGATGTGGTCATTCATCCTAACCAGGGCGAGCTCATCAGCGGTGACCACGCCGGTATGGTTCGTGTCTGGGATTTGGGCGAGAGTGTCTGTACTCATCAATTGATTCCGGAGGAGGACACTGCGGTTCTCAGTGTCAGCGTTGCCAGTGATGGATCCTTGCTTTGCGCTGGAAACAAGAAGGTGCGTGATTTTGTTTCACGGCAGATATTATGATTCTTTACTAATACCTCAACAGGGCAACGTCTACTTGTGGCGCATGGTCCAAACTGAGGAAACCACCCGAATCATCCCCGTCTGTACCTTCCAAGCGCATAAGGACTATCTCACTCGTGTTCTCCTCTCTCCCGATGTCAAGCATCTTGCAACTTGCTCTGCGGATCATACTGCCAAGGTTTGGAACCTCGACGCTGAATTTCCACCTGCCAAACTGGCATTACAGCAATGGAAGGAGAATGAGGCATTGAACCCGACAGTTGAAGCAGCACCGGTGGAAGCTCCGGTAACCCCTGTCGAGGTTCCCGCCCAATCTCGGGATCTGCTTCGCATTTTCGACGCACCCGTCCAAGACCGTGATCTCCTCCGTATTACCGACAACCCTCCTCGCCAAGAGACACCGCAACAGACATTCACCTCATCCCCCGACGGGCCTCCTATGGATCCAGTCAACCACACACTGTTCCTAGAGACCACCCTCGCCAATCACCAGCGCTGGGTTTGGGACTGCGCTTTCTCTGCAGACAGTGCATACCTCGTGACTGTCTCCAGTGATCACTACGCCCGTCTGTGGGAGCTCGGCACTGGCAACATCATCCGCCAGTACAGCGGCCATCATCGAGGTTCCGTTTGTGTTGCTTTAAATGACTATTCGGAGCCTCGCTAGGGGCAAGATGCAAGGTTGAGTTATCTCAACTAACTGGCGTTTTGCTTTCATGATTGATGGGTCTTTACTGGCGTTGACATTATTATGGGTAATCTACACATGGCATGGCGCAAGCAATGATGGGTGTTTCCCAATTTTTCCTGGTTACATAGCGTATTTCGGCTGGTCAATGGAGACCTTTGTCGTTGAATTGTTCTGCAGACATTTTTACTTACCATAGTTTCATCCCACAGAGGATCCTGCATAGTCTTGAGATACCACTAACAATTCCAATATCTATGCCAAGTTTTCTTTCTCCGCACTATGTATACATACTGGGTAACATCCATGGATGTCCCATAGACATTTGCAAGGCTATCCAATTTCTCGAAGAATACCAGCAAGTCTAAACTAGAAGAAACATAACACCACGCTTAGACCGAACTCAAATCAAATGACACGAGAAAGAGAAGAGCAGATCTGAACATACCCAGAGCACTAAAAACACATGTTCAAGTACATGAAAAAGAAAGATGAAGCCCGTGATACAAAGCCGATAAGGAGTTCAAGGAACTTCTCACAGACAAAGTCACGACCTCCGCTTATGGACTTTTATGCCATCCATGGATATGCTCATCATAGAACAGGCCAAAAAAAAAATCAGGCCCGTCCTTATACGACGGCAAACCATGTCACACAAACAACAACATCAATCCCGCGCTCCTCAGCACCAGTGTACTTGAAAGTCCACATGCCATCGCGGTTGACATCCCAAAAGGCCCCGGAGGCGGAATGCATACCACGCTTACCGGCATTGCTGAGTGCGCCACCCTCGGCGATGGACGGGTCAATCACGCCCTGCTGCACGATTGTGCTGTTCACGGTGAAGCGGTAGGGAGGAGGCTTGGAGGCATCGGTAGGTGCGGTAGCGGAGATCAGGGCCTTAAGGACGGTGTTCTGCGCGGGGAATTGTTAGTATCGCTATTGCGCGGTTGGGTGTTAGTGCTTACGATAATCTGGGAGTTCCAGGTTCCGACATTGTCATGCTCGTAGCTCTGGCTTGTCTTGAGGGCATCCGAACAGGCCTAGAGTAAAATGTTAGCGCGGGGTTGATTCTACGGGGTATTCTGGGGAACGGCCGTACCTCGGTGGTGATCTTAGTGAGATCCTCAATAGGGATGGGCTGGAGGGTTGTTAGGACCGTTTGTGACAATGTAATGGCAGTGCGTATTCTTGCAGCCTAGTTGCGGATTGATATGTCGCGGGCTGTGGTGTCATCTGCGATTAACGTACCGATGCTGAGGCTTCGACAGACATTGTGAATTAATTGAACGCGGCAGGTAGGTTTGAATGTTTGAGGGCGCTATATAGAGAATTTTGTTAGTATACAAGCAGATTGACTCAAACTTTGACGCGTGTAGACACTCCATTGGGCTGACATCATGGCCTAAATACCACGGGGTATGCGCGCGACCCCGAAGCAATGCGGGGAGAAGGGGCGCATTTAGGGACGAATTGGTGCGGATAGTCTCTTTCAAACAGGGTAGATATATTCACATACCTTTATTGGGTCTGGATAGCAGATATGATTATGCTTGTGGGATGCTTAGAGGACTCTCCTTGCAATCTACGTGGATTGTTTGGATGCTTGGCTATCATTGGGGCGCTTGGCCTAAAGGGGTTTGGCGCATGTTTGATTCTGCCACGACGGTGTGGGAGTATAAACATCACGGTTTTATTAACTTCAGGTATGTTATGGTCTGATATAGGGAAATATATTCAATGCTGCTCAATTGAGTGGTTTAAAATTTGATCAGGGGTGCAATTAATATCAAACCCCTGGGAAGACATATGGGAGCAGAAGAAGACATCAGGCTAGATAATAACGCCCTCGGAGGATATATAGTTCTTGTGAGCACCTTCAAAAACAACCTGACCCGGGTTCAGCATTCTTTTGCTAGCAAATGGTACACTATTGAGTGAGTTCTAATCAAGTAGCTGGTGATCATGGCAGTATCTTCAAATTGAACGGACCTTAGTTCCAAGCCAGGTATCGGGAAATTCGCGTAGGAGTTTTGGGTTATTCTGGACTAGCTATTTCCAATAATCATCTTATGCCAAATTGGTCAGAAAACAATATGGAACAAAATGACGAAAGAGAACAAGAAGTAACTTGGTATGCCCAATAAAACGCCCATTCAATCTTACTCAAATAGAACCTTCACTGAAATAAACAGAATGAGAATCAATTACTATCTCCAAAAGATACCAGTGCTTTATTTAGCTAACACCTGTTTCACTCTCTAGCAGATTCCTTTATTTCCAGGCTTATTGTTTCCCCTTAAATAGTGGTATCCTTTGTACTCGTCCTTTACTTAGAGTTTATTCAAACAATGGTATTTATGGACCTTCTCTGTCCTCAGTCTGTGATATCGGAGATATAAAGCCAGGTACTAGATAGCGTCTGCAAATCCAGTTTAATTGACGAGTTGGTGAGTATTATTCGAGGCCTTTTCTCCTAACTATCTCTTAGCCCCTAACCCATAATGCCTAGATACTTTCCATGGGAAGAAAAAGGACGAAGCCTACGAAGATGGATTGAACGTGAACATGAGCCCGGGTGCCCTTACCCTAGATCCACATTCGCTGTGACATATGATCCCCAACCCCAGAATTATTCTGTCACCCACGAAGCTGTATGGTGGGATTCAGCATGGGATACCTGCATCTACCCTTTTGATCTACCAGATGAGCTTAACAAGATAGAAATCCATAATCGACAAGGTCCACCGGTGGGCTGGGAGGGACGCACTGGACAAGGGGTGGTCTTCCTTGACTGGATCCGTCGATCAAGGCGAAGCACCGCTCCACATATATCAGAATTAACTAAGGCTGCCTATGAGATGGATTTTTCGCTTAACAGTCTTGAATATGTATTCGTTACTTCTATTTTTGAAACTGACACGGTACAGTGTGTTCGTGATGAAGTGTATAGAACCGAGGGGATTGAGTACCCTTCTAGTGAACACCGGATCTGGACTCCCTCGTGCGAGTTTGATGCCCTGCTGGGTACTGCAATTGGTAAGACGGTTGCAGCTTTTGTTCTGTGTGCGTGGGGCCAAGGCAGAAAACGAATTGCTAGGATCGTTACTTTCCATGATGGTGAATACCTTCAACGCCTGAACATGCGGTTTGATATTGAAGATGTATGATAGGCATCCCTTGATCTTGGTATAGGTGACTACTTGCGGTTTCTATCGTTTTTGATATAGGCTTGCTAGTATGATGATTGCATTCTTCAGACCGATAGATTTAGGTGAGTCGGTAGTATGAAAGAGATTAGAACTCTCAAGTTGTTACAATGCAAGTGCCATTTATACTAGATTTCACTTGCAGAAAATCACATATTAGTGCATAAATATGTAGTCGAGTATTCTGTGTCGGCGAAGACTGGGTGCAAAAGCAGTACAGTAGAAACCCCATTTGATCACCTTGGGACAACAACTTGTTCCCATATCGGGAGAATCGGCATCCCGTATTGGGCATATCGGAGGAAGATCCGAGCAATATGACGTCACCGTCCCCGGTTTATTAAATTATGTAAACACGCACATCAACCTTGGTTGGAATCAGGGGTCCCTCATCCCACCTTGTATCTACGAAGGGCATCGGATTACAACACCATCTTCACCGAAATGATCCCTCGTCGGGCACTGAAGCCATACGCGGCTGAATTTCTCGGGACTGCTCTGCTAATCGTTATCGGGGATGGAGTTGTCGCCCAATGTCTGCTCTCCGACTACAACTACGGCACCTGGCTGTCTATCAACCTCGCCTGGGCTGCTGCCGTGTGTCTATCCGGCTATTTATCCGATCCCGGCCCGACCATCAACCCGGCCGTGACTCTTTGCCTTGCCCTTGTACGTCCATCTGAAGGGCAATGGAAACAAATCCCAGGCAAGCTGGCTGCGCAGTTCCTGGGCGGGTTTGTCGGAGCTGCCATCGTATATATCAACTACCGTTCGGCGATTAAAGCTTGGGATCCTGAATACACCATTCCCGGCGGATCAATCCTGAGCCCGGTCGGTCACCATTCAGCGGGCATCTTCTCGACCTACCCAGGTGCCTTCTTCCAGTCGAACTGGGAGGCTGTCTTTTCTGAGATGCTGGGCTCAGCTGTGCTGATGTTCGGCCTTCTCAGCATATCCGATCCTGGAAATGCCCGTCGATTTCCTGCTCCCCAGATCGCTGTCTTTCTGCTGCTGCTCATGATCGGAGCAGCATTGGGCTGGCAGACCGGTTATGTATGTTCCCAGGTTATCAGGTTAGGAAATCGTACTAATAAAACCAGGCCATTAACCCAGCCAGAGATTTTGGCCCGAGATTGTTCTCTGCTATCGTCTATGGCCGAGAGGTGTTTACGGCGGCCAACTACTATTTCGTTGTTCCCCTCTTCGCCCCTATTGTTGGCTGCGTTTTAGGCGCGGCGACTTACGACGGGATGCTGTTCGAGGGAGAGGGGTCGCGTATTGCCGATGCGCTAGATGAAGCCGAGGATCACGGATCTCTTCGACTGCAGTGATATTTGGGCATTGAAGACTTAATGCAATGGTAGACTCGCTAGTGTGGGATTAACGAGGATTATCATTATTAGACACGGAATGAGGTTAGATGAGAGCAAGAGGATAATATTACCCTTAAGCATCAATACAGATGGGTCTGACCAGGGGAGTAGGTAATTCACGATCTTTCAACAACCAAATGTAGTTCCAACATCAGATTTTTCACAACATCGATTCCCGTCGTTTTTCGTTGCCAGCCACTCTCGAACTTTGCCGGTAACCCGTAATCATTTCGGAACTAACATCGTTTCCTCCACAAACAACAATTACAACTCGACTATCCGGTGTTAGGTCTGTCATGACTTCCCTTAGCCTATCTAACCCAACTTGGACACTGATTCCGCAAGCCAGCTCGACCTCCAACCGCAGCTCATCACACAAACGCACAACTCCCCTCGCAGCATCGGCGTCGGTACCCACAATACTAGTGACTTTGATACCGGGCGGAGGAGATTGAGCGTTCTTCAGTGTTTGCTGTGCCACGCAGAGTGCCCCTAGGGTGATTGCCTGCGATGTTATTGCAGGTAGAGGGTGTAAGTAACCCTTGTGTAGCGAATGAGCCAGCGAATCCGCGCCGGATGTTTCAACGGCGAGGATTTGAAGTTTCTTCGCCGCTTGCTGGGGAAGTGTTGCCGGTTGAGGCACTGGCAAATGCCTCTCAAGGCCGTCGATAATCCCATTCAAAAGACCACCACCACCAACGCTGCAAACGATTGCATCTGCTGGGAACGGACAACAGGTATCGGTTTTTCCGTGGTGCCTTGGAGGTAACTGCTTGACTAGCTCATCAACCAGAGTCCCTGCACCGCGCCAGATGTCAGGGTGATCGAATGGTGGAATATAAATGTTCCTGGTCAAGGGATCTGATTTGCTGTCCTCATTTTCGATGAAATTCTTTCGCAGGTACGAGTCAGCCTCGAACCAACTGGCGCCATGGCGGATAACATCCGAAGCTCCTGCAGCGCGTATTTTTTGGATCATCATTGGCTTCGCGCTAACGGGCACAACAACAGTACAGGAACAACCGAGATCTCGAGCGGCTATAACTGCTGCGAGCCCCGCATTGCCTGCCGAGGAGCTGAAAAAATGCAGGGTTTTGCCATTGTTTGATGGATCAGAAAGAGATGTGAGGATCAAGTTTCCAATTCCCCTGAACTAGTTTAGATTCTGTATCAAATTCCTTTTTGGATTGTCGAACTCACCGTGATTTGAACGAGCCAGAAGGTTGGAGCGACTCCAATTTGAGGAAAATTTTACTACATTGACATTTTTAGTCAGCTCAGAAATTTGATTAGGGAAAATAAAAACGCAGTCGTACCATCCGGCAGCCTTTGAGAATGTTGCCGACTCGATCAAAGGCGTTTCAATCCAGGGTTTCTTCAATTTGTGTTCTGAATCGGAATGCGCCATTGTCAATCAATTCGAGACAATATGTAAGAATAGTGAAAACCTTTCCGTCTAAAACATCCGAGAAGTATATACACTTGGCTAGGACCAGCAATTTATATTGGGGATGTTAGAAAACTTTCGGTGCCATCGGACCCGAACTTGCCGACGCCCTTCATTTGACATTGGCCGGTGTGGAGTGTGAAAAAATGCCAAGGCCGTGATGCCTGAATTATCAGGAATTACAGGAATTGTCAGGCATCAAGATCGGAGATATGGATGTATAAATGTATTCACAACATTTGCTGTCCTTCTTGTCAGCCACGAGAAAAACGATCTTGCAATAAGAGCGATACGGGGGACATGGTTAGTCTGTCAAGTGATTTACCCTCCTAGCTGACAATTGTTACCTCATTCTCACGGTTCAACTTTTCCCATCCCAGTCCCCAGAAGGGTAGCTGTCCCTTGGCTCATCCACAGTTTGCAGTTTCTGTCACTTTCGATGCAATGTTGCTAGCATCTTGATTGAATTTCCTGAATGATAGGGTTGATAAGTTGGTAGTATGAAAAGGTAGGTAGGTCGATATGTAAACCAGAATCGTATTTTTAAACTTCAGGAACTTATATTGATTTCTAGAGTGGGGAGGTTTGTGCTATTTTTATATGGAGAGTATAAATCGTACCCTCCTGTTAATAGGCTCTGAAGGCGGTGTTACTTCGTTATGCTCGAGAAATTGAAGTTATCAGCAATAATGCTTCGGAGGTCGGCTATAGAGTATTTTTCTAGTAAACTTTGATACGAGAAAGATCAAAGCACATGTTATGCTACAATCATAGACGCCAATCAACAATCTAACGATTCCCTTGGACCACTGCATCTATCGCACGAGCTGTCCGCTCAATATTATTATTGTTTAGCCCAGCAACATTGATCCGGCCGCTCACCGGGAGATGCACGTGGTAGTTGTCATTGAGGGCATTGCACTGTGCGGGGGTGATCGCGAGGCACCTGGTCAACGGTCAGTTATGGCGACTCGTTTTGGGGGAGAGGACAAGATGTACGAAAAGAGCCCCTTCTCCTCCACAATATGTTTCCAATCGCCTGGTGTCTGTAAAGTATATTATGTTAGCGCCTGTAATCTTGATAGGGACACAAGGGAAGACAACCTACTTGCAAAATCGTAGACAGTTCTTTGTATAGTCGTTGTCTGTTCTGAATTAACCTTGCTCTCATGGACGCGAGTTCATCAACCCTTTATAGAAAATCAATCATCAGTGAGTAGAAATAACGACCATTCACTAGCAAGTCCCTTACCATTGCTGACGCAGCTCGGGATCCTCTAGCACGATCGTAACCAACCGCGACCCGTACGCTGGCGATGAGGAGTATTCGCGCCGTATTAGGCTCCGCAGCTGGTCTTTGGTATTGGTCGCAGCCTCGACTGACCGTGTGACTACATGAAGAACTCCGCAGCGCTCGCCGTACAGAGCGAAATTCTTGGAGAATGATTGGCATACGATCATGTCGATACCGAGACGTGATAGTATCCGAACGCCTGCTGCGTCCTCATCCAATCCATCACCGAGTCCCTGGTAGGCGATATCGATGAAAGCTAGGTGACCCCGTGCTTTTATCTCCTCTCCGAACCGCTGCCACTGATCCAATGTGATGTCTTTGCCAGTCGGGTTGTGGCAACAGCCCTGTAGAACAAATACACTCCCTGTAGGAGCACTCCTGATTGCGTCGATGCAGGGCTGGAAGGAGAGTTCGGATGTCTCACGGTCTAGGTATGGGTACTCGATGGTCTCTAAGCCGGCATACTCACAGAGCGGCTTCATGTTGTTCCAGGTAGGCACTCCGAGGTAGATGGCTGGCTTTGGATCCAGTAGTCTAGCTATGAGGACAGCAGCGGTATGGTTGGCTCCTGTACCCGAGAGAGTTTGTACGGATGCGATCTAGTTTGGGAAATTAATATATGGTGATCCAAATATTCTGTGGAGACGAACCCGCCCCGATACCAACGCTTCATTTTCTTGGCCAAACATGACTTCCGCTGCGAGCTTGAGGAATCGATCATCCCCAGTAGTGAGTCCATACTAAATTATTGGTTAGTGGTGCGGTTTGGGATCTTTGATATATGCGGAATATTACATCATGCCCCAACTCGAGTTGCTCCAGTATTTTCTTTGCCTATGGGTACCTCTCGTTAATAACCGTCTCATCATCTTTGTCTTGATTTGGCATGATTACCCTTTTTACGACAGCCAACTCCTGGTAGGTCCCTTGCTCGCTTCGGTATATGCCTACCCCTATGTCAACCTTGTCTGGGTGGTCATCTTCATCGGCCTTTTTCTTCAGATGAAAAAAAGGGTCTGCGGGACCCGGGGGTATATTGTCAAACATCTTTTTTTTTCGATCGAATGAAGTTTGGAGAGGGAAATGGAAGGCAAGACTCGTATCAGACTCTTGCTACTCCGCGTTTCTTGCGCAGAATTTCTCACCTAAATACATAACCCCAACATCTCTCCGGCATACTAACCCGATATTTTTGAAGGTGAACTTGGTGTAATTTCTCACAGAGTCGGCAGCCTACCCGATCTTGTTCTTGTTACGGCACGGCAGCTCAGGAGCCGACCCGGAAAAAGAAGGGTACGGCCTGCACTAACCGGTCCCGATAAACATCTATAGATCCTGGTCAGTACAAAAGGAGTCAGCGGATTGGATTTGCCTGTGTCAAGATATCTCGACTCCTCTCAAAGCATTTACAAGTTGTCAAATCGAATTACTTCTACTTCGACTTTTATTTTGTTCATTATGGGTTCCAGCTACACCAATAACCTGCTGCAGAAAACGGCGAAGGGCCAAATCTGCAAGGCAAGTCTAATTTCCAGTGACCGCTGTGTGATAATTATCTGTCTGCTAACTGGTGATAATAGGCATTCGGTATCCGGCTAGTCACCAACCCCCAAGTGGTCCAGTTGGCGGCGAACAGTGGATACGATGCGCTCTTTATCGACCTAGAACACTCGACGCTATCTCTCAATGATGCAAGTCTGCTGTGTATGGCGGGCCTGGGTTCAGGTATCACACCCTTTGTCCGCGTCCCCTACCAGTGTGGCGACGGCTTCGTGCAGCGCGTCTTGGATGGCGGTGCCATGGGAGTCATCTTTCCCCATATTCATAACAAAGGTAAGAAACATACCCTGATTTTCTTTCTTTTACTAATTTTCGCTTCCACAGATGATGCCCTAAGCGCAGTGTCCATTTGCAAATATCCACCTACGGGGAAGAGGTCTATGACAGGCCAGCTGCCATATTTCCGGCTTCAGTCGACGCCGGTCGGTGTTTTCACCCAGGAGAATAACTCCAATGCATCGTCTGTTTTTGTGATGATTGAGACCCGGGAGAGCATCGATAATGTGGACGAGATTGCTTCCGTGGATGGGATAGATGTGCTGCTGATCGGCTCGAACGATTTATCTACGGAACTTGGGGTCCCTGCACAGTTCAAGAGCGATGGATTTCAGTCGGCTGTGGAGGCCGTGAGTCGGGCCTGCAAGAAACATGGCAAGACATTCGGTCTTGCTGGTATCTACGAGAATGAAGAGCTGCATGACTGGGCTTTGAATAAGCTCGGAGCCGGTTTCATTCTGGTACAGCAAGACTCTGGCATCTTGGCCCGAGCTGGGAAGGATTGTGCAAACGCTATTACATTGCTCACTGGTCGTTAGTATTCTGAGCTGTATCTGTATTTTCTGCTAGTGGTCTTCCTTGCCTGGTAGCAGCCATTGTGTAGTCATTTCATACCATTCTGTCTCATCTACACATGGTGATATCTACTACCAGGGTTGAAAATGAATTCAATGCAGCTTATACCCTTGCTTAAGCCAGAGAAGTCTTCCAAAATGCGCTAAGCATACACAGTAGAATCAAATAAGAAGAGTTTAGTATGTCCGGTATCCCTCTAGCCACAATGAGGGTCGAGTAGGCCAAAGCTAACGCCGAGCTCGTTCGCAAACTGCTGCAAGGTAGTTCCATCAGGAAATGCATTCGACGGCCAGGTGAAAGACTTCTCGGCCAAGAAGCCGTCAATATAAGGATTGGCCAGCGCGTCAAGATTGTCCTCGAGCCTGAAATTTTCGATCCCAACACCTCCAACGTCATTATTCTGTGCAGCCCAGCCAACCTCGTCTAACTGTGCCCTTTCATGGCCTGTGCCTGCGATTTGAGGACTCTGCGCGGCGGTTGGGGGTCCACCATCTCTCCCTTTCCTGACTCCATCCCTCAGCTCGGCAATGCTTTTCTGCACAAGAAGAAGGCGTTCATAGTAGTCATTGGCGGGAACGTTACCATCATCACGCATGGAGCATAGCACACTGAGAGCAGTGTCAACAGCGTCAGAGACAGCCTGACTGGGGCTCATGACGGCGGACATGAGAAGAATCAGAGTAGAAGAGAAAAGGTAGTGCGCGTCCCAGTAGCCCAGAGTAGCCAATGTGCCGTCAACAAATAGCTTGGAAAGAATGCGGTTGGACGTACGCGCCGCATTTACGCAGCTATCAGCCAGCGCCGTCGTCGTCGGCGAGAAGCTCTGCGATGGCTGGTCTGCGGTGCGGGACCCATCCAGACAGAACTGCACGCGGAATAAGTGTAGTAAAATTGGTCGTGTTGTGTGGATTATGCACTGGTTGTAACAGAGGTGGAGACTGGCGACATGGCGGTTTGAATCGTCCCAGCGGAAAGCGAGGTGTTGAGGTAGCGTGTCATCCCAGTCTCGGAGGTTGCTTAGAATACCGTGGACCCTCTTCACGAAGTGGATCTTCTTTCGTCCTGGCATACAGTATATATCGCTCACTTATTTGTATTCGAGTGTTAGCCTGGTATGTCCCTGTGAATAGGAAGAATGGCTAGTTAGAGGAGAACTGCTTACATATGTCTCCTGCTATCTTCGCAAGGCCAACGCTCGCGAATAAGTGGCGTGGATCTGGAAATTCTTCCTTCTCTTCAGGTGTTAACCCATCCATCGTCGGGAGCTCCACGTCGATGTCATCGTCATTCACAGCCGTTGGTTGGCCGAGCTTCGAGCAAGTAAGCCGATCAAAAAGGTAAAGAGACCACCATATGCGGCGCCGGGACTCCCGCTCGACAGCACTGGTATGTAGAGACGATGATGATCGATGCATGCCAAGGCTTAGCGCGATTCTCATCCCAATACCTGAATATGTGTAGGCAGATCTAACGCGACCGAGTGCATTCGAGTAACAGGCCTGCCGAAATTAGGTATATTTCATAGAGACGCGACAATATCCAGTGACTAACCAGTAAAAGATAAACCTCGACATGTAGAGTTGTGGTATCTTCATATTGATCATGTAACATACTCAAAGCAGATACAAAATATTCCTCCCCTGGCGCCCTATTGTCACCGTTACTGCGCCGCCTATTCGAGTACAACTCACCAAGAGCGACCAATGCTAACAACTTACACAACCATATAGAGCTAGGTTCGGCATCTTTTTTGTAGACACTGTCGACCTCCTCCATATACGAATTTAAATAGAGATGCTGGCCATTTCCGATGAACCTCGCGGCCACCTGGATCAGGAGCTTGGCGTGGACTCGGTCGGGTAGGGTATAGTTAATGGCGGGCATACGTGCTCCAGGAAGGTCTATCATGTACTTGTGCGGTGGCGGGAGTGAGTTGGCTTCTCTCTGGCTGAGCGACTGCAGAAGCCTCTCGATAAAGGCATCGCATGCCGCTTCACCAACGAAGGACGGTTCCGTTACGATCTGAGTGGGTGGCTTCTCCCGGCGTGCATCGAACAACGGGTTTACGACACCGAGGTCTGATACTGCTGATGTTATCGTCGAGTCAAGTAGCTGGTCGACGTCAATGGGACTCCTCGGCTGGCTGCGGGCAGATTCATTTTGATGTCTGAGAACATTCGAGGCGGCCTCCAATTGTTTCAGGTAGCTTTATGGCACTCTTAGATAAGATATAATCGCGTACAGACCAGCTGCTGGGAGGAAATTACCTACCTCTCAGATATTGTGACTTTTCGCTCTCGAAAAGGATAGTTACAAGCACTCGCCTGGCCAGCGGTCAAGCAGGCACTGCATGGGGTACCTCCAGAGCACTTGACCTTCTGGGCATGACATCTCCGGCATCTGAGGGCAATTGATTCAGCTTGAACATCTCAAATGACAAGAGTGGGTCATGGGTGTTTGCTCACGCAACCGAGCTCCTCTTTGTCCGTTTCGCGCGTCTTTGCGACTCGCCAGACGACTCCGCACGATCCATAGAAGGCTAGGTCAAGCTAAAGCGGAAGTACTTGTTAGAGCACGCTGAGCCGAAATTATCTGAGTATCCAGGATCCAGAGGGTGGATATCGGCAGCAAGGCTCAAAGCCTCGGGATGTTCTAGCACAAGCCGGGTCTTATCTGTGGGGATTGTTTCTGTCTCCGTCCATATATAGCTAGACACTTCATGATTGGAGATATCTGGCGACGCTACTATTTTCCCCACAAAATTTGAGGATTCTCATTTGCGCATCGGATTGAAGGTTATCGGGAGCTCCTCCGAAAAATAGGAAAATCGGCAGAAAAATCCCAGAGTCACATGAACAGTCACCTGAGCGGTCTGTAAACAATGTGTAAACAATATGTAAAATAACAGTATCAATCTGAGTTTTGAAGGGGTGTATGTATTGAGGGCCAAAATACTATGTGTGTTGTATTCTACATATTCTACTGCTGACTTGGTCAATAGTATGACTTCCAATACTATTCTAACCTCCATAGTGCAATATGATATTACGTATCATTTATTATAGACAGGACATCAATTGTAAAGGACACCTGTTGCCTGACATGGCAATAGCACATGGAATATGAGACACTTATCAAAAGCTGCTAGACAGCGCTTTTCAACCCATCCAGTCCAGCTCCCTGGCATACCAGCTTATTCCGAATCTCTGTGGTTCGACACATACTCTAGATATTATACCTGAAATACACGTCCCAGTCTCCCATCTCGGGTTGACGGGGGAGTGGAGAACCGGCCGCCTCTGCCGCACGAATTGCTGCCTCTCTCCTTCTGTTCACGATCTTCATGCCCACCATCAGAGCTATGGCAATTACAATGGCCAGGACACTGAACCCGAGACAAATTGAAAGGCCTTTCTTATAGTAGGGCTTGGTATCGGAGGTAAAAATTTGCCCAACTACCACGCCGGCCGTATTGGCCAGAGTCAGCGTGAAGCCGACCATGCTGGACCGCTTATAAAAGCCTGCGACGTTGTCTTGTAGCCACATCATCGACAGCGCTGCGGCTGGATATAGGCCGAATGCGGTCACTGTTCGAGTGTTAGTCTTTTCCTTAATCGCAAGGGACAATTAAGATCGATATGGCTCACAGAAACAAGCGAAGAAGCGCACATTCAGATTCTCAACTGAAACCAGCAAGGTGAGCCCGATAAGAATTAAACCCGCAGGGCCAGCCATGAACGGTCCCCGCATACCGTAACGGTCTGAAGCGAAGGCGATGACAAGGAAGAACGCAAGAGCCGATATATAGATGGGAACGGTCATCAGATTGGCATGAATAGAGGTGTAACCGAGGCCAGAAATAATAGTAGGGAGAAAGGTAGTGAAGCCAAACTGTGTGAGGTTGATGGAGAACTGGTAGACAAAGAAGGCATAAAACTTCACATCGGCGAAAACTTTACCAAGCTCAACCCACGAGAACTTCTCATCGAAGGCCCAATGGGGGTCATTGTCGTAGCGTGCCCGGACGATGCGTTTTTCCTCATCGGTCAGGAACCAGGCGTCAACAGGGGTTTTCGGGAACACGAAGTAGAAGATGGGAACTAGAATGATGGTGATGGCTGCTTCCACTGAGAACAGCCACCTCCAACCTTCGAAGCCGTTGGGTCCATCAATCTGTGTCAGTCCATATGCTAGCAGACCACCAAAAGCGCTGGCAAGGCAGCTGAAGGTGTAGAATAAGGACATGCGTCGCCCTCTTTCGGTCCGATTGTAAACCAGGGCCATGTAAACCTCACTTGCGGGGATGAGACCTGCTTCAAACAGCCCCATCAGTAAACGGCAGACGTAGAGCCCTTTGTAGTTTGTAATAAATGCTGTTCCGTGTGTCAGAAAGGATTTTGCTGGCTTCGGGGATGTGTTTCATTCATACCCATTCCCAGTGTGGAAGAACCCCAACAAAAGGCGGAGGCCGAAATAAGGACTTTCGGGCCAACACTCTTGACTAACACCGAAATCGGGGCTTCGAAGGGAACATAAGTAGCATATCTACGTCTCCGTTAGAGACGTCGCAGTAGGATGCTAGCAATATGGGGTAGTACAGTAGTGTGGTAGCGGTGCCAAATTGGTTCCCAACGAGGCCGATAGCCTCGGGCATGCCAGCGATTTGTGCATTGCCTAGATTGCTCCGATCCAGTATAGCCATCATGTAGAAAAAGCCGAGTGGGATGACGGCAAAGAACTGAATGGAAGATTATCAGTATCATGCCCTCTCTCCATTCTACTCATGGCGTCTTGAACAAGGTACTCAGCCAAACTCACGTCAAACTTGCGCAACATTTTGCTTTCGGCCTTGCGATCATAGGTCTCAATTGTGATACCAAGCTCATGGTCATCGCAATTCGAGGCCTCCTTGGTCATCTTGGCAGACTTGAGCATGTCCAACTCTGTCTCGGGCTCCGTCATGATATTGCTCGACTTTGAAGTGAGCTAGGTCTTAAGTGAATATAGAATTCGGAAGTGAAAGTTCAACACACTTCCCAGTGAGATGGGGAATGCCTGGCTACCTCAGTCCATTTATCCTATATTTACCTAAGTGTCATACAATTTGTGGGTATGGCTTATCTGCATCCTGGGGTTAGTGGACGCCACCAGTACCTATCATGGGGGAAAGCGGATCGGCATTGCAGCGTATTACCGATTTAACAAGGTTTGGCTGCTCCTCAGCCGACTAAAATAGCTGATTGAGTCCCCCGGCTGAGTCCCCCGCCCATACGCTTATCTCCCAAGTCCCGCGGCCGCTAGCTGCACTTCCCGACATTCGGCAAATCTAACCCTAAGCCGGTCTATATCGGCCTGGACATCTGCATGCCGTGACTATTAAACGGCGAATATTTCCATGCAAGTCTGTAAATCATCACGGATCTAGTTATTTGAATCAGAAAAGAAGGAGAACAAGAGCAGCAACAAAATGGCATCCAAGGGAATTCTGATCGCCATTGACAGAGGGGGCACTTTCACAGACGCCTGGGCTCAAATACCTGGCCGCGAGGAAAATGTCATTCTCAAAGTACTATCTGAGTCTCCCGACGAGTACAGCGACGCACCAACGGAATGTATACGACAGGTTCTGGAAATCGCAACAGGAGCCAGCATCCCCCGCGGGACTCTGCTAGACCTGGAATGCGTCGAATCAATTCGCATGGGCACCACAGTTGCCACAAATGCACTTCTGGAGAGGAAGGGCGAGAGAGTCGCCTTCATCACCACCAAGGGCTTCCGGGAAGCTCTCAAAATTGGAAATCAGGCCCGCCCAGACCTATTCGATCTCACCGTGAAACGTTTGGACAAGTTATACGAAACCGTTATCGAGGTAGATGAGCGTGTGACCATCGAAGGATGGGGCGAAAATCCAGAACCAACTATCATCGACATTAGTGCCGATGTTGACCTGCGGGAAGGTATCACAGGGGAGGCCGTGAGGATTCTCAAAGGCCCAAACCTCGATGCAGTCCGTCTCGATCTGAAGCGTCTCTGGGACCAGGGATTCCGTGATGTTGCGGTTGCCCTCATGCATTCATACATGTTCCCCGATCACGAACTTGCCGTCGCAGATCTCGCCAAAGGAATGGGCTTCAACGTTGCTGTGTCCTCCAAACTTTCATCCATGGCAAAGCTGATCCCGCGGAGTCAGTCGGCTGTCGCTGATGCTTACCTTACGCCTGTCACGACACGTTATCTCGAGAGTTTCCGAAAAGGCTTCAAGGGCCTGCTCGAAGACAAAAACGGAAACAAACTATTCCTCAATCAGTCAGACGGCGGTCTGACTAACTTCAAAAATTTTGCTGGCCTGCGCGGTGTCCTCAGTGGACCCGCTGGCGGTGTCGTCGGCGTCTCAAGGACTTGCTATGACCCCAGTGACGCAACACCATTGCTCGGATTTGACAGTAAGCTCTCTTCTCTGTCATATCATGAGGATGATTTATGGAACTAACAATATAAATTAGTGGGTGGCACTAGTACGGACGTGGCCCGATACTCAGGCGAGCTTGAACATGTGTTCGAGAGCACACTCGCGGAGATTTCTATCCAGACACCCCAGCTCGATATCAATACTGTCGCTGCAGGTGGTGGTTCCATTTTGTCCTGGGAGAATGGTCTCTTCAAGGTCGGCCCGGAGAGCGCTGGTGCCAACCCTGGGCCAGCCTGCTATGGAAAGGGAGGACCTTTGACTGTGACAGATGCCAACCTCTTCCTCGGTCGGATTATCAAGGAATCATTCCCCAAGCCTCTCAACACGGACATAGTCACTACTATGTTCCTGGATGTAACGGCCACCATCAACGAGGAAAAAGATGGCGACTCTCTCCTAACACCGGAGGAGGTGGCTTGTGGCTTTTTGTCCATCGCGAATGCAACTATGACACGACCAATCCGGACTCTAAGTGAAGGACGTGGCTATGAGACTGCCAACCACAACCTGGCTTGCTTCGGTGGTGCTGGTGGCCAACACGCAGTCTTCGTGGCCCGAGATCTCGGTATTCGTCGCGCCATCATTCCGCGGTACTCCAGCATCCTCTCTGCATACGGTATGGCTCTTGCCGACGTGACTGTCGAAAACCAAGAGCCCGAGTCCCTGATTTACCACCCTGATATTATGCCAAGGGTAGAGTCTCGCTTCAAGAAGCTTCGGTCACAAGGCGAGCAAGGCCTAGCTGCCCAAGGTTTCGGCCTGGAGTCCATTGAGCATGAGATGTATCTAAACATGCGGTACCGGGGAAGTGACACGATGTTGATGATCCGACAACCAGATGATCTTGCAGAATTTGGAGCAGCATTTACCCGTCGACACGAGCAGGAATTTGGCTTCTCCCAGCAGCGCGATATCCTGGTCGATGACGTCCGTGTTCGCAGTGTTGGCAAGGCTAAAGACGTCCACACCTCAAACCCTTTCGCTGAGCTCCTGAAGCTCGAGTCGTTGTCTTCCCCTGAGTTTAGCGAGCAGTCCATTTCAAAGGTCTATTTCGAGAACGAGGGGTGGGTCGATACTCCCATGTATGACCTTACCCAGCTGCCGACCGGTGCTCGGGTCCATGGCCCAGCCATGATCATCGACAAGACTCAGACAATTGTGGTCGACAGCAACAGCAAGGCTATCAAGCTCCCCGAGCACATCATTCTCGAGATCACTGATAGCGAGCGTAAGCCTGCTAGTACGGAGGCCATCGATCCAATTCTTCTCAGCGTCTTTAGCCATCGGCTGATGAGTGTGGCCGAGCAAATGGGCAACGCAATGCAAAAGACATCCATCTCGGTAAATATCAAGGAGCGACTTGACTACTCTTGTGCCGTCTTCAGTGCCAGTGGAGGTCTTGTCGCCAACGCACCTCATATCCCGGGTCATCTCGGATCCATGGCCTCGGCAATCGCATACCAAGCCAAGCGGTACAAGCCAGGCGAGCTCAAGCCTGGTGATGTGATCCTGAGTAACCATCCGATAGCGGGTGGAACTCATCTGCCGGATATCACTTGCATCACGCCCGTGTTTGACAACGACGAAAACCCGACAAAGATTCTCTTCTATGTGGGCAATCGTGGCCATCATGCTGACATCGGCGGTATCATCCCCGGGTCAATGCCGCCCAACTCGACGGAGTTATGGCAGGAGGGAGCGTCGTTCGAGTCGTTCAAGATGATCAAAGAGGGTGTTTTTGATGAGGAAGGGCTGATCGACATATTGTACAACGAGCCCGCTAAGTATCCCGGCTGCAGCGGCACACGTACCCTCAAAGACAATATCGCCGACCTGAAGGCCGCTGTGGCGTCCAATCAGAGGGGCATTCAACTCATTCGCTCACTTGTTAATGAGTATACTTGGCCTGTCGTCGAGTTTTATATGAATGCGATTCAAGAAAACGCTTCTCAGTCGGTGCGGGAGCTGCTCAAGGTCTTCTCGGAACGGTTTGAGGGTGCCGACCTTGAGGCCATCGACTACACCGACGACGGTACGCCATTGGTACTGCGTATTTCCATCAATTCGGAGACCGGAGAGGCCATTTTCGATTTTACAGGCACCGGACCTGAGCACCACGGTAATCTCAACTGCCCGCCAGCCTGCATGTACTCTGCCATTCTTGTAAGTCTTCACACACCTTCTCCCTCTTTCTTTCTTCCTCCCCCGTGTCAAATTTTCATGACAGCTTGCGGACACTACTAACACTGACCCAGTACTGCCTCCGTTGCATGATCTCCTCCGACATACCACTCAACCAGGGCTGTCTGCAACCCATCAATATTGTCTGCCCGAAGGGCACACTCCTGACACCATCCTTCACAGCAGCAACAGTCGGGTCGACAGGCGAGACGACAAACCGCGTCATCGACCTCATCTTCAAGGCGTTCCACACAGCCGCTGCATCGCAGGGAACATGTAACAACCTGACCTTCGGGTACGGAGGCAAAGATGCCGTGACCGGCGAGATTCTCAAGGGATTCGGATACTATGAGACGATTGCCGGAGGAGCGGGAGCCGGCGCCGACTGGGAAGGCGAGAGTGGTGTGCACACAGGTGTGACAAATACCCGCATTGGTGACCCCGAGATTTTCGAGAGACAGTATCCAGTGATCCTTCGAGAATTCTCCATTCGGAAGGGCAGTGGTGGAGCCGGGTTGCATCGTGGAGGTGATGGCTGCGTTCGCGACATTGAGTTCCGCATCCCCGTCCAGGTCTCGATTCTCTCAGAAAGACGTGTCAATGCACCATATGGCCTTGCTGGTGGGTGTGAAGGCATGCGCGGTGTTAATATATGGGTCAGACATGATCCTATCACTGGGGAGGTGCGCCATGTTGGCATGAGCGGCAAATCATCGGCTGATATGCGTGCGGGAGATCGCATCATTGTCAACACCCCTGGTGGTGGTGGTTATGGCAGAGACCCCATGATGAGGGAACCGAAGAAACCGAAGGGGGAGTTCAGAGCGCACGAGAACTTCCTCAGGAATCCGGCTTTGTTTAGGGCATCAGGAAGTCTCGCGAATAGGCAGGCGCTCGCCGCATCCAATTAGAGGATAGTTGCAAATTGAGTGTAAATAATATAATATGGTATCAGATTTGACGAATTCACTAAACTTCAAAGCACCTGCGCAAGGACCAACATGACAAAGATCAGTAAATCGGGACAGACATAGATTACACGTATTTCTTTACAGTCAGTCATACAAAATGATAATGGCAAGGAATCCACAATGTTCCATCTATGAGAAATCCCGCCGGCCATCAGCCTCGAGCTCGCTGCGAGCCTGAATAGATCTATCAATGACGCCATCAGGCACAGACCATCTACCAGAGGTATGGTCATGGCATTCCACTGGGCAAACGATGAGATGGGTGTTGATGTCCTGGAAAATCAGCTACTAGAAATCTTTCAGTCCAACAGATACACTGCAGTTAAAGTCTGTATACAAGGGTGTGGTTGGAACAAAACAGATTGAGGCACTTGAACAAAGCCATCAATGTCACATCTCTTTCTATTTCCATCCAAAGTATTCTCCATGTTGATGGATGGGTAGGTGAATAACAAATAGGATGGTGGCTGCACTTCAATGGAACCAGGTGAAAACTGAACGATATGTGAGGTGCTGTGTAATGTGTGCTTAAAGGTTAAAGCTCTCATTTCACTATTGGATTCAATCCACCAATCAACTGGGCTTGTGGTTTAGTGGTATAATACTCCCTTAGCATGGGAGTGGTCCGGGGTTCGATTCCCCGCGAGTCCAGATATTTTTATTTTTATTTAGTCTTTTTATTTTGCTCCGACATTGGCCAAAGCCTTGTCATACTAAACTATTTCTTATTTGCATGTCGAGAGACGCCTACAGGAAGGACGATATCAATGTGCATGGTAACATGCGAAGAGTTGATTGTTGCTAAGACTCAAATTTCACGGAACCATCCAATCCGAACACCTCCCCATGAACAATTGTGGCAAACCACCCACAAACACAGCCCCTAGTTGGTGAGATGCTGCTCTACTCCACAGGTGGGTCTTCAGTGACTGCACGGGGAGCGGGAGCGGGAGCGGGAGTGGGAGCTGGAGCTGATTTGTCCAGAGCTAAGTAAGCCGGGTTGCGGAAGCAGTTCGCACTGGAATGACCGGCTTGACGTTGATGAAACTGGCAAAAGTATGGCAGGTGATTCCCTTTGTTCAAGCTAAATGAATGAGCTTGATTGAGAGCGTGGAGGCGACGTTCCTCAAAAACGACAAAGTCTGTGAAGGTTGACTCGATGGTTGTATCGGTGGAGACTTTCGAACTGAGGAAGCCGTCGAGCCACTCATGCGCAGCTGGGTTGGTGCTCACAGCGTTCAAGAAATGGTAAAAGATGAGGAGAGGCGTGAGCTTTGTCGAATTGCACTCTTGGAGCTCGCCGAGGGCGAGACGCCACTCATTGACGAAAGCTTGAGGTCTGTTTGAAGTGTATGTGGTGTTGATAAACTTGAGGAAATTGGCGAAACCAGCTTCGTAAGACCGGGCTGCGAACGCGCGGTGGAGGTTGGCATATGCGGTACGCGCGTTATTGGCATCGAGAATATAGAACTTGGCCGTGTGGTGGACAGTGGCATTCAGTAACGGAAGGAGGTAACGACTGGCTGTATCCCACTGGGTACGATCCTCGACTTCAGCCGGGGTAGGCTGTGTGGGGTCAACTGCGCTGGGTTCACTCCACGCGCCGGTGAGAAGCGCGTAATAACGAGTGTCGCGCGAGTCGAGGGTCCACTTGAGTGAAGTAGTCCACGTAGAGAAATTAGACTCTCCAACAAGTGCTGGAACAAGTTCGACAAAAGACGGCTCGGCAAAGCTAACGGAAGCCATCTTTGTGATGATGTTGACAAAAGGAGGGTTGGGAGTGAATGGGTGAAAACACAGTATTGATAAAACAAGAAGGGAAGTTTGATTGATAAAATTGCCTGGGGGCGAAATTAGGACTGGTGGAAGTTCTGGGCTGTTTGTGACAGCTGCAACAAAATTCGGGCAAACAAAGGTCATGATACAGAAGGAGCTATTAGACCCTCATCACTTGTCAGATAACATAATATTACTACAAAACAGAGAGTATCAAAGTGCATATGTAGTGACTCTCTTGTCATTGAAGCTGAAGACATGGAAATATCTACTCCTACCGCACTATTCCTCGGCGTCTAACGTACATAAGCTCTATTGAATCATCACTGCATAGAATTGGCACTCCTCTGTTGCAAATCAAGACCGAATATTCATATCACAGCAACTGGATCCGCATTGCAATACAGCCTGCCTTAGAGTGCACAATGCTGGACTTGGTAGATAAACAGATTGGAAAAGCTCGAAATTGGTGTTTTCATAGAAAATGTAGCGATATTAAATATTTGTGACGATACCCTCCCTCATAGTTTGAAGTCTCTTACATTATATGTCAAATTGATATGACTGCACCACCTACAGTCGGTCTTGACCACACTAGGTTCGTATATCCACTTCTATATTGACGATAACCTCGAGTACCATGGGACGACCATCTTGGGTTGATTCTTATGGCCACTTTAGAATTAACGTCAAAACAAGAAAGCAGAACCTTATATTCATATATGACACGCTAAATTATGGCCACTAAAGCAAATCATACCATTTATCGAGCTTTGGAAGCAGGGGGGGGGGGCTTGTTTGAGCTGTGAAGGCCCCCGAAAGCCTACGGACTGAGGAATTCTTTCTCGGTGACTTTGGTATAGTGCCCAGGTCGTGATTCCTGGTATGATCAAGATCCAATGCCTAATCAAGAGTATGCCCTCGATTCAATCATTACACGCTTTCGTCCAGATATTGACTCAATTGAGCGACAACATGTGAATGCGATCATGTCCAAAGTATTTATTTACTGCCCAGAGAAACTTCTGACGGCAATACAACTTCTGCAGGTCCCCTCGTTCAGAGCTTTTATGGATAGATATGGTTGTTGATTCCTCCTTTCTCTTACTTCATGTTTGTCCTAATTCATATGTAACTCAGACGCGAATATCATGCCCTCGAGTCGAATCCTCCCTGTCTGAATTGTGCAATCGATGAGACAACCCGTTTCAAGTTAATTTAAGTCGTAGCTTTGACGACAGCACTGATGCTGCGAGCAGTGTAATCGATATTGAAGTCGTTGAGCCCACTAAGAAAAAGAAATGTCAGCTCACCGCCTATTCACAAAATATGCCGATCAAACATACGCGATAGATATTCTCCCAGAGTCCTGAAGATAAACATGGTGCTTCTCTCGGAGAATAGTGACTTGTTCCACGGACAGTCCAACATATCTAAAGAAGGTCAGTATCTTGAGTCTCCCTAGGTCCGATATTGGTAACACCTACGAAAACATTCCGTTCTGATCAGTGAGATGCCGCCAGCTACCTGGTGTTTCCAATTTCTCCAATCCTTCCCTTAGCGCAACTCGACGGCGCTTGAGTTCGTTCGCCATATCGCGCACTTCCTGCCGCCATTGGCGCTCCAAAGTCTCATCCGAGAGAATTGTTTCAACAATCTTGGACCCGAAATCGGGCGGTGCGCCGGACTCCGCTCGTGCGAGTAGTCTCAATTGCGTTTCTATGTTCTTCCCCACTTCTTCGCTTGGAACAAGAATCGAGAGAATTCCAACGCGCTCGCTGTAAAGCCCGAAGGATTTGCCGTATGTTGAGACGAAAACAAGCGGGATTTCTTGCTCGGCAAACAAACGAACACCGGCAAGATCCGTATCAATGTCTCCCGAGGCAAATCCGGGATATGCAGCATCGAAGAATGCCAAATGACCGCGCTGGGAGAAGATCGAGGCCAACTCTCGCCACTGATCCGGTGATGGATCACATCCAGTTGGATTCTGGGCACCGGACTGGAGAAGCACGACGGATTGAGCTGGCAACGATCTGATGGCCTCTGAAAACCTCTCAAAATCGAAATTGTTTGTCTTGCTGCTAAAATAAGGCAGAAGACTAGCCTTAATTCCCGCAGACGTGAATACGAAAGGATGATTCACTATGACCCGGTCAGAATTGCCTTCGTATAATGTCACTAGCGACAACTTACACCAGGAGTCGCTCGGAAGGAAAATCTCGGGGTTTCCATTCTCCTTCCACGGTCCATAATGATTTTTCAACAGCACTGCGCCGACATGGCATCCGCCACTTGCGCCGAGAGTCTGGGTTGAAACTATCCTGAGCGGGAAAGTCAGCCCTCGATCGTTTTTGAGAAAGCATATCGGTCTCCGTTTACCTTTTCTCCCGCAAAAGACGATGGTCAGGCCCAAAAAGCAAATTGGCGCTCAAGTCCCTATAAAGCTGGGAACCTAGAGCGGAAAGGCGATACTCATGATGCCAATCAGGATCATTGAAGATTCTGTTCTTTGCCTGTAACGAATATCAAAAATTTAGTGATCTGCTGAGGGTGGAAAGGTGAACTTTCAGACGTTATATATACCTCTTTCACACTCGGCAACACGTACGGCTTTCCCTCCTCCGTTTTATACACTCCCACAAGGAGATCAGTTCTGTTGGGATCGGTATCCTCTCGGAACTTCCCAACGAGAGCTGCGAGGCCATCTAGATGTGCGTTCTTAATTCGGGTTCATGGATGATGATGGATGTGTCAATCGTATTATTTACCAGTTCGGCCCGTTGGGACTTTTTGAAAAGGATCTTGGAACGTAGTTGCTGTTATGCTACCCATTTTGTTGCTGAGGATGAGCGGGAAAATGGGGATTACTGTTAGATATTATAGCTGCGGGGAAATAGGTGGCTTAGTGATATCTATCTAGTAGCACGTTACTGATAACACGCCATCATGTCGCAATATTAGAAATGTGTCAGATAGTCTATTGACACGGAGGGTATTTCTCTACCACGGACTATTACTATATATAATCAGCTTTCTTCTAACTACAACATACACAGAGTCAGAAAATAAGATAAAATTAGGTGGAACATGGCGTGCCCTCGCACTGACACAATATGGTGAAGGCATTGAGTGACAGACTAAGCCCGATAAGAAGACTTTATAAACCACCTAGGTGACTCCATGTTGTACGTACATATTTCCTCTGTCGGGTGAGATGCTGCCGCTTTTATGAGGGCGCTCAGAGTCAGGCCCACTGGGTAGATTTCAGTCCGGCTACGTAGTCCTAATACTGCTACCTTAAAGCCTATTACAGCTTTGTAAAAGCAAAAAGCAAAAAAGAATGGTCCCAGAGGGGGTCGAACCCTCGACATCTGCGTTATTAGCACAGCGCTCTAACCAACTGAGCTATGGAACCGCTTGATGTATGTACTTTCAACCTCTGGTAATATAAAGTACCCAAACTAACATGGCAAAGACAAGGCCACTAGGAGTATCGTACCCCTCTCTCCAAGGCGTCTGAGCGACCCTCGTTCTCACCCGGCGCTCACCTCTATCATTAGTAAGCAGCTCAATCGAACCTTGCAAGGTTGGAATGGATTGATAAGGTATTGCCACGCGAAGAGGCTGGACGCGCGTTGCTTATGTGTCAAGAATGGGATATGGCCCCTCTAGGCCCTAAACAGGAACCTTAATTTTTTTGTTATGGCCTAGTGGTAAATTACGCTGTACAAAATTCGACATTATGTTTTGAACGGGTTTAAGGCGTAGGCCACACCTAGCGCGTGAACTTGCTTAAACCTTCCATGTATTGTACTATCTTCGCAACCGCAGCATAGCCATTCGTTTTCACCGTTATGCACAGGCTCTTTACACAATCAGCCAGGTCCTTGAAGAGGTCATGTCTTTCCAAGAATTGGAACTCGGTTAACGATTTCTTCGAATACACAAGGGGACTAAATGTGTCAAATGAAGATCATGAACTGTCAATACGTCGGGTGAAGTTTGATATGAATGAGCTTGCGAGGCTTGCCGCTGATTCTGTTGGCTCAAGGGAATATGCTCATATCGAAAAATTCCCCGATGGCATGTTTAACAAAACATTCCTATTCACCATGGCAAATGGCGCTGAAGTGGTCGGAAAGGTGCCAAACCCCAATGCTGGACAGCCTCATTTTACGACAGCAAGTGAGGTCGCCACAATGGAATTTGTAAGGCGTCCTTGACTGTGTGGCTACCTGCTCTTTGATGATCACTAATCTTCGTAAGGTTCGCAATATTTTGGGTACTCCTGCTCCATGTGTTCTAGCCTGGAGTTCGAAAGCAGGCGAGAACGCTGTTGGTGCCGAATACATCATCATGGAAAAGGTTGGGCGTATCCAGCTAGGTCATGCCTGGGACAAGATGGGCATCGAAGATAGATTTGAAATTGTGAAAGCAATCGCAGGATACCAAACATCTTGGTTATCTACTTCCTCCACCAAATACGGGAGCCTTTCCTACTCATGTGACACCGACCATCAAAAAGAATGTGTTTTAATACTGATGTGACTGCAGTGTAGTGATGCGATGAAAGAGGGAGAGAGTTGTCAATTCCTGAAGGGCAGAATGCCCGACTATCTAGTTATGGGGGTTGGTGCCTGCCGGGCTGATGGTCAGGTGACCACCATGTCCAATAAATACAGAGCGATAGCACTCATGCCAAACAGCCTCATTTTGCCATTGGGCCATCGACAGGTCGAGATCAAGCTGATCATGGAATGGTATCGATTGATTTTGACCGCGGACCATGTGAGTCGTTATTTGAGATTACTTTACATTTGCTTCGCTCATATAGTATTCTATTATTTCTAGGGGATGATGCCCTTCAATATCGTCGCGCAGTGGGTTTCCGAGAGATGCACGCGCAAAATCTTGCAGGACCGAAGGATCCTCAATCCAAACCAGATTATTCTCCACCTTCAGATCTGCTGAGATAATGAATATGACTAGTAGGCACACATGCTTGGTGTCAAACGTTAGAATCTAAAACAGCAATATAACATTTTAGGTAGAGCTCTGCGCCACTGGAAAAGTGGATGGCTGAATTCCACAGGTATGGACTGTTGTGCAGCCATAAAATCAATAGCGAAATGCAGTAGAGCGTTTTTGGAGAATTAAATAAAAGAAGTGGAATATATATCGAGTGATAGACCAAGCCCGACAAAACCACTGTACACCTAGAATATGAGAACCTGTGAAAATGACGCCGAAAATGACAACTTTTGGCGCCAGAAACGGCCGTCTTTCCACCAACATTACTCGACGATCCATCAATTTTCTAACAAGAGAACGCTCCAGCCCATGCTGCGCATATTGTCCGAGACTATATTGCTTCTTTTCGGGAGATCATGATATAGCCCCCTTAACGTACTCTAGCTTTCAAGCTACTCCTATCAGGGTATATAGGATGCACTGCTATACGTTCTAACAAAAACGATGACGGCAGCGACGTTGCAGCAGCCAGAGCAAATGCATCCTTTCGGGCATAACCGTTCAGCTTACCCCTACTTGGGGGGAAATCCCAAAAATATTCCTATTGGATTATCTACACAGCTAGACTAGTAATGCTACGTAATTATTACTAAATTTGAACTCTCTAAGAACACAGACCGCTGGACGCCGTCAACAAAAGTTTGGATGATCACCATTTATCTTTTCAGGTGTTGATTGGTTCTGCATTTCGCTTTCTAAAATAAGTTTAGCTCTATGGGTCTCTTGTCAACCAATCCGACGCTCTCATTCAGACCTACTCTAGAAACAAACGCGTGGACCCCACTGGACAATGTGCTGCTACATAGTGGATACGACTAGAATTGAGGGATCTAAACAATTTTGGTAAATTAAGTATCACTAGCTTACTCGTGTGCTGGCCGGGAAAATATCAACATTGGGGGCTGTGACGATCTCATGGGCTATCCGGTAACTATAAATAATACTTGAATGCGACACCTGTGCTAGCATCTCATGAAATCACAACTATTCCTTCCCAATTCCTTCCTTTCCTACGACCGGTTTTCAATCATGGTACAATTATTGTTTGCCCCTTTGGTGAACGCCGCATCTGTATTGGCGGTCTTTGGCCTTATCTCCACCACATCAGCAACGTCCCCAGGGTACAATTGTAAGGCCGGACAGCCTTGTTGGCCATCGAACAAAGAATGGGAGAGTTTCAACAGCAGTCTGTCCGGAAACCTGCACCGCACGGTCCCCTTTGCCGCAAGCTGCTATTATAGTTCTCAATACTATGACCCTTCAGCCTGTGATATCGTCAAATCGAACTATTCAACAAACCAAGCACGAACCGACGTATACGGCGCAGCAACAGGACTCAACTGGGAAGGATGCCGGTCCCAAACATGTGCCCTGAATGCTTTGAATCCGGCTGAGGTCATTTCCGACAATTGCTACCTTGGCCGACTATCATCATTGTATGTCGATGCTAGGAAACCAAGCCATGTTGTTACCGCTGTGAAATTCGCCCGAAAACATCATCTTCGGATCACGATCAAGAACACAGGACATGACTACTTTGGACGCTCTACTAGTCCTGACACTCTTGCAATCTGGACTCACAATATGAACAATATGAAGTATCACAAAAACTTTACTGCATCCAATTGTCCTGCCTCGAACGGTCAACATATCGCAGAGATAGGATCCGGTGCTCAGGCGACGGACGTCTACACCTATTTCACAAAGTTCAACATGGATGTTACCGGTGGCAATGAAGGGTCGGTTGGCCTGGCTGGCGGCTTTGGTCAAGGAGGTGGCCACGGCGTCTTTGGTCCCAAGTATGGTCTGATGGTGGATAATGCGGTTGAATTCGAGGTCGTAACTGCAGACGGCAAATTGCGAGTAATCAATAAATGCAATGATCCCGAGCTCTTCTGGGCCATGCGAGGCGGAGGCGGAGGCTCCTTCGGCATTTTGACAAGCTATCGCTTTCAACTCCATCCAGCGGTCAAAATCAACGTGTATCAATTCGAGGGCAGCTTCACGACACACGGGAATGAAACTGCCAATTACGCTGCATTGAAACAGGTTCTCACGCAACACGCAACCTACCAACCTACCTGGTCTCATAACAACATCTCAGGACATGCTTACTACTGGCCAACCAAAGCTGAAATTTATCTTGTCCTGCCTTCGAACAACGAAACGGCTTTGAAAACTCTGACCAGGGGATTTTCCTCCTTTTTGGCGAATCAAACAAATATCCAGGTCACCAAGAGCAATTACACGACATATCCCAAATATACCGAATTCTTACAGATTACCGATGGGATCGCTGCCGAATACACACCGGGCGGAATCTTTGAAGCTGTTGCAGGTCGACTGATCCCGCGCTCATTATTTGAGAGCAAACGCAAAGTCGCAGACCTAGTCGATGCCGTCCTTCAAGGAGTTCGGCTCAGCAATAAGCTGCTCCCCGCAGGTGATTCCCTCACCCAAATCATCATGACCACGCCTGTAAATCACCAAAATGGCAACACGACAAGTGCCAATCCTGCCTGGCGCCCAGCTCTCTGGCATACTCTCATGACAGGTGGATGGACGAGTGAACTTGGTGTCCAAAACGAGACAAATCTGCTCGAGGCATGGTTGGATACTGTCGAGCCACTGAAACGTTTGACGCCTGGTGGAGGGTGCTATTTGAATGAAGGCCATTACTTGGAGCCGAAATGGCAAGAGACCTTTTTCGGATCGAATTATCCCGAGTTGCTTCGGATAAAGAAGAAGTACGATCCTACCCACTTCTTTGACTGCTGGAAATGTGTTGGCTGGAAGGGTCCCTCGGAGTAAGTTTCTTTTTGCATTTTATCGGCGAATCGAAGGCTGACATTGAAACGTGCGTAGTGCCTACTACTGCTACGAGTAGCTCAGATCTGGCATCTCACGGTTAATATATTGAGCTTGTTTTGATTACCAGTCTCTCATCCAGTTTTAGCCGCAGTAAGCTGAAGCTTCTTGAGAGCCCGTAGAGGGTCTATTGGCTTCCCGCAGGGACAGTGGAGAAAATCCGAGCTCGTGTAGAATTAGTAACTTATTCAGGGGATTCTGGTAGTGGAGCTTCATATGAGAAGAATAATATATACGATGATTGAGACAAGATAAAGCTGTGCAAGAGGAAAGAGGACTTAACTGAGATCCTTTATTGGAGTTGGGCTAAAGGACTTAGGCGTAGAAGGATGAAATGTCAAGGTGACCAGGACACGCTTTAAAATGCTCTGCATAGAAATGTTCTACCTTGTGTCGAAATCAAGTCGTAGACTAGCCCAAGGTTTTAGATGAAAAGGTCCATCTCGACAACTGCACCGATGGGCTGTGGTGGTGATGAAGAAGTAGAAAGAGAATTCGATGGATCCGGGCCAATGCTCTTACATCACGGTGTGACTTGGCTGATCTGATCGATGGATCTACCACGTGTGGCCCCTTGGGGCGCAGAGCCACCACGAGCTTGATATCTGTCAATATCTCGAGTCAAACCAATCAGGGACCGAGAAACCATAGTGCGCCAACTATAGTGTAGGTGCCCTAGAGTTGCTACTAGGGTATAGGGCCCGTGAGAGCAAAACCAACCGCGGACGACCTGTATCCGATGGTTTAGGATTGTATCTGACCGTATATTCACTTTAGACTGTTACTCGGTTAGAAAATTAACGTTCCATTCATTCCTATCTATCACCCGTTGTAGGCCTGATTAGACTAGTACTCTTTCTTTGGTCAATTGGCTTTGCAACACGAACGGGGTCGAGAGCGCTGTGATTGGTGCTGCATCTCGATTCCCCAAAGTGGACTAGCGCTATGGATCGGGAATCCCAAGTTCTTTGTTCAACCTCACGATACTCGGACAAGTAAACGTGTAGATCATGGTGATCAATTCATCGGTACCCCGCACGGAGCAATAACAAATAATTTTCTCTCAGCCTCTCACGGCATTTCCGATGGAGGCTGCTGTATCTTTGCAAATTTCGTTTGCATTTCATTCAGCCCGCTTCTTCCATGCTGCAGTCAAAGGCTGCATCAATAGCGCCTTACACGTCACTGCTGGATGAAATATTGATAATCAATACATTGTCAATCGACAACAAAAATGGCCCTTTCTCTTATTGTCACAGCGGCCCGCAATATGATTGACTGTGTTATAAGATATACCGGGCGCACAAGCAGAACAAGCTTTCGTGCGCTCCCCCGAATTGGGCATCTTCGATGCTGCGGGGCAGTGTAAAAAAAATCACCGCTACTGTAGTATATTACGCTTTGGCTCGAGAGGGATCGGCCCTGGAGGAGATATAGCTAAGATATAATCAGATCATTTCGGCCCCAATCTTGGCGAGGCTTAGGACCCAAGCCACTGACACGCTGAGATCAGCAAGAATCTTCCTATTCGGGTAATATAGATGTTAGACCAGTCAATAAGGAACGTTTAATCACGATCGGTGACGCTGGCAGTAAGATCGCCGGGCTGAATCAACATCAAATTGAAGGACAATTCGAAGTATAAAGGATACCAGATATCTGTGTTACAAAAACCACTCAAGAAACGGGTTTGCATTCCTGACCACACTTCAAATTACCTCGACGACGTCCTTTTCTTTGTCCTACCATTAATTTAAAGCAACATGGCTGCTGTTAGCTATCGAAACGGCATCGCTATCCTCCAGCTGATCGTGTTTCCCATCATTCTCGTTGCTGCCATCTTCATCTGGAAGAGGACAGGTTGGAGGCAAGGGAGCAAGATTTGGCGGTACGCCGTCACCCTTTCTCTCATCCGGATCGCTGGAAGTATATCCTCGCTGCTGGCAATCAGCAATGATTCCTACAACATCAAAGTCGCGGTGGCAGTGTGCCAAATGATTGGTATTGCACCTCTCTTACTAACTTTTATCGGACTGCTGAGACAAATGTGAGTTTTTCACTGCGAAAGTATTCATCGCGCCGATCAGAGACTAACGTGTGTCTTTATAGTGATGTGGATAGAAGAATGCCTCCGAGGCCCATGGCATTGCTGACTCTGGTCACCATCATCGCTCTCATTCTCGGTATCGCTGGAGTCAGCTCCTCCAACGGCAACGACGGAACTTACCACCCTGGCAAGCTCGCAAAAGTAGCCATGGGAATTTTCCTGGCTGTATTCGTCATCTTTGTTCTCCTCAGTCTTTGGCTTTTCTATGAGCTGAGCTTCTCTATGCGGAGATTCCAAAAGAAGTTGTTCCTGGCCATTGCTCTTTCTACTCCCTTGTTGGCGGTTCGCCTCGTCTACTCGGCGCTCAGCGATTACACAACGCTTAGTGCCTTTGCACTGGATGGAAATACCACGGTCTATCTGTGCATGGATGTATTGGAGGAAATCATTGCCATGGGAATGACCATGGCCTTGGGAATATCAGCCATTCTGGAAAGCGACTTCGTGAAGCTTACTCCAGTCCCCCAGCAAGATATCGAGCCGAAACCAATGGGCGTGTGAGTTTCGTTTTTCTGTTTGAAGGATGGGTCTTTTGGGCGTGAAGAGTGGCTTTGAGGATGAAATTGAAGAACGAAGAGAAAAAGAAAGCCGTCACGTTGTGTATAGGAGGAAGTTCGCTTCCATAATGATACTGAATTTGTTAAGACTGAAAAGGCCATTGTGTTGTAAGAAGCGAAACTAAGTCAATCGTCGAAGTATCACTAATATTTCGGTAACATAGTTCACATAAAGTGGCTAAGAGAAGTAATTCTGCGGTCCATTCCCCGATATTTCCCCGCTGATCAGATTCGGGGTAAATTACCCTGTATCAAACGGTTTAGTACTGTATCTGACCGTGTATTTGGACTCTCCATCTCTTCTATTCTCTTGTTTTCAAGAGTTGAACACCACGCAGTTTCGCTGGTTATTAAATGCTACATTCATCATCTCTTTCCGCATGAATAAACGACAAATTCTCGACCTCGGAGAAATAGGGGGGGGAATTGGACACTTCTCATGTGTTAGCTTAGCTGTATGATTTGCAGATCTTGGCGCAAAAGGGGTAGCGCACGGCTGAGTCTGAGCCTTCAGCTCTCAGCCCAGCGGGGTAGCCGCGTAGTTTGTACCTTAAAAAGAGTCAACAATGTCATAGCTTGTTTCTTCTTTCCAACCGCCAAGAGAACTTGCCAAGTGCTCATTTTTCATCTTATGCGTACTCCCTTCTCTTCTGAATCATAATTATGCCAGCGAGTGGACGACGTTCCAAAAATTGCGGCAACTGCCGATCTATCAAGCGAAGGGTAAGTGCCTGGGATCAATCTACTGTCGGATAGGACTCGCTCAATGCTGAGTACTGAGTATTTTTGTAAAGTGCGACCAGAAGTTTCCCCATTGTGGACAGTGCATTCGTGCGCACGAGGAATGTCAAGGGTATAGAGATGAATGGGAGCTGGTCTTCCGCGATCAAACCACCCACACAATTAAGCGCTCCAAAGACGCTCGGGCAAAGGCAGATGGCTTGGAAACATTGAAAAGATCGCCCCCATCCCGCACTCTGAGTCTCAGCTCGGACGAGGTGGGCGTCAACTATTTTCTATTTCATTTCGTCGTTGGTGGTCTTTCTCCCTCTCGAGGGTATCTGGACTATGTGCCGGCAGTGTTTAGCGCTGATGGTGAGAATCCGACCTTGATTGCCAGCATGGCAGCTGTGGGTCTTGCAGCCCTGGCAAACTCCACTCAACAGCCTGAATTGTCCCAGCGGGCCCGCACAAAATACTGGGAAGCGATAGACAAAGTGAACGCAGCGCTCAGTTCTCCTGTCGAATCTATCAAGGATAGTACGTTAATGTCAGTCATCTCTCTTGGCTTGTTCGAGCATGTGAGCAATTTTGAAACATGGTTCCAATATATAAAAGGGACCGTGGCGCTGGTGGTTTCACGTGGCAAGAGCCAATTCTCAAGTCCAGCCTCTATTCCCATGTTCAATCAAGTGCGTGCAGATATGTGCGCTGCCTGTGTTCATCGCCTTGAGCCATTTCCACGAGATATGCTTGAGTTGCAAGAAGAGGCAAGCAAGCAGGCCGACAACTCCAGTTGCCTTTGGCTACTAGGCGTGCTGGCCACGCGGACTGTCAATCTTCTGTCGGATGTTACGGTGACCAAAATCAAAGATGGTGCAACTTTAGCATACTTCCTGGAAGAATCTGCTATCCTTCAACGTGACTTTCAAGACGTTCTTGGTAATTTTAGGACGCAAGAACCGTATGCAACGATTGAAGATCACAGTGGAGACCCAGACCTCATTTACAATTCTCGATATGACCTCTACAGATCCGCGTGGGCTATAAGACTTTGGAACAATTCTCGTATCCTTCAAGTCATTATCTGCGAGATTGAATTCCACCTTTTGTCGAAAGCCCTCACTGCGGGTCTCCCACCGGCCCGCCAAAAGGAAATAGCGACAACCCTTGAAAAGACATGTCGAATCCTCAAAACTCTGGGTGACGATATTTTGGCCACAGTTCCGCAGTCCTTGGGAGCTGTGTTGTCCCCAGCGGAGTCTCCTACTTCTGCCGATTTGTCTTCCGATCCATCTGCCAACGGAAGTGCTTCGGGTGGGCATCTACTAATGTGGTGCTTATACACGGTTGGAAAATCCCCAGTCACAAGAGGCCGCACCCGAAAATGGGTCATGAAGCGTCTTAGGGACATTGCTCAAAAATCAGGTCTCCCAATAGCCCTGCAGTTTGTCAATGACATTGATGAGATAGACAAGGCGGCGAGCATTTTGGAGTCTGCCGATAATTGATGACTTGATATATGGTTTGTGTTGATAATCTCTATGACGGGAGGCAACTGCGTTCTCTATACTCTAATAAAGACAAACATCCATCAGCAACAGAAACATAGCACCCAATCTCAAGATTTCCGCATATTATAGTTGACCTCTCATGGAGGTGCCGATTATACCCTCGCCTGCTCAAGACTAATACTTAAGCAGCTATCTTGCGTACTATAAACGTAGAAATCGACTTTCACAAACTAAATGAAAACGGGATATATTAGTACAGATTTAACATACGTAACCATCTATACAGACAATCTATCTGTGTCTTTTACGCCTAATAGCTGAAGATGTACGCTCCATATGCAGGGATGGTTTTGAGTTGGCTTCTTCTTGTGTTTTTTTTGGCAGTGAGGATAAAAGAAAATAAGCGATAGAGAGACGCCTCACGAACTGAATATAATCTTGACCCAGTACCAAACAAGAATGATAGGCCGCTTATGCGGCCTTGTCTGTCATCTTGGTACTGTCTAGTAGTAAGTCTTTTTGGATGTCTTTTCGGATGTCTTTTCTCCCCAGTTCTCGAGTTTTCCAGGTAGACGACGGGAAAAGGATTGTTTGATTGTTGTGTGCAGATCACCTGGGCACCTTTCTATTTGTATGTATGTAACCTTTGCCAATAAATAAAAAAACATACAACAGTGAGGATTCGCTGGTGGTCACCCACCCAACTACTAACTCACCGGCGTGTGGCTTGAGTACGGCTGAGCGGACGGGAAGCCCTATTTTCCACACCCTATGGTCGTATGTATTTGGTATAGCACTGGAGGGGAATATATAATAACTGAGAACTATAGACTATAGCCGTAGATGGGATGGTAAGAAGGCTTATCACTATTGGGTCAGGTGACCTCTGCCCCCCTTGATGGTCATAGCGTCAGATAGATATATCAAGTGCTCTCATGTCAGTTTCTACTTTTCCTCCACCCTTGAGCCCACCTACCTTCTGCTCTCAGGTCTCGTTAAGCTTCATTTCCAAAAAAAGTCATTCATAGAGGTCCACCACAGGGCCTAAGATGAACATGCTATTGCTATACTCCGTACTCAACAAATAATAAAAAAAAAAAACATACAACAGTGAGGATTCGCTGGTGGTCACCCACCCAACTACTAACTCACCGGCGTGTGGCTTAAGTACGGCTGAGCGGACGGGAAGCCCTGTTTTCCACACCCTATGGTCGTATGTACTGGATTGTGTGGGAAAAAGAATCATAGAAGAAGAAAATAAATGCATCTAATGTATACACAATTTCAGCGTCATGTCTGCAAGACCTATCGCCTAGATACCACCTGTCCCGTCTTCGAACCGATCACAATATGCTGGGCCGTCAGCACATACGGGAACCCATTCTGCTTTGCCTTCCCCATCCACTGCAGCATATCCATCGTCGGCAGTGACGCCCATCTGGGATCAGCACCGATAGAAGAAGTGGAGCGCTGGATATCGAACCGTTGGGTGGGGTTATATACCACCCTCCTGAGTATGGGAGCATTGTTATCGATGTCTTCACGCCCGTTAAGAATGGCCTCCGATGCTGTCGCGATGAAGCCGGTCGTCTGACTGAGATCCATATGGCCGGACGTACCCTCGAGATCGGGCCGTGCACCGACACGCTGTGCACATTCGATAAAGTCTTGTTGGACGATGGAGTCGACTGTGTACGGCGTGTCTGCAGTTGCTGCGCTTGGACTGTGGATATGCACCGGCAAACCAAACTCCTGAGATACATTGTGAAGGAACTTTTCGGCTGCCCATTTGCTTGTCAAATAGCCATCGTGTGAATCCGCGAGATCCGCTTGGTCGGCGACAGCGCCGGAAGAAAAGAAGTGAAGCGGCAAGCGGCGCGGAAGACACAGACGGGCGATGTCACGGACGGAATAGAAGTTCACGGCTCTCAGTGCCTGGTAGTCATCCCAGAAGGATCGATTGGCAGCACAATGCACCACGATGTCGGCATTGTGAGTCAGATAGCTAAGCTCATCGGAGGTGAGCCCAAGATTGGGCTTGTCGAAAGCGCAGGAGATTGCCACGACTTTCTCAGATTCTGTGACTAGCTTGCTTTTGTCACGGACAAGGCAGATGATTCTGGACACACGGGTGCTTTCAAGAAGAGAGGAGAGGAGATGACGGCCGATATAACCAGTTGCGCCCGTCAAAAGGACCGTCATTCTGTCATTTGGGGCAGACGGCGTGGCACTCTGTGCGAGATCAGCCCATGATGCCGGCACAGATGTTTCAGCCTCCCAATCGACCACACTCGCATCCGTGTCCTCTAGAAGGCGGGCCATATCGCTCAATGTACTAGAGTTCATGAGATCAGCGAGTCGTGGAGAAAACGCAAAGGCTTCCTTGAGGCGGCGTTGAAGTTTGACAAGCAACAGCGAGTTTCCTCCAACATGGAAGAAGTCTGTCCCTGAGCTGATTACGGCACCATATGCTGGCAAGATCTCTTCCCATAATCCACAGAGTTTCTTTTCTTGGAAATTCATCAGACCTCGCTCAGAGGGACCCGAAGTCACGATATCCGGCAAAGGAATATTGTAAAGAGCCTTGCGATCAGTCTTTCCATGCACGTTCATCGGGACACTGTGAATGGGAATGAATAGCGAAGGTCGCATATAGCTGGGAAGGGGGAGTGCTGCTTTGATGGCTGTGAAAAGATTGTCACCGGACTTTTCACCATGCGATGAAAGGACAACATAAGCCACCAAAAATTTGTCAGCCTCTTCGCCATGGACAGCAACAACCGCCTGAGAGACTTTGCCGTTCGCGACCTCGATAATAGCATTTTCGATCTCCCCCAGCTCAATGCGAATGCCACGAAGCTTGATCTGATCGTCACCGTTGATCCGACCCTCATATATGAGAGTGCCGTCGTTGTTCAGGCGTCCACGGTCACCGGTCCGATATAATCTGTTCCATCCAAGCTTCTTGGAGCGTTCGTCCTGCAAGTAGCTAGGGACGGGGATAAACTTCTCGTTTGTGAGCTCTTCTTGGCCAAGGTAACCTGCCGCCACTCCGGGTCCGCCAACAACAATCTCCCCCGGGACACCGATCGGGAGAGGCTGCAGCGCTTCGTCTAGAATGTAGACAGAGTAGTTGGGAAGAAGCCTTCCAACCGGAATTGGTTGTTCAGTATCAGCGAGCCCGAAATTGACCTCGCCTTTGGTAAGTGCAATAGTGGCCTCTACAGGTCCATAGAAATCGAAGAGCTTGAGATTACTCGAGTTCAAATCCCGGAAGCGTCGAACAATTGACTTTGGCAAGGCTTCGCCACCGACAAGAGCCCATTTCCAGGAAGAGCACTGGGAGAGAATGTCCGCCCCTGCATCGAACCACATACCATATTCGGTTGGGGTGGCCAGGGTGTGGGTGACTCCTTCTTGCTTCATGATCTTGGTGATTTCATACGGGTCTCCGCGTTTCTCGTACGGGACCACAAAGAGGGTTCCCCCGTTGGCAAGGGCCGTGAAGATCTGATGCAAGGAAAAGTCAAAACTGAGGGCAATTTGTTGGAGGACTACCGCCGCGCCCACGCCCCAGGCTTTTTCGACAGCTTCGACATGCGTCGCGAAGCAAGAATGCGGTAGTACGATGCCCTTGGGAACACCCGTCGACCCGCTAGTGAACAGAATAGCCGCAGTGGACTCTGCCATGGCCCTGTTCGGTACTTTGGCATCGGGGTTCATGTCAATATCGGAGACATTGACGATAGCTGCCCTTGCCACCCGAAGATCCGGCACTCGAGCCTCTGTGAATTTATCGTGGAGGATAACCCGCGGGCTGGCAACTTCAACAGCACCCGCAAGCCGTTGCAGACCATTCTTCAGATCCAAGGGGACATACGCCGCCCCAACACGGAAGATGGCGAGTAGCGAACAGATCCAGTCAGCGCTTGGCTCTTGGAACACGGCAACACTATCGCCACCAGAGACATATTCAAGGAGGGTAGCAGCGATCGTGTTAACGCGGTCGGCCATGGCACTATAGGTGAGGGCATGTCCATGTCCATCCTTGATAGCTATGACATCAGGGTGTGCATCCACCATCTCATCAACGCGGTGTGCGACCGTCGATGGCCATTCAGGGTTCAGTTCCGGACCTATAGAGGAGGATTAGTCGTAATCTCCCTGATTTCGAAGTGTGACATACCCTTTCCCAACGCTAACGCATCATCAATATCCTTTCTAGACCACAGCAGAGGCGACGATAGATCGATACGATCGGCAGGACTTTGTGTGGCCTGTTCTAGGAGATTGGTGAAAGCACGAAGCAGCAAGTCCGCTGCTTCCTTGGAATAGAGACCCTCTTGCACTTTCAAAACAACGAGCGACTCTTCATCGACAGTATCAAGCACCTCCAGGTGCAAATCATACCCTGTAGCAGCATTATTCCACGAAAGCTCGGCATCGCAACCGACTAGCCGCGAGTTCTCGTGGTCGCCTAGCCGGTAGTCCATGAAGATTTGGAAGATTGGGGTGTGCATGGCGGAACGGTTGATCTCGAGCTCATTGACAAGAACATCGAATGGCACTCGCGAGTGCTGGAGAGCAGAGTACACCTTGCTCCGTGTGAGTTTGACGGCATGATCGAGTTTGGATGAGTCCGCCCGGTTGAACTTGAGCGGCAGTAGATTCACGAGGCAACCGATCGTGTTGATTGAATCTTTATCCACTCGGTTCGCGTCCGCAATTCCGACAAAGAATTGGTTGGTATAGGGAAGTAGGCGGAATACGAGCGCTTGAAGAATAGTCAGGTAGAAATGAAAATTCGTGCTCTGAAGCTTGCGGGCAATTTGCTTGACCTTGCGAGCTAACCCGGCTCCCAGCCGGGTCGACGCGCGATGGTGCCTAGAACAATGTCAGAAAATAATCAACCCGATTTCATTGTCAACTCACCGGTAGGTATCTAGAATCTTCCGCTTTGAGAGGTGCGAGAACGAGAACGGCTCAATCGCACCCGGATCCTCACGGACGATGTCACGGAAGAAATCGATGTCAGCCTGCAATAGCCCAGATTCGTAATCTTGTTTCTGTCTGGTAGCAAACTTTCGGTATTGCGAGGCATCGGGGATTCGAGGAACAGCTTTACCGTTATACAAACCGTCGAGCTCCGAGAAAAGAATGTGCATACTTTGTCCATCCAAGGCAATATGATGACATCCAAGGAGGAAGTAGTGGACGGTGTCGGAAAAAATAAGAAGCATTGCTCTGATAGACCCCCAGTCTTCCAGATCATATTCGTGATTTTGCAACCTCTCTAGTTCGTCGGCTGCCTCAGCATCGGAGTATATGCGCTTGGTCTCCAATTTAAGCAGAGGGTGAGAGATAATCTCCTGCATAGGTGTGCCAATATCCCCATCCAACCAGAGGAATCTAGTACGTAGACCTTCGTGTCGCTGAATCACTGTGTCCAAAGCTCGCTCAAAGGCCGTCACTCGCAGCGGGCCCACCAGACGTGCAGAAGTCGAAAAGTTGAAGGACGTTTTGCTCTTCAAGAAATGATGGAGGAACCAGAATCTGGCTTGCCCAAAGGACATGGGCTCTCTCGTGAGGCGGGAATGCTGAATGACCAAGTCCCGTTGCGATCGGGCCAGTTTATCTGTGGCCCCTAGTTCCTTGGATTTAAGGGGCTCATCTGGAGTCAGCAGCTCAATGGATGATGTCTCGCTTTCACTAGGTGTCAGCAGTGGTGAGTAGCTGGGTGTAGAGTCGCTAGGTGTTCCAGAAATGGTACTATTGAAGACGGGTTTGGCAGGTGTTGGTAACGATGGGCTTGGAGTGTCAGTGTAGCTTTTCGGGTCCTCTGCACAAGTGATAGATGTAGGTATCTTGGAAACGGCCAGTTGAAGAAGATCAGAAATAGAGCTGCCGTCAAGGATCTTCAGAACCGGAATATCGACCTCGATCTCTTTCAAAAACCACGAGCGAACCATTACAGCCACAAGTGAGTCCAGCCCCTGCTCCACAAGAGGCGTTGAAAGATCAATATCATCATCAGCTGAGATCTGGAGAACTTTTTTGAGATTCACCAGGAAGGAATCTGTTATGAAATCAGTCAAGCTGTCGGTAGTGTTCAATAATCAGTGACTTACCTTTGACAATATCATAGATTGCCTCTTCGCTTGTCACTCCCTGCAACTGTACCCTCACCTGCGCGGCGGACTTGCTACCGCTGACGCTGGATCCTTCTTCCGCGGTCAGGATGTAATGGGAGAATTTGATATCTCTGGTGTGAGTCTGGGGGATATCCAAGTCGGGCGACACATAATTAACACCTGATACAACCTCAGCCTCATCAAGGGAGTCGGCGCGACCGGAGAGAATAGCCTCTGCAAAAAGTGTGCAGAAGTCTTGCTCAGAAACATTGTTGTAGCCGAGTGTAGTGAAATACTCAAAGTCAAAGTTATCCTCTTGGGCGGCATATCCAATACCGTGAACAGCCGGGATGTCCATAGAGGAGCCAGGAACCCCCCTCTTCTTGCGCTGGTACATGAGAGAGGTCATGAACGTGTTCGCCGCCGAGTAGTTACCCTGTCCGCTGAAACCGATGGCTGTGGTGATGGAGGAAGTGACGATGAAGAATTCTAGGGGTGAGTCATAGAATAGTTCGTCCAAGAGTATGGTGCCTTGGACCTTTGGTCTGATCACTTTGAGGAATTGTTCATGGGTCATGTTTTCGAAAACGCTGTCTTGGAGGATCATGGCACCGTTGATGACGCCGCCAACGGCGGGCATGGTGCGGCTGATCTCTCGGTAGCAGGACCAAAGGGACCTTCGGCTTGTAATATCTCTGGGTTTTGTTAGTCGGTGAGGTAAAAGTTGGAGCAAATTTACTGACAACGGCAATGTTCTGACTGTCGCTCCCTGCTGCGCCATCCCCTCAATAAAATTCGGGCTGACCTTTGGAGACCGACTACTCAAGACAAAATACTTGGCTCCATGAGAAATCATCCATTGGCACAAGGACTGACCCAGCTCGCCAGCTAGACCAACGAAGAAGTATGTTCGATCCGGCCTGAAGATGATGCCAGAATCGATTGGCTGAACTTTGACCGGAACGGATTGAATTGACCAGTCAACCACGGTAAAAGGCTCAAACACAGAATGATCGGACACTCTGCTAAGCGGAATGGTGATAGTTCTTGCAGAATGCGTGGAAGTTTCAATTGTTTGCTGAAGAAGTTGACTGATCATGTCACAAAAACGGGGATGAGGATCAGTGATATCATTATTGAGAAGAGAGCTTCGTTTGATATGGACGCATTGAGATGGGAGACACTTATCAAGTAGTTCTGATAAATCATCTGCTCCAGCCCCCTGGGATAGATCAGCGTAGACGGCAACATCTGCAGGAAGGAGCTGCTTCAATTTATGCTGCGAAAGTCTGGGGTGGATATAGAAGCTGTCAGGGGTACCCGTGTTGCCCTGACTGGTAACAAAAACCGTTCTGACACTCAATTCTTTTGCCATGTGCAAAAGATAAGACTTGAAAGGCTCATCTGCCTCCCGTATCAGAAGAACTCCACCATCCGGCACAGAGCTCAGAACCTCCTTCGCCATGATATTGGCAGCCAAAGTTGTAAGGAGTGATGATGGGCTATGACCCATAGCATGGCCTGCAATTGGTACACACCACTTGGATGGTACAACTGCTGGGGACTGAGTGGAGCATGAAAGGGCGACAACTGTCTCAGACGAAGAAGTCACACCGTAGATGAGACGGAGGAAACCGGCGCTTCCAATTTTGAGAGACTGGAATGAGGAAAGAATGCTGCGAACTGTAATGGATTTCGACGATGGTGCATCGGAAATTAGCAGTGGCGAAACATCATTGACGTCGAATGTGACTCCATTCTGGATCATCTGTATGGTTGCCTGTCTAGGGTCGACCTCCTTGGTTATAGCGCGTCTCTGGGAGTTGTAACGCTGATTCTTGTCTGTGCTGGGCAAGAGCCTCGGAATGAGTGCGCGTCTGTCTTGCATAACAACCTCCGGCTCTGAGGACCAGAGAAGGGGTTCTTTCCTAGACTGCCATTGCCTCAGAAGATGGTGTCTAAGCAGAGCTTCAGACAGCATGTTGGCCGTTGTGTCCTCAACGGCTTCAATGTCAAGTAGTTGAAGGTTGATTTTCGGATTTTCGGTCTTGACTGTCCGCCCGATGCCCACAAGCATCATGGAATATGGTTCATCTGCTCTGCAGCCACGAGAAACCAACACCAAGGTTCCCGCCACGTCGAACATTTTCTGTAAGCTGGTAAACTTCTGCGGCGTCAATGTCTTCATAAATGGTTCATCGAGATCAGTTAGACAGAGAATGCTGGCCCCATTAGGTACCGCGGAGCCAAAGATTGCCAACTCTTCAACAGTCTCAAACAGCATGACCTCAGCAAATATAGAGGATAGATTAGTCACAACATCTTCCACAATACCGAAGACTGGTAGCGTCGTGCCGCCGATGATGACCAGAGTGCCCAAATTATCCTCGGTCGACAATGAAAGAGGGTCTCGAAGGAGAGCAACTCGATCATCAATGGCCTGGGAAACAAAGACCGCGACGGGAAGAGATACACTGAGATCGGGTGTCATAGTATCAATGCCCGAGAAGCCTGTTTGCCGGAGTACAGAGTCCCACTGAGGCAGCGTCAAGCAAGGACCCCACGGTCGTCCAGTCTCCGCAGCCACCCACCAACCTGGGAGAGTTCCCACGGTCATACCGCTGAAGAGAAGGTCACAATTTGTCACCTCTAAGGTAATCAAGTAACCACCGGGTTTCAATAGTCGGCGGACATTTGTCATGGATCGCTCCATGTCGGCCGAGACATGAAGAACATTTGCAGCAATAACCACATCGTACTGGCCTTCAGTGAATCCCTGATCGCTTGGCGGGAACTCAGTGTTGAACGTCTTGAAGATCATACGGTTGGCATAGTCCTTGAAGCGCTCCTCAGCTTCAGGGAAGAAACCACTAGACACGTCAGTGAAAGTATACGTTCCAAAGGCTGAGCCGACTTCGGGCAAAATTGTCTTGGTGGATGCGCCCGTTCCGGCTCCTACAGAAAGTCAGCTTGTGCGCTGAAAGCTAATGTAATATGAAGCATCAAGACTGACCGATCTCGAAAATATGCATTCCCGGATAGCGATGCGCAATTTGGGCGACGATGCGACTCAGCCAGCGGTTGTTTGGCCCGGCTGCCAGACCATTTTCGTAAACCGCGAGCATCAGCCCATCCTGGTTCATATACTCTAGCATGCTAGTGCCACTGCGGACGACTTCAACAAGGTGGTCGCCGACCACCTCAACAAATCGGATATCTTTGCGGCCCTCATACCTAATGCAAGACAATCAATAATCTATTCGAGATTGCGCAGAAGAAGAATTGGGGTGAAATAAAAGTCATGAACTTACTTGCTCAACACTTCAGTGATGTCTTTTCTCTCATCATTAAGACATTCAACGGGGACCTTGGGATGTTCACCCCGAGAGACCATGCCAATCATGCGCTCACACCACCGCAGATAGTATCTGAAATGGGGCAGAATCTGATCACACTCTTCTGGGGTAATAGTCTGGGCCACATTTCGGATATACCAGAAAGCGACACGATCAATGTCCTTGTAAACCTGCGCTTCGTAGGGTGAAATCGTCTCGCCCATTGCCGCAAGTTGCCCATCAGGAACAGCAGGTCTCATCTTGAAACTTGAAAAGAGTGGCAGATCGTCTTTAGGAGAGCCCGGTGAGAATGGAACAAGGGATGCACCTTCAATCTGGATGCATGAGTTCTTGCCATCTGCGGTGTACAAGTGAATATCGGCAGTCAGGCTTCCTTGGGTATTAGTGCGAATGAATGTTTCGTATTTGAAGGAGCGTTCTTTGCCTAGGGCAAGAGGGGAGAAGTGAGGGTTGAAAACTAGCGACTCAAACCGAGTGGGAACATGAAGGGACCAGATCTGACCATCACCAGGAAAGGACCATGCCGCGAAAGCGGTTTGTAGAGCAGTATCAAGGACTCCCGGATGAAATGTGAGATTATCCTCCCATGAGAGGCCAGACTGGTCCTCGATCAGACCGATAGCATATCCAGGCTTGCGGTGAATCTGCGACACGCCTTGGAAGGGCTCGGAGTAATCATAGCCAATCTTAGTGAGGTACCGGTAAAACTCAGTTGGGTCAACATTGACCAGATTGAAAGGGTTGGACTCGTAACTTGCAAGTGTCCCTGGACTAGAGCTACCCAAATCTGCAATGACCTTGCCTTTCGCATTCAGGACTGCATTTCCATCGGCATTGGAAATTGAGTAACAAGCGAACTGGGCGGTGATGGCTTTCTCGGTTATCTCGACCACGCTTGCATTAAAGACGACCTCGATACTGGCTGCATCATCGCCGAAAGCAATTGCGCGACCTATTTCCAGATCGTAAATCTTGATGCAAGTAATATGATTCTGAATAGTGAGCTGCTTCGTCGCTTCAATGGCCATAGAGACGTAACCCGTGGCTGGGAAAACCACTTGACCCTGCAGACGATGCCCACTGAGCCAAGAGATCTCGCTCGGGCGAAGGATATTTCTCCATTGAATCTCATGGGCAGTGTTCGCTTCGGAACATTGCGTCCCGAGCAGTGGGTTTGGAGGGGTTCGACGAAATTTGTGGTGATTAGACACGCGGGACCCAGTCCAGTATTCACGCTGATGGTCGAAGGGATATGACGGCAAGTTGGTGAGGACTTCCCTGTTTCCTTTGAACCCAGATAGAAGCTTGTCGACAGTGTCAAACTGAATGCTGCCGGACCCAAGATGCATCCAGATGAAACCGAGGTTTGCGGATAGTTCGTGAACATCGTTTTTGGCTCGGGATAGCAGACCTGTGTAGGGGGCTTCACATCCAAACTCCTCAAGCGTCGATGTTACCGGACCCTTGAGTGCCGGGTGCGGACCGATTTCAATGGTCATGTCGAATGGCCCAGCCTCCAAAACAGCCTGAGCCACTGCGCCAGAGAATAATACCGTGTTGCACATGTTATCAACCCAGTAGCTTTCAGTGAGAATTTCCTTGGCCATTCTCTGTCCCTCGGTAACACTAGAAAGCCATACAGGCCCTGTCCGGTCTTCTGGCTGTATTCCGCACGACTTCATGGACTCCAAGTAAGGCTCTGCACAGGGTAGCATGTGCGCCGAGTGATAGGCGGTGTCAACCTTCAGCTTCCTCGCAAACCTCTGCTCGGCTTTGAGTACCTCAAGGAGCTCATCAATAGTGCCTTCGTCACCTGAAATTGTAATACTGGAGCTAGAATTCACTGCCGCGACCTGAATGCGGCCTTTGAAGCGTGAGTCGGCGCACATGTCCAGGGCTTCTACATGCGAAGCGCCAACAGCCATCATGGCACCCTTCTCGCCGTTCGGTGATGATGCATGTTTTGCGTGCAGGCCACGGTAGTATGCGATCCTAACGGCATCCTCGGCCGACAGGAGACCCGCAGCGTACGCAGCTCCGATCTCACCGGATGAGTGGCCCACGACAGCTTTGAATGTAACGCCCGCAGCGTGGAGGATATCAACCAATACCACCTGAATAGCAAGGCACAGGGGCTGCGATACTGCCGCTTCTGTCACCCGGGAAGTCTCGCTACCAGCAAGCAGCTGCTCCTTGATCGTCCAGGTCGGGCGGTCCTCTGCAGGTAAGGTTTGAAGAATTGAGTCGAGCCAGGCAATTTTCTGTTGGGCGAAAATTGAGGTCTCGATGAGACACGCTCCCATCCGTGGCCACTGCGCTCCCTGCCCGGTGAACACGCCAAGAATAGCTGGGTTAATGATCTGAGAGCGGCGAACGCTGAGCTCCGACTCATTTGGGGCGGCATCCGCCATGGTCTTCAACTGCTTGGGTAGCCCTTCCTTGCTACGGACTGGAACGTAAGTTCGAAAGGGTAGTGTCGATCGGCGCATGCTGAGCGTACTGGCCAGATCATGGAGATCTAACGTAGGGTTGGCGGACAGGTAGACTGAATACGTGGCGAGCATATTCCGAAGGCTCTTTTCGGAAGCTGCAGAAAAAACCAGTGGAGTGATATTTGCGACCGAACGAAGCTTCAATGTTCTTTCGGAATCTTGCTCGAGACTCTCGATGATGGCGTGGGCATTGGTTCCACCAAAACCTACAAGAGTTAGCAAGTAACATGATATCGAGAGAAATCGCCTCACCAAAACTATTGATACTGGCCCGTTTGACTTGACCGGGAGCCAGCTTCGGCCAAGGCATGGGCTCTGTTGGGATCTTCAGATTCGTATAAAACGGCGCGACTTTGTCGCTCAATTCGCTAAAGTGAAGATTAGGCGGTACGATTCCATGCTTCATAGCCAGCGAGGACCCAATCAAAGAGGCCAGACCAGCAGAGCCTTCAGTGTGCCCAATCACAGTCTTGATTGACCCCACAAAGAGCTCTGTGTGGTCCTTCGAGTCATTGGGAAATAGAGCTGCCGAGACAGCCTCCGCTTCTTGAGGGTCACCGGCCTGGGTGCCAGTTCCGTGGGCATGGAAGAATTGAGGGCGATCGTGAGGTTCATTGATGTCCAGCCCCGCTCGGCGGTACGTGTCGCGGATTAACGCCGTTTGCGCGGTGTTACTCGGCATGGTGAGTCCGGTAGTGCGACCATCCTGATTCACTCCAGTCTCACGAATGATGCACTCTATGTGGTCTCCATCGGCCAGAGCTCGGCTCAAGGTCTTTAAGACTACAGCGGCGACTCCCTCGCCACGAGCATAGCCATCGGCAGCCCGATCCCACATCGCGCACCGTCCATTCGGCGACAACATTCGCAGGTTCGTCTCGGTTACGTACATGGCTTGAGAGATCAGTGGCAACTCGGTCAATTCGGGAGTCTGTACTCACTAGGACTTAGAATCAAGTTGGTTCCAGCGGCTATGGCCAAGGAAGATTCACCACTACGCAAGGTCTGCACGGCGTGGTGCACGGCAACAAGACTCGACGAGCATGCCGTATCGATGGTCATCGAAGGGCCATGCCAGTCAAAGACATACGAGATCCGGTTGGACACAATACTTCGAGCTAAGCCGGTAGCCGTATAGGTTGGCAAGGTCTCGACATCGCTCGCCACCATGGTGGACCAATCATCGCACATCATACCAACGTAGACAGCCGTAGACGAGCCGCGGAGGTTCTCCATGGGCAGACCCGCGGTGCACAGGGAGTCATACACAGTCTCTAGGAGTAGACGTTGCTGCGGATCAACAGCATCGCTCTCCATCGGTTGTATATTGAAGAACGGCGCATCGAACTGAGCGATGTTCTCCTCAAGAAAGTAGGACTTGGTAGCGTTCGTGGTGCCATGGTGAGTTGCCTCGGGGTGGTAGAAATTATCAACATTGAAGCGCTCCAGAGGAACCTTTTTGGCAATGTCGTGAGGGTTTCTCAATAGCCCCCAGAGTTTGCTGGGGCTATCGCACCCGCCGGGAAAGCGACAGGCGGTTCCGATGATGGCAATTGGTTCAGGCATAGGGGGCAGGTCTTTCAATTAATCCGTGTTGAAGAAAGGGAGGAGCTCTGAGAATACAAGATGATTGTTGACGTATTTGATTGACATCGAGGAAGTTTGTTCATTATATACGCAGGTTTCATTGTCTTCGTGGTATACTGATCGTCTCATCGAGGCTTGGACAGATCAGCACTAAGGTGATATTCCACCGAAAAATTCCGAATACAACAACACGCCGAACTCCAAACTCTATCCTGCCGTAATCCGTTTCAAAATACTATGTTCTTGTCAGTGAGATGTGGCGGGGAGCATTGTAGTCGTAACACACCTTTTACCATTGCCATGCGAGATTCGGATCCATCATGAGGGTTGAGCCTGGGAACATCTGATTGGACCCCATGAAAGGGAACCCATAATAAAGGTTCTCTTCCAGACCGTTTCCATTGAAACCTCCAGCGGGGAAGGGTATCGGTAGGGCTGAGCTATCGTAAGCAAGGACTGGCTAGAGAAACAAAGACGGCCGACTGACCTGAATTCAGGGAGAAATTATTGTTCATAGCCTGGCCCTCAGCGCCCATATTGGAATCACCCGAGTGTATGCCCAGGACAATGCTGAGAGTGTCTGCTGCTGTCTTTGCTTCCACCGATGAATTCCTTGACCGTATCCAGATACCATGTGCGCTTGTTAGCGCTGCCATGATTTGGTTTAAGTCGTGGCCATCGGTCAAAGCATTCGGGCTACCATTGCTCTGTCGCGCGAGAAAGCACAGTAGCATCGTGGCTGTCAGAAACTCATGCTTTATGAAGGAGGAAGCCCGCCATCGCATCATATAAAGCTGACCATCAGGGTTGGTTTCCTCGTCGAGTATTCGCTGAATCTCCAAAATACCCAAGGCTGCCTCTATGCAAGAGGTACGCGAGTAGGAGTATGATACTGGGTCATTGGAAGATGCGGATGGGTCTGGGGTTAAATACTTGCAGTGTAGCATGATCTGACCCTTGTGGAACATCAGTCTGAGGAAGAGCCGATGCATAATCACTTGCGGGGGATCGGTCACCGCCGCGGCCATGCCCTTCATGCGGAGGTAGGCAGGGACTGTCGCCTCCGCGTCACGCAGAATGCGATCTAGTCGCATCACCTCATCGTAGGCCACCGGCCGCACCGACGCGGTGAAATCCACAATCGAACCCAAGGCGGCAAAGATACGCCACCGAGCGACCAGGTGCGAAACCGTAGTGATTTCCGTCTCTGGCCTGGACGGGGGAAGCTCGGTGCAATCCTCATGGAAGTCCGAGTCATTCAGATTACGGGGCTCTACGGTATCACATTGCCAGTCCTTGATCATGCGTGGCATGCCCATCTGGGTGGATATCAGGATATCTCCCTGCACGATAGTGGCCCAGGCCCGCCGTCGCATCTCTCCTGTGAATGGAGAGATTCCTGGCAAGTGCGATGGATCCCGGTGGTAACCCATGCGCAGAGCTATATTGACCGAGATTCCCGAGAGGATCCAGATGTCCCGGTCGGCATCCTTTCGGATGGAATACTCGATAGTCAGGTAGTGATATAGGGTTTCAAATATGTAACGCCCAGATTTTGTGTACTCGCCCAAAATGAGACATTGTACTATCTTTTCGCGGTACGTATCCACCAACGGATTGCGGACTCCTGGGGATGAGCTGGAGTCTGCCGCACTTGAAGCCAGCACTGCGAGACATATCATAGAGAAAAGGAGACCCAGCCACATGATCGAGGTCTGAGCTTGATTCTCCCAGAACCGTTCATACTACATTATTGTCGTTAGAACCACATTCTACTCACGCTATTTGGCAAACTCTTTCGCATACCTCGCGTGAAAACTGACCACTGTGTAGACAGGCTGAATAGTATAATGCCTGTATTAGTCATTGTTCGCATATCGGATGGCAGGGGCTTACATGGCGCCAAGTCCAATCGATTAAAGTACTGGGAAATGTAGCGATCAACAGCGGGTCTATCGGGCAGGGCTGCCAAGATATCTTCTTTACTCGCTGATTTACATCCATACAGCAGAAAGGTATGCAGCATGGCAGGCTTCTCGGTGTTCCCATAATCTTCTTGTTCAAGCTGCTCCTTGATGTCGGCGATCCCATCCAGGATGGCGGCCCAGTGGGTTCCTCCGACATACTGGGCGTCCGAAGAGCTAAACCATACACTTCCGCCATCGGACTGAGCTGGAGAGTCTGCAGTATTAATGGCCAGTCCCGGCGAGTCTTCTTGGGGGCCATCTTGTGGAGCTGATGCGACTGGATGCTGGTCCGGTCGATCTTGGCCATCGGTGGTCTTCTGCATCAGCGAAACGACAATCTGCTCTAGCTGACCCAAACGGTCCTGGACGGTTGCTTGGGGGCGAGCCCTGTGGGCCCCATGTGGTCTAGGCGATTGTGGAGCTTGATTATTGGGATAGGCACACGATAGTGCCAATCCACGAGCGGTGCATGTCAAACAAGGCTGGTTGCGGTCGCATCGGAGCCTATCGGAGAATTCTGTCAGATTTGATTCGGAAAGTCGGAGATGTTTGGCACTCACTTCCTCCGACGACATAAATTACAAGAGAGCTGGGGTTTGCTCCGACGATTAATGGAAGCCGGTTGGGGGTTGGGTTCGTCTGCGGGCGGAGGATCCATTGTGGCTGTCGCGGATATGCAGGTGCACGTTTTCCAGCTATGCGACCGTATGAATATATGTGATATGCTGGGCCAGACCACTCCTCTGCACACAGGTCGTTTAGACTAAACGAGGCGGCGCCTGGTCAAGGTTCTCCATCACACGTGTGGGGGAATGGGTGGGGTATGTTTTCGCCGTAGAGGATTGTATCGCCACATAGAGACTAAGGAAGAAATTCAGAGCCAATAGATAAAAAGATCAGGAGCTGTGAGCATGCATCAATACGAGAATGATGGCAGATGGAGGGGTACTCGGATTGTCCGATGGTGATTGACAAGGAACGAAAGGGAAGCCGTAAACATTCGCCCGAGGTCCGCTATGGCCTAACCATATCGGGTAAGGCGCGGGTAATATGCGGAGGATCAACAGCTCCCGAGGATTCTGACCAATCGGACGAACTTGTCATATCCATGGATGTGCCTCCAAGGGCCGTGCATTCCTCCGTCTTGCTCTCCTTCCCTTGGATTCCTCCATATACGACTCTCTATCTCCGTCTATTCCTCCGCTCCGTTACTCGTTCCACCACCATCCAATAGTTTGCCTCTCGCTGAGAATACCCAATTTGAGTAGTCATGGAATCTCCGAGCCCTGGTCCTGGCTTCAAGCCAGCTCGGCCTTTACAACACGGAGGAAACGACATGTAACCAACGCCCATGGACTTGAATCCCCGAGAAAATCTTCCATCCATCTCCGTTTGCAATTATTGGGAGCGTTCTCTATTATTATATAGGCGCAAAGCTTGTCCTAAACGACAAATTCCCTTTGGTCCCACTACCGAGTACACTCTGTAGGATGAACCTCTCTAGTAATGATGAGACCGAGCGGACTCGGATTGATGTCGAGCTGAAGGCAGACGAGGAGGCTGCCAAGCTGCCGTCGCATAAACTGCAGGACGATGTGGTCGACTGGGACGGCCCAGATGACCCTAAAAACCCCCTCAACTGGCCTGCCACCAAGGGCTTTGGTCATGTCGTGATTGTGGCCATCTTGTCCATGGTCGTGTAAGTCGTTTCCTGGGTGAGACAAAAACAACCGACCATGCTAATTAAGTTACTAGCAACATCGCCTCAACCATGGTCGCTCCGGCAATGGAGGGCGTCGCCAGGGACCTGGAGATCACCAATATGACATTGGCAACCTTCGCCGTCAGTATTTATCTGCTAGGGTTTGCATTGGGTCCCCTCGTCATCTCCTCGCTCTCTGAGATGTACGGGCGCCTTGTCGTCTATCACATTTCCAATACTCTCTTCGTCATTTTTGTTGTCGCCTGCGCCGTGAGTCAAACTCCCGCTCAATTTCTGGTCTTCCGGTTTCTATCTGGCTGCGCGGGAGCGGCGCCACTTTCCCTGGGCGGTGGAACGATCGCCGATGTCATCCCGATCGAGAAACGCGGTGCGGCAGCAGCCTTGTTTGGTCTGGGCCCGCTTCTGGGACCGGTATGTAACTTGCATCTACTATGTAGTCGAAATATACTAACTGACCTAGGTTCTAGGACCGGTGATTGGGGGCTTCGTTGCCGAAGGGAAGGATTGGCGGTGGACCTTCTGGGTGGTCGCGATCCTCGTAAGCGGTCTTGTTCTGATCTAGTATTTAGCATTCTAACACTATGACAGGGAGGAGCAGCGGGTATCGGAACGCTCATCTTCATGCGCGAAACACATCCTAACACCCTATTGGAACGGAAGGCCGCATACTTGCGACGCACAACCGGGAACCTTCACCTCCGATCAAAACTCGATCGCGGTCTTACAAAGCAGCAGATCATTGTCGCTGCACTCGTACGCCCCACCAAACTCTTGATCTTTTCGCCGATCGTGCTTGTCATGTCCATCTACGTGGCTCTCATATTCGGACTTCTATATCTCCTTTTTGCCACCTTTAGCATGGTCTTTGAAGGTCAGTACGGATTCAGCGCCGGCATTTCTGGTCTGGCCTACCTCGGCCTAGGTATTGGCGAACTCGTGGGGCTAGTTACATTTGGCATACTAAGCGACCGGATCTTGAAGAGCAAAATGGCAGTAGACAATGTTCAGGAACCTAAGCCCGAGTACCGGCTGGTCCTGATGATGTGGTTCCCGCCAGTCATTGGTCCTGGGTTGTTCATTTACGGCTGGACGGCATATCACCAGGTGCATTGGATGGCTCCGATATTTGGAACGTTCATCGTTGGGTTTGGAGCCTTCTTCGTGATCATGCCCTCCCAGCTGTATCTGGTCGATCTATTCGGGTCAGAAGCGGCGGCATCTGCGCTAGGGGCCAACATTCTCCTTCGCTCAATGTTCGGGGCCTTCTTGCCGCTTGCCGGGTCGCATATGTATTCGGCACTCAACTACGGGTGGGGTAATACGCTGCTAGGGTTTCTGGCGCTGGCATTTGCGCCAGTGCCGATTCTGTTTTACCGTTACGGAGAATGGCTCCGGAGTCGGACGACAGTCACGCTGTGAATATTGTGCAAGATATTTAAAGATAATGCTATGATACGCCAATCTGTTGGCAATACGATTGGTTGTTTTGTCCTCGTAACAAGATGAAAGAAGAAATTATTCAAGACGCGAAGTAACCATGAAGGGCTGGGGCCAAGCAGGGGATGCCGTTGCGCCTTCTTCCGCTGACCCGCTCATGCCACTATGGCGCACGGCATAACAACGGCAATGATCCCTGGGCGTGCGTTTCACCTGCCAGCCTTATTGGCCCGAATAGTATGCGCCCAGATGGCTAAACCCACGTGGCCAGAGGTATCTCGCGAGAAGGATACCGATCGGGTTAAAGGCATTCACTTCGTCAGAGTGATTCGGTATCTGCTGACTTCTGAACCCTCTCGGAGAGCCGACGGCACCCGTCCCGATATCCATATCACCGAAGTAGAAGTCTGCATAAGTGTCAAACCTATCGGAGCGATATCGCTGCCATTTTCTTGTTCCGTTCGAGCGCACAGCTGGAGGATATTCTTCCCCTTGCGACATTCATACATCAGAAACGTTGTCGCTTACATGCTGAACTGTTCAAGACATGCTCAACAGCCTATATACACAGCGAGAGAGACCCGCAGACGCGGCTTGGACCAAACCACTGCAAGCGACCTGACGTGTGATCCCGCCTGCAGCCAAATTAGCCCCACTCAGAAGGATCACAGCAGCGCCTTGGCGATTCTTGTAAATAGATTGGCTATGGAATCGATATTCATAGCGCCATGCAGGGGCGTTCTGTCCAGCGCTACACAGCTGAATGCCATGGTCCGTTCTTATTTTGGGTTCCAGGCTGTCCTCCACTTCGAATCCAAACATATATACAAGAACCGGATCTGACCCACCGACACGGAAAATCTTAAGATTTCAATCAATGCCAATTTTAGCCAAGTCGTCAGATCACGCACTGCTATCACATCTTGACGACGATCAGAACAGCCAAGCATTGGTATCGTGAGCTTGACCAGCCTTATTAGCCTTACCAGCCCTACGATCAATATGTCAGCCTCCGCCAAACCCACACAGTCGTACCGCACATCGTGCGATCGATGTCGATTACAGAAACTGCGGTGCGTGCCATCGTCTGACGGTGAATGGCTTAACACGTGCCAACGGTGCTCGCGCGCTCGGGTGCCATGCGTTTTCAGTCGGCGGGCTCGCAGTGGGCGGCAGCCCAAGAAGCTCGACAGGACGGAAGAGATTCCTTCCACATACTCATCAGAATCAAACGCATCGACGCCACCATTGAAGTCTCCCGGCTTTCTTGCATCGCAGGACGATCCTTTACCATCGATCTCCCGTGTCGATCCCATCGCCGACCCGCACAACCTGGCCGATCCATCGCTGGACCCGATTCTGGCGGATATGTTATTCCACACCCCGGGAGACCAGATAGTCATGCCAATTTGTATGCCATTCCCTGTCCGAAAGACAGAATGGTGGTGCTCTCCCGAGTCGCCGAGCCCAGAGCTCGATCTTACAAAATCAAGCAACTCGTTAGACCAGACATACTATAACCAAGCCGACACAAATCACATAAGAGAAATACTCAACATACCAAACACGGACAGCACCATGCCCGACAACCCGAACTCCCAAGTCCGAATACCATCCACCCAAGTCCAAGGCCTCTCTTTGATCCCTGTCGCAATGACAAACTACACAAGCGACCTGCAACGGTACCGCAGAGCAAACATCGACAGAAAGCACAGCAGTAGCAGCATCTACGACTACCCGATTGGCGGAGCAACCTATCTCGCGCAATGGCTACGAGAAATCGTATCCCGACAGAAATGGATGCGGACCGGGCTTCCCAGTTTCAACCCCGGTAGCCATGACTTTGTGGACACACCCACCCTCTTAATGATGTTGTCATGCTACATGTCGCTATTGAACATCTATGACATAGTGTTCCACGACCTGCGTCAGCTATTTACCATACTTCCAGACTCGACATCGTCAACATCATCCCGAGCTGGGCTACGGTGGGACCTGCGACTGGGTGATCTACCTCTAACGAATGACGGGTGCGTGCGGATTCTCAATGCCGTGCAGATATTACTGGATGCGTTGGATGCGATTGAGAAGGATCTCGGTATGTGACTTGTATTCTTGCCACATACTCGTGACTGACAAGATTATAGAACATATTCAAAGCTCCAACGATAGCATTATAGAGTCCATGTTTGGAAGGAATGTCGGCACTGGCATGGTAATGGAAGCGGGGCTAAGTGGAGGACTACGTGCGAAGGCTGAAGAGCTGCAAGGGCTTTTAAAGCAAATTCTGAATTTGTAGGGTGAAAGTATCTCTAATTATAAGAAACTTGGAATAATTGCACTGTGTGTACGGCATATTATAGCTTGGTGCGGACCGGATGAAGTGCTTGTCATCATTGTCGACCGAACACTCATGTTTGTGAGGTTGATCCTAATATCCCTAACCAAGCTTCTCGTTGATCTGCGGAAAATAGAAGTTCCGTGGTAATTGCCAAAACATGGAAGCCACGTGGTATGACGTCGACAGATCTTGCTTTTTATTCGGTCCCCTCCGCATTGTCGACCAATCATAGCGGACATCCCGTCACTAGGCTTGCGACAAGCCTTGCTTGGTCTTTGAATGCGCCAATGAAGTCAATTATGCATATGATGTCTGTCCCCACTGTCTCTCCTTTCTACCTAGAATTCTTTTCTACCTGGAATTCTAGCTGCTTCCCATCCTCCGTATTCCAGCTGCGAGGTCGTGATCAAACGGCAGAGTACACGAGGTTCCCTTGTATCAAGCACGCACGAAATGAACGAACCTGGTTTCGATGACGCCATTGCCGACGAAGCAGTGGCTCTCGACCGCACCGCCAGCTCTCCAAATCAGAAGATAGACGAAATCAATAAGTTGTCGCAACATGATACCGAGTACCAGCAAGCTGCGCGTTGGTGGCTCGCAAGTACGGCATACCCTCTAGTAGCTGTATGCAGAAACCTACTATGTCATCCTTTACTTTGGAAGTCCACATTCTCATTATTCTTTTCAGGGCACTTTCGGGCCGATGGCTAGCGCTTTCAATATCTGTTCTTTATCACAACCATGGCGAATGGACCTCACCAGCAGCGGTGGGACAGATATCCCGGATCCAAAATGGTAATTAATATGATCAGACATACCCTGAATGATTCTCCCGGTAACCTCATATGCGGTTGCAGGGTCACCGCTATCAACGCAATATCACTTGTCTTTGCACTTGTCGCCAACCTAGCCCTCTCGCTTACCATGGCCCGACGCATCCGTTTCGAAATCGCCCAGCCAATCATCGTCGTAGGGTGGTACATCTCATCGGCGTTCTTGATCGCAATCTTAATTCCCTTCGGCGTGAACATGTACAAGCCCGAGAACAACGGTCGAATCTACTCGCAGAGTTATTACTATGGCACATTCGCAGCAGGGTTATATTTCATCATCGCGTCATTAATGGCAGTGACTGGATATGGTGCCTACCGTGGCTACTCTAGCCGAAAATTCAATCTGACTACGAGCCAACGAACACTCATGCTGCAAACTATCATTTTCTGCTTCTATCTTCTGGGCGGTGCAGCCGTCTACTCTAAGGTCGAGGGATGGCGCTTCCTAGACGCAGTATATTTTGCAGACTATACATTGCTCACCATCGGCGTGGGTAATTTCTCGCCAAGTACGCATCTCGGCCGGGGTTTGCTTTTCCCATATGCAATCGGAGGAATCATTATCCTTGGTCTTATCATATCCTCCATCCGTACGCTTATGTTGGAAAATGGCAAGCAAAAGATTGGCAACATGTTGACAGCACAAACGCGCAAATACCTACTCAGAGAAGCCTTCTCGGACCGTTCTGGTGCTAAGGGTATTATCCCCTCGCTCGGGAAGAAGAGTGCCAAAGCGGAAGGCCGCAGCGAGCGGGAGCAGCGCAAACGAGAGTTTATAGCCATGCGTCAGGTATGTAAGCTGGCAAACGTCCAACACAAATGGCTCTCGCTCTTGCTTTCTTTTTTGCTTTGGATGACGATATGGCTGATCGGAGGTGTCGTTTTCTGGCGCTCGGAGTCGAACGCAAAATGGTCGTACTTTGAGGCTCTATACTTTGCATATACAAGTCTTCTGACAGTTGGTTATGGAGATTTGTATCCGATCAGTAGTTTGGGTAAATCCTTCTTCGTTTTTTGGTCCCTGCTTGCCGTTCCTACGATTACTATTCTCATCTCCAATATTGGCGATACCGTCATCCGATTTATTCGTGACGTTACGCTATTCATTGGCGAGCTCACTATTCTACCGGGTGACCACTCCTTCGTGGACAGGCTTAAGACACTGACTCACATCTCCTGGGTCAGATGGTGGATGGAGGAAACGACGGGCGAAAAAGAAGGTGCACAACAGCACGCACAATTCAGCCAAAATCAAGATCCCAATAAAGAGAACGGCAACGACTTCGACTTCAAGAACAACAAGGAAGAAAAGCAAGCCGAAAACATCCACCAGTACATCTACCTACTCTTCCGAGAGCTACGCAAAATTATTGAGTACGCCAGCAACACTCCATCCCGGAAATTCGATTATCTAGAATGGGAATATTATATGAGCCTGATTGAAGGAGATAATAAACCCAAGGTTCTTGGAGATGAAGCCAATGATGGACAGGCGCAAGCAGCACGGGAATGGAGTTGGACTGATCAGGAGAATCCTTTGCTTGCCGAAACGAGTGAGGTTCAGTGGCTGCTTGGGCGGTTGACTGAGGTACTTGATCGGGAATTAAGGAGGGCAAGTCAGGTTCATCATGTATCCGAGAGAGCAAAGGGGGATGGAGCAGAGGATTAGATCAGTTGTCGAGAAAAATGATGTTGCCAAGCTGGGGCATTCTCGCTGGGGTCACAGGCACAGCCGTCCAAGGCTCTCGGTCTAGTAACGCTTTAAATTTGGTTGTGACTTTAATGATGCAATAAAGAATGTGCACCCTATATCGCTCAGTACTCGTAGCATTCACCCTTCATTCTTCATAATCCAGGCTATCAACTCGTCTTGTTATAGTAAGGCAATACGTTCTTACTGATTGGATTTTGCCCTAGCTGGGCGAAATTAAGCATTTGAACTAGATTATTGGTGAAATCAGTTCTCGTTTTTCTTGGTTAAAGTGTGCATGAAGCAACATTTGTTAATATTCAACAGTTGAGGCGATTCTGCAATCTAGTCGTACTTACCCAACAGGGCTTGCAATATATATTGGGGATTGAACCACCAACGAAGCGGCTTGCTTATATGGTTGACCCTTTGCAAACGTTGTAAGCTTCGAACTTCTCGCTGAGAAATCTAGCAAACATACAAACAGCAATAAGCAAGCAAACATACAAATCGTAGGCATAGCGGCCAGGAAGGCGGTGAACAGTTCTAGTAGGCGGTCAGTTTATGCCTGAGATATGGCGCAGGCGGGGTCGAATTAACAAAAAGGGGGGTTGGTGGTTCAATCCCCAAAATAAATTAGGTGGAGGATGAAACGGAAGTAGTTCAGTAAAATATACAACATATGTATTTGGAAAGTTGAAATCTGACTAAAATACCCAACAATGGAGTGGATTTATACATAACCTCCCATAGGCTGGTCAGTTCTTGGTTGGAAACTTGAGCCACTTCTTGGCGAAGCTCTTCTCATTCTTCCCCTCCTCATCCCGTGGTGCATAGAACCTCCTACAAGCATCAAGGTTGATATCTTCGAGTTTGTTCCATCTTCTACCGCGGTAGAAAATCTTTGCGCCAATATAAAGAATGATAATAGCCACCACAGAGAGGTAATTGGCGAAGAAGTTCTCCGCACTGGGTTTGTCACCCAAGGGCGACACGGCCAGATAGAACTCGATGATGATAAGTGCTACACACCAAAACAGGCCCCAATAGGCAGCCCAAGGGAAGACCTTTGATTTCCAAGGAAGTTCTTCGACAGAGCGGCCTTGAACTTTCCAGGCAGCACGCATACGGATATGTGACAGGCAGATCATGCCCCATCCGAAGAGAGTGAATAGAGAGGTCAGGTTGGAGAACCAGCCAAAAACGGTAGCACCACCGTTGCTGACGTTCAGGTAGGCCAGCCCACCTCCGATGATGAGAGTAGGCGCAAGGCCCCACCATGGACGACCCCAGCTATCGGTCTTCTGTAGAACCTACACGGAAAATTCGCATTTTGTCAGCAGTACTCTCGGACGGGGTAAAAGAACCAGACTAACCTTGGGGGCCATGCGAAGTTGTGCGAGACCAACGAGTACTCGGGACCCAGCGTATCCAGAGATACCACCAGTGGAGAGGACAGAGACGAGAATGACAGCGTTCATAATATGAGCTAGCGGAGCCACTCCAGAGTTCCTATACATGATGACGAAGGGACTGGAATTGGTGCCAGATGCACCGAACAGATTTTCGTCCTTTGGGCTGACGTTGATCGTGACGATCAAACTTCCTAGGATGTAGAACAAGCTCAATCTCACCCAGATCGACTTGACAGCCTTGGGCACAGATCGAAGGGGATTGCTGGTCTCTGCGGCGACTAGACCAGCATTTTCTGATCCAGACAAGGCGAAGATACATGTCGGCATAACCGAGATGAACCCCTTGAAACCATTGATAAACGCCATCTCGTTCCAAAACTGGAAGCCAATAGTGCCTCCCGGTCTCGCCGGATAACCTCCCTTGGGCCCACCGCCAGCGGAAAGAACAATGCCGGAGATGATTACAACGAAGATGAAACCGAACTTGATTGCGGCAGCCACGACTTCGATCTCGGCGAACCATTTGACCGCTCCAACATTCATCAGGACAATAACGAACCAGAATATAGTGATCAAAGCGGCAGTGGGGACGGCACTTGTCCAGAAGTTGAGTACTGTGATAGCTCCTTGTACCTCGTTGGCAATGGTGATCCAGTAAGAGAACCAGTAAGCCCAACCGAGCGCGAAACCGGCGGATTCATCGACGAATATATTAGTCCATTGCACGAACTAGCGGGGCCGGGTCAGTAATGATCAGTCGGCAAGAGAGAAGCCACCAAACTCACAGCACTAGGAAGGGGATACATGATCGCCATTTCTCCTATACTCTGACTGACACTCCAAATGATGGTGCCAGATAGGATATATCCCAAGAAAATACCAGCCGGACCGGCATTTTTCAAAGATGTTCCTGATCCTAGCCAAAGGCCCATACCAATGGACGAAGCAAGACCAATCATACTGATATGTCGAGAGCTCAGCTGGCGTTGGAGCCCAGAGTCTGCGCCATGGTCGACGCCATCCTCATAGATTTCTCCTACAATTGTCTCCTCGGCATCTTTGCTTGGGACACCTTTGGTGTCGCTTAAAGGCTTTTCAACTCCCGACATCGTGTCAATGGGTGCGAGACCCGAGATGAGAGATAGAAGGTAAGGATGAAAAAGATCGCTGTTGCAACGAATGCCCCGAGAGAAGATCTGGGGACATTGCAATTTATATTCTAACGTTATCAGGTTTCGATCGAGTTGAAACTGCCAAGTGGCGAACTATAGAAAGCCAAAAGTACATGCCCCCCCCCCTAAACGGAGGATCCGAAGTATATCTCTTGGTCTGGTGGCGATTGGCTACGGGAGAGGAGTTCGACGTGCTGTCCTATCAACAGAAGGAACTGGTTGCCTATTGCTCGGATCGGCGACGTTGATGAGGTACACCTGAAGGAAGACGTCGGGGCCCCGGGAAATATGCCATCATTGGGTCGAATTGGCTTCCTTATCTTTGTTATCTTTATCATGCAATGCCGCGAATAGCTCTGGAGGCAACGTCGGCTTGTATTGTCTCTCACCATTGGCCAGGAGATGAGATAACCGCATTCGCCAAGACGGCGACTCCTTTGATTCCCGCGCTCGAGCAGTTTCTCTGACCATTTTACGCCCCGTTAGAACACATTTTGCGCCCCGTTGGATCAAACCATCGGATTAGTGAGCCACTGATTAGTTTCCACCAGCTGAACCTGCGGCTAAGACTCCGTAATGGATAAATGAATCGTAATGTAGGGCTGTCCATATTTGCTTTGGTCTTATTCATTGTATTTGATGGCCTTACGTAGTCAAGAGGGACAGTAATGTGCATGTTTAGCCGCAACGGGTCACCTCTAGCTCCGGTTTTATGCTGTGATGCTCTAGACCGTAGGGTCAAAGGAGGCCCCGCCCGCGCTCCATCATGGGGAAACTTTGTATATTGTAGCTCGTTGTATACAAAAAAGGTCTTCAGTTGGAAGGATATATCAACCCTTGACTACGTTGTGAGATGCCACTACTGATGACATAAGAAGGCAGCATTAACCCACCTCCGCGGCTGGGCTGAGAGGTTGTTCTGTGCAGATGCCAAGCGAATGAGTGTATCTGGCAATCAACAGAGAGGGTCAGTGCGCGACTGTTGTGGATAATTTCACCCGCTCTCATCCTTCTTCTCTCCCTATCTATTACGCACTCGCCCCTTCTTGTGGTGTCATAATTTCAGATGTGAATATCAAACTGAACGAAGATGTCGCCATACAATCACCACGTGACCCATCACCCCTTTCAGGCTGCAGCAAGACTAACACGATCATTCTTCCCCTGAGCTACTGATATAACAGAAGATGAAGACATGCACGAGAATATCGATACCTTTCTGGCATAGGTGAGAACGAGCATTAGTGTCTTATCCAAACTCTCACTGGTGAGTGTAAAGTGCTGAGATGTGTTGTTTGTTTACTGAGGATTCCCCTTATAGCCAGCTACATGTCTTTAAGTGGTCAAGAATTCTCTCGGGAATTCGATACCTCGCATATGTACATCCCGGCTTAAAACTCTCCGGACTCCTAGTACGGGTCCAACTGCCTATACGCATTACCTCGATAGGGCCTCGTTTCCTTTTAGGAGCCTAGGAATGGCTTGTTATCATGTGGAAATATGCCAAGAATTCAATACGGAATTGCCAAAAAGGCTTAGCGCACGCTTATAATTGCTTTCTCGAAGTGGCAAAACGCCCCGATTTTCAGGCTATCGAAGTGGCCTAGCTTCACCACATTCCAGTTATGTCCATGGTTGCAGTCGAGTTGAGTAAATGAGCAATGTCAGGAAGGTGGAAGAGACTTGAAGAGGTGTAAGAGCGAAAGGGGAGAATAGTAGGAGTAGAAAGGCAAGCCACAAGTAGTGGCTATTCTTCCATTGCGAAAACAAGGTTTCCTATCACGGAGAAAACTAACACCTGAAGCCACCCGAAACCGGCCGAGGCCGTCTGGAGCCGTATGTAGCCGCCTGCAGCCGAGGTGCCTTAAGCGGCGACGACCGGATGATAGACGTTAGATGGGGATCACCATAGTTAGTACTCCGTATGGCTGTTTTAAGGTTTCGGCTTCTTTTTAGAGATAGAGGAAATTGATAATTAGAGATGTTATTCGTTGTCATAGAGAGAGACTTTGAATTCTATCTTAGAGGCCGCTGAGGATCCAGATGCACGTGATTTAGTGCCGATCACCACGTGACTGGGCTACTTTATATTAGTCAGATCACGTGCTGAAATTGGTCCACCATTTCATACCACTGAAGGTAACCATCGACACGAACACACACGAACACCGCAGATCGTTTCCTCGATTACTGTCAATCCTTTTACCTCTAAATTTAGACACCTGCAGTTAAAGGGAACACATCTCATTTCGTCCGAATTCCAGTCCCATGACTAGCGATTGTTTCAAAGGCGGATCAAGACGAAGTTCAATAATTAATTCTTGCATAAGATGGGCTTGATATCTCACGGCGCATCTAGTATTGCGAAGATGGGAAGGGCCGACGGGAACGCGATCGGCAAGTTGGCTCCAGAATTTCAGCCCACCTAATACATACGATGATGCAATGGTTCAAAAGAAAAACCAGATTGTATCGCGATGAGGGTCTTGGTTCATGCAAGATCGCTCCCTGATTTAGGTAGCTAGGACGCAATAATGTCGATCGTCGGACCTAAGCTAGTGGTTGTGGAAGCTTTAAATTAAGCAGCGCACTTTCCATTCATTGTCTGCGCCAGAAAACCTAAAATGTCCGCAAAGTCTACGCATCTGCCTTTTCCCGGCGTCCAGCATGGAAAGCGCATCATTATATCTGTGATTGAACAGCGAGCGCGTGACGAACCAAACAGTTCGTGGATTTCGATCCCGGTTGACGAAGGAAAAGTGTGCGAAGGGTATAGAGATATCACGTTCAAACAATTGAACGATGCGGCCAATCATGCGGCACAGTGGCTTTTGCACAATCTGCCTCCATCTTCGCGGTCTTTTCAATGTTTTGCATATGCCGGACCCAAAGATCTTCGCTATCCAATTCTTGCTCTCGCAGCAGGAAAGTTACAGAAGAAGGTATGTCTATGATTTCCCGTTTCTTTTTCCCGGCTAACAGAATTCCAAGTTGATTCTTCCTAACCTGTCTATGATGCCAGAAAATCATGCACACGTGCTTCGAAAAGCAGAGTGTGAAGTCTACCTAAGTACAAAGCATGTAGCCAATGACATCAAAGCAGCCCTTGAGCATGCACCAGAAATTCAATACATGGATGCCCCAAGTCTCGATGACTTATTCCGAGACACGGAGCCGATTGCAATTGAATACACCAAGCCCTGGGATGACGCGAAGGATGACCCATGGCTAGTATTTCACAGCTCTGGCACAACAGGTGAGCCAATTTTCTTTCGTTCATCAAGAGAGGGACCGCCTAATCACAATAAATATTCACCTAGGCCCTCCTAAGCCAATCACCCATACATTTCGAATGGTGGCCAATCTAGAAGCTCCAGCAAGCTTGCCAGATGTCGCAGAGAGCCATATTCATCAATACGCTAACAAACGATGGTATACACACTTGCCAACATTGCATGTGAGTTTTGAGCTCTGTCTGGTTTAATAGCATTTGTCTCGTGTACTAACAACGCCGTGGTAGTATGTGGGGATGGTAACGGTACTCTTCATCCCCCCATTCGTCAACATGACAGCCATCCTTCCACCTCCCGACCAATCCCCAGAAAACGTGGCGAAGATCTTGCGCTATGCCCGCGCGGACGGTGCTATATGCACACCGCTACTGTTGAGTCAGATGTTGTCTTTCACGGATGGCGCAGAAGCTTTGAAAAGCCTGGAATATGTCCACTATGCCGGCGCTCCTCTGGCGCGCCACCTGGGGAATCAAATAATCTCTGACACCAAGTTAGCCCCTCTTATTGGCTGTACCGAGTCAGGACATCATTTCACCGAGACACGGCCGGACGACAAAGAGGACTGGGATTACTTCAAGTTCCAGCCACATGCAGGCGTCGAGTTTGAGCATCGGGCTGATGACTTTTATGAAATGGTGTTTGTCCGTCGACCAGAATGCGTCATGCAGCCGATATTTATTGCCTTTCCTGAGCTAGAGAGATTTGAGACCAAGGATTTGTGGGTTCAGCATCCTACTCGTAAAGGGCTCTGGAAGATTGTCTGCCGGATGGATGACTTCGTTTCCCTCACCGATGCGAAGGGATACTTTGTCTCTCCTTTTGAGCGGGAGATTGAGCAACACCCGCGTGTAGAGGCTGCTTTGATAGGAGGCAACGGGTACTCCGATCTGGTCCTTCTCCTTGAGATTACAAACGGGGTCAATGTCGACACGGAAAGCGGGCGGCGTTCTTTCTTTGAGAGCTTAGAACCGTACCTTTCCAGAATCAGCGATTCGAGTCTCCTCAAACTGGAACCGAAACTGACAATAATTGCTCGGAAGGACAAGCCATTTGTCCGGACTATTAAGGGGACACTAGCTAGGGTACCCACTCTGCAGCTTTATGAAGATGACATTGCTGCACTTTTTGATGGGTCTACGTAAACGGTCATTTCACAGTATTCGGAGGATCAGTCGTTGCATGCGGTAAACGAAACAACACTTTCGACAATGGATACGGTATGTGACAGGTCTCAAATTATCGAGATGTATTTAGTGATGGAAAAAAGGAGATTGGAAACTGCAATAAGCCCCTTGCTCATTATATATTCTTACAGAGGTAGTCGAGAACCGATATTCCAAGGTTAGAATCCATGATGCACTGGTGCTGCACTTAGAACGATCTTCAAAATTGGGCATCAATGTCCGTCAGCCCCAGTGGGCGCTGGGCTGTATCAGGGCACAGCGACAGGACGCGTATATTTGATGCAACCCCTTCTCGGCCCACCTCGGGGGCACTGCCAATATCCACGAGACCATGATCCTGGAAGGCTAAAGCAAGGAAGATCGGTTTCTGTTCTTGGATATGCCATTTTCAATTATAGGGTAATACGTGTAGTCATATCTTGCGTTTCGGTTAACATAAGCGGTCTGCTGGATTCTTGTTGTTCGACGTAAATGAAGTTAACATATATACCCCCACCGCTGAAGTTCGATGGAAGTAATACAAACCGTCTTCCTTGCAAACTTGCACCCAAGAATCTTTCGTGATGACTATTCTTGTACTGGGTGGGCGGGGTAAAACGGCCAGTCGTCTTGCGGCACTTCTGGACCAAGCCAAAACTCCATTTCTAGTTGGATCTAGCTCGGCGTCTCCCTCTGACCCCTATAAATCCAGCCAGTTCAACTGGCTGAAAAGAGATACGTGGGAGAGACCATTCGAACAGGCCGGGAAGCATGGATTGGGTACAATCTCGTCCATTTATCTAGTTGGGCCTCCTGTCATGGATATAGCCCCGCCTATGATCGAATTCGTTGATCTAGCTCGCGCTAAAGGGGTTCAAAGATTTGTCCTTCTCAGCGCCAGTACTGTTGAGAAAGGTGGACACTCGATGGGACAGGTCCATGCATATCTGGACTCTCTGGCAGAAGTTGAGTATGTGGCACTACGACCAACATGGTTTATGGGTACGATTTATCCTTTTCTACGCTATAATCTTAAACGATAATATGGCTAAGCTTGATTTCAATTCTAGAGAATCTATTAGAAGATCCCTCTCGCGAGTGGATTAAGAACGAAAATCAAATCATAACCGCGACTGGAGATGGTAAGATTCCATTCGTCTCAGCCGACGACATTGCTTCCGTTGCCTTTCATTGCTTGACTGAGTGGGGATCGCACAAGACGGAATATGTCATTTTAGGTCCAGAGCTCCTATCGTATGGGCAGGTAAGATGACTCTATCCCAACTCAATACCTGTAGATAAATCCTTTTGACGCTAATAATACATAGGTGGCGGAGATTCTCACCACAATTTTGGGCAAAAAAATCATCCACCGCAGCCTTACAGAAACTGGACTTGCTGAACTTTTAGTAAAAAAGGCAGGGATACCTGCAGACTTTGCAGCTATGCTTTCGGCCATGGAAGTTGATGTCAAGAATGGCCCACAAGAAGTTCTCAACAATTCTGTGGTGGAAGTGACGGGAAACCCCCCACGGTATTTCAAGGATGTAGCAGAGCATGAGAAGCACGTCTGGGCTTAGCCAACTCTCTACCCTTGTTGTTCTCGTTCTTTTTTTGTTTTACGAGAGTCTTCAACTACCAGTCTGGAAATGTGATCGAGGCCTCCACTCCATTTCGTCTTTATCTTGATCGATATAATATAATAAAACGGCTCGCGGCCACAAAAAAAAAAAAAACAAAGGTACTGACGGATGTTGCCTCAACCACATGGAAAGGTAAACCTCTAAGAAATTGCAAGATACCATTTTGCAAATTCTCTGATACTTCCCAACCCTCCTTTCCTCCGTGTCATCTACCACATCACCCATGACTATGACAAAGCCTGTCCTCAAGGTGTTCCAGATTCTTCAAGCAGACAGAGCCCTAATCATCGATGAGCAGGTCAAAGCCTTCGACAGTAAGGTGGATTAATGCAAGAAAATGTGGGAATTCGGCCAGAAAACGATGCAAGACGGCTACCTGGCGAACATGAGGCAGCTCAGTAGTCTTTCACTGTTAGCAAGACCTTCCACATATATCCCATGCAACAACCACTTCTACACGAAGTGTGCACTAAAGCCTTTGGGTCAGAGTTCGGCGATCATTGCCTGATTACCTCATCGGTGCTGGAGACGGACCCGGGCTACTTTGGACAGGAGCTGCATCGTGACTACGATGGACTTCCTCTCAGCATCATACTTAGATACCACAGCTCGGAAGCAATGCCCAGCTCACAGAATTCACAGATAAGGGAGGAAATGAAATTGCGGTGTGCTTTTTTGAGCCCTGTATTTATGGCTTAGTAATTACTGAGACTAGTGTTAAATTGATGCATGTATTTCGTACTTATGAGCTAGCTATGCAATCCTACCAGACGGTCTGCTGAGCTAGATATCGATTTGCATTCGCCATCACAGGTGGTGGTGCATGATCTGCAAGGGGCGTTATCAATGGCCAAAAGTACCTATTTCAGTGTATTGAATGTAGGTCTTAGTAACTTAGACATGGTTCTAATGAGTTCAGCTAGATAATAATTCCTTCCCCCCGCCGTGATGTAGCAAGATTTTCAAAGTTATTCACCTTTTATCATAAGTAACAAACGAAGCTTCTTACTCCGGCATGTCTACCTCTTTTGATCACTCAGTGATCCTCAGTCCCCTGGACCACATAGCGCCCCAGGCATATGTCTCCTATCTATTGTCTTTTCAGACAGCGAATTCTACGCACTGTCTCTCTCTGTTGGAAGCCGGCATCACACGTTTGACAAAAGTGCTTCCCCTTCTACTCGGGCACATCGTCGTTAATCCAGAGCTCGATGGAAAATATAACATTCAGAGTGTCCAAATACCATGTACAAAAGAAGACCGTACAATCCTGGTACACAAGCATCACCCATTCCCTATGGAAAGCGCGTTAGGAGGCGTGCAGAGTGGCATGTCAATGCTTGAGACATCTGACTCCAAGCAGCATCTTTGTCCGCTCCCACCGCTTATTCCCTCGACTGAAAGACAGCCTGTGATTCGGTTCCAGGCAAATATTTTCACGGATGCAATCGTGCTGGCGATGACGTTCAGCCATATTGTTTTTGACGGAACAGGCGCGGCAAAAATCCTTGCGTTACTGGGAAGATGCTGCCGAGACCCATCAGTTACCCCGCTGCCGCTCATCATTGACGAGCAAGATCGAGCTCAGAGCGCTATATTTGCGGGACTGGCAGACACGTCTCCTGCCCAAGATCACACGGCAGAACTTGGTCCTGCGCCGGCAATACACCCCGTTCCCCTTGACGCAGCGTCGCTCAGAACATGTCGCTTTGAATTCAACAGTGAGCGAATTTTGCAGCTCAAATACCAATGTTCTCAAGTCTTAAAGAACGCCTGCATGTTCCAGCCAAATAGTGCGTCTATTCCTGTCGCTGATCTTCCACCCTTCTTGTCGAGCAATGATGTCTTGACTTCGGCTCTTGCGGACGCAATACAAAGGGTCAAATCTCAAAGCAAGACATATGACTGCCTAGACTTATGCATGGCAGTCAACATGCGCGGTCGGATCGAGCTATCCGCAGCAAGAGAGTTTCTGGGAAACATGGCATGTAATCTTCGATTAAAAACTCCAGGCCCGGAGTATACCGGGCCAGAGCAGTGTTTGTCTTGCAGGAAAACCCACGATTGCCCAATTCAGACAGACCAACTCCGATTCCTGACTGATTTGGCGTGCAAAGTGAGGAACAAAGTACGAAACATGGATAGAAAATATTTCCAGAGCTGCATGACATACATCGCAAACCAGAAGGATTGGAGTCAAACCGGCATGATATTTACCGACCTTGCTTTTTCTAGTTGGCGACATCTTGATATTTATGGTCTGGATTTTGGTGACAGTTTTGGAATTGTCCACAATTTCGATCTTTCGTTCGGCCTGATTGAGGGTGATGTCATTTTTCTCCCGAAACGACTCACTTGTGACCAAAAGGAAGCAGGTTGGGACGTTCATATCACGCTACCTGCGAAGGATCTTGAAGCACTTGTCAAAGATGATCTCATTCGCTGGTTGATGGGTCGGGATGGAGAATGACTTGTTTCATCTTCATTCTGTATTTACAGCATTCTCTTCAAACGACCGATAATATCATCCAAATGCTATAGGCCCCAGTGTGAGCAAATCGAACTGAAATTAGAGATATTGTAGAGGGAGAACCATCTTGTTAACAGCGTCATATTATACTACCTAGATAATGCCAAAAAGGAAGTATTTCATCCCAACTTGACTTGAAAACCTAAGACAGACAGGATTTGAAACTCGGGTCGTGTATCAATGTAAAATACGAACGTGTCCGAAGCATTAAGGTGGGATCTGACAGAATACCAATACGTCAAATGAAGTAAATTTTCTGCGCTAGCTAGACTTTAGTCCTAAATGGCCACCAATCTCGTCAAAGTTACTGGACCAGTAGGTCCCAACGGGTCCATCCTTGATCGGCCAGTTGCTTCGGAAGCCGAACATCGCCTGGCCCCTGTAAGACATGGTCTCTGCAATCTCGCGAGGGATTGATAGTGGATGTGCTTCCTCCGTCATGAGGCCCTTGCGGGCAATGTGGATTGTGATACCACGACGGTACTCATTGGTCCTGTTCTCTCCCCCACCATGAACAAGTCTGCCGGAAAAGAGAAATCCATCGCCGGGGTTGATCTCAACTGGCAGAAGTTGGGGCGGATTCAAGTTGTTTAGGTCGACATCAAGATGCGTTTTCGGGGCCACTCTTGTGGCGCCATTGGCCTCCGTAAATGGGGTCAAGGCGCAAAAGAAGTTGATGCAAGCCTCCGGTGCTGGAGATGGAATCAGGTCCCAGAAAGGCCATACACTTTGATCTCGATGCAGTGGTTGTGCCGCGTTACCGGGTCCGATCTCAATCACCTGTGCACAGTTGATATGATACCCTTCCCCAGGACTGTCACATAATATCGATTCACTCAGAGCGTGCATCAGATCATTCTCCAGAATCACCTCGCGGAAAGTACGGCTATTTGGAGCCAGTGGCAATCGCTTTGTGTTTATGCCCAGGAACTCTTCCAACGGCACCCCGTTTTTACCGGGAGCAAGTTTTGCCAGTCCAGGATCAATCTCTTGATTCATTGAGGCAACCTCGGATGAACTGAGAAGCCCCTCGATAATTACACATCCATAATCGTTGTAAATATCGAGAATGGCCTCGGGTCTTGCTGAGACTGGCAGTCGCGGGAGACTTGGTGATCTCATCTTGTTCGATTTGCTGTTTGCTGGCTTCCAATCTGGTATATATTGTGACCAGCTGACAAATTCCAGATCAGGCAGAGGCCCTGAACGAGAAGGCTCTTGAGATGGACAAGAAAATATGGCAATGGGGACAATGAGGATAATCTCTCCAGGAAAGGATGAAAGTGCACTTTTATACTCCAATTTGGTCATCCCTTGCTTCAACGACACACCCCCTCCTTCGCCGGCCCCTCCACGGGCGGGATCAAGCCCGGACTTTCCCCAAGAGATCATCCCTGCCTCGTTCCACACTCTCTGTTTGGAATACATGGCTGTGTTGGATTCTTGAACATCATTTTCGTGCTCTATTCATTTGAACAAAGACCGCTCTTGTGTGATCGACGCTGTATCCCTCACAGCCCTTTACATGAACATACATCTACACCACACGGTCAGGTTTCCATGGGTAGATTGGTTTTCGCTTTGGCTCGTGACATTGCAGCAATTACACCGGTCTTTCTTGCTTTAGGATTGGTAGACGCGTAATGTGCTGCTCAATGGCGCCCTTGCCTCAAAACGCGAAGTCGAAGGAATTCAATTCTCGTGCATAAGTGAGGGACAACAAAGAACGAATCTCATCTACAAGGTATGATAAAGCAATGTTTCTGGTTTTTTACTCACGTCAAGTTCTCCCGGGGGCATTGAGTCAGACACTCCTAGGATTCACTATGACCATTATCCCCAAACACCCGTCTCCAACGCTTTTCAAGCCTCTGGCGCTAGGAAAATGCCAGCTCCAGCATCGAATTGTCATGTCGCCAACCACCCGATATAGAGCTGATGAGGCTGCTGTGCCTCTGCCGTTTGTGAAAGAATATTACGCCCAGCGAGCATCTGATCCGGGGGCTCTGTTGATTACTGAAGCGACGAATATTTGCCCAAACTCAGTTGGCGAAGCACATATCCCAGGGATATGGAGTAAGACACAATGCGAAGCTTGGAGAGAGGTTGTTTCCCAGGTTCATGCCAAAGAATGTTATATCTTCTGCCAGATTTATGCTACCGGCCGATCTGCCGACCCGGAATTGCTCGCATCCCGAGGGTTTGAACAGGTGTCGAGCAGTGCTGTTGCGGCAGAGCCAGGGTGCCAGCCCCCACGCGCGCTAGACGAAGAGGAGATTCAGAAGTACATCTCTGACTATGCGCAAGCAGCACGAAATGCCATTGAGGTCGGGTTCGATGGGGTGGAGATCCACGGCGCCAACGGCTATCTCATCGACCAGTTCACGCAGGCCTCGTGCAACCAGCGGACCGACGAGTGGGGAGGAGACATTCCGAATCGAGCACGGTTCGCTCTCCAAGTTACCATGGCGGTAATTAATGCAATCGGTCCGGATCGAGTTGGCATGAAGCTTTCCCCGTGGAGCCAGTATTCCGGAATGGGTATCATGGGTGACCTGGTTCCCCAGTTTGAATACCTCATCCTGCAGCTTCGACAACTCGGCATTGCGTACTTACACCTCGCCAACTCCCGGTGGTTGGACCAAATGACGACTCACCCTGATCCAAACCACCTCACCTTTGTCAAGGTATGGGGGAGGTCCCTGCCAGTGATCCTGGCGGGCGGATATGATGCGACGTCGGCCCCAGAGGTGATTGAAATGGTGTATGCAGACTATGACAATGTTGCTATTGGATTTGGGAGATACTTCACCTCCACGCCCGATCTCCCTTTTCGGATGAAGAATGGCATCGCCCTACAGAAATACGATCGCTCCTCATTCTATACGTGTCTCACGAAAACTGGCTACCTGGATTACCCGTATAGTCCTGAGTATCTGTGCCGGAGCAGTTGAATATTTGACGATGCTAGGGGATGCATCAGAAGAGGGCAGAAACAGCTCATCTATGTGCTATGTTCGAAAATTGTCTCTAGAGGTAGTTGCCTATCTGTGTCGAAGTACTCCGTACCGCTCCGCTCGTTCTACATCTCCCACCGGAATTCCCGAGGTCCGGGAAGATCTGTCACAATTGCAATGTCTGCTTTCTAGGCGAGATTAAGCGAGCGCTCGAAGTTTGCATTATTTGTTTGTTTGCAAAGATCAACCATATAAGCAGGCCGCTTCCCACTTTGCAACCTGCTTCTTCTCTCTCTATCTTCTCTATCTATCTTACTTATTTAGTTGAATGCATTATTTCTTACTTTAAGATCGACCTGGCGTCTCTCAAGACCTACGTCTTAGCCAATATGTCATTCACTACATTTGACCCCCATTTATCGGCCCAACTTCACAACCAGATCCTTAAACAGGCATGGATTGGGGCTGGACGGGATGTCGCCTCGATCCCGTCTAGAACTTGGTGGGAAGAGTTCTCGCCAATTCCATTCGATCTCGCATCCCGCCTGAATCCGAACTTGGTCAGGTTCCTACGGTCGGCGAAGGCCACTATATTTGACCCTGATTCAAATTTTCATCTCTTCTATTACCTCGTAGCGCTTCATGGAAAACATGAACTTTTTGCTCCGGAATCTTCACTCGGATCGTGGGGTGATCGTTATGTGTGGCTATATCCCTCAACACGAACAAAGAGTGACGAAGAAGTCGGGATAGTGTGAGAGTCCTTTTATGCTTTAGTACAATTGAGGGAAGACGAATACTTATACGCCAGATAGATTCGATCAAGAAACTGAGCTTGCCTCTTTTGTCCCAGTCTGGGAAGATATGATCTGGTCTGATAGGGAACGGTGGCCATGGCGGCCATTACAAAACATTCTGAAAGCCTATCTAGACATGTTGGATGAGGGCAAAATTACAACATATTCGGATCGTCGAAAGGAATCTGTGGATCATTTTTTTGGAGTATTCCCTTGGGAGATTCACCAATATACCCCAATGGATGTGGAGAGGGCAGTCAGTGCCTTTACTCGTCTTCTTGATGCTATCGAGATTCGACTTCCATCAACTTTGATACATTCGACGTATGATTGTGGAATAGCTCTCCCATACTCCGAACTGGTTATCAAGGCATCTTTCATAGAAACGGGCTCGTTTATCGAATGTTTTCTCTCGGCTCTTCCCATCCGGCGTCTCGCCTTTCGCTATATTGCCCCCGGTATTCGACTCCAAAATCCGGTCGAATTTACAAATCAACCACTTGCCGAACGTCAGATTCCAGGCTTGCATAATACCGACCAGGCGATACCATTATACCCTCTACTCTTATTTCGAGGGGAGAGGGAGAACAAGTCGCCCTTGAATCGGCCCTGGTTTCCTGACGGAAGGGCAGAGAACATTCCATCTGGTTTGTACATAGAACCAACCGACAAAAATCTCAACTGGCAATCTGGTAACCAGAGTCGACTCCTGCTGCCCTTCAGCATTGGAAGCAATGGGTTTGCTCGAGGTAGCAATGGTATACCATTCAAAAATGCTAGGTTTCCGGGAACCGAACGGCCTGATCAACTTTACCAGGCAGACCTTTTCAGTGGCTATAGTGGTTATTTACCTTGGGATTCGCGTAGCTCATATCTACACAAAGTTTTAGAAAGCTGGGCTGAACGGGTGGAAATGGGTGATTGGCAAGTGGACCAAGACGGCGTTGTCGGTGGTATTGACAAGTTCAAAGAGGCTGATACTGGAGAACATTGGAGAGAATATTTTATTCCTTGGTGAGATCTTTTACTAGTTAATGACTAACTAGTTAGCTGTTAACTAACTAATGCAGTGGGGGTTTCCAGAGCAAGATGACTAAGCGGCTATGTGGCATAAAAGCACTCCCGAGGCCTAGATAGCAATGCAGACTTCCACTTCTCCTCTCTAGCACCCTACTACTCCCAGTGATGACTCTGCTCTCACACCTGTTTCGCAGGCAGGGCTGTCGGTGCCCCTCTCCTAAGAACCCCTCTTTAATAAATAGATAAACTAAAGTAAAAATAAGAAATCACATTTCGATATATTATTCAAGTCGCATGAGATGCGAATGACCCTTGATATACGGAGTAGTATGTTGAAGTACTATGATTTGATAACTATAAGCCCATAATTAACCTAATAATGGTTAGGAAGAGTAGTCAGAATAGAAAGTTTTATCATATACCTGCATCTGCCCTTGCCTCTCCTAAACAGACTGTTTTCAATAGCCAGCAACTGTGCAATGTAGTTATTCATGCTGCCTTCCTAGCACTCGCCTTATATGTCTTTATTTCCCACACAGTTTGTTGTTCTTGAAATCAGATACCAATTTGCGCCAATTCGGCTTGAAAACGGGTTTGTTCATCTATATATTTATCAGCTTAACCAAGTCATTGAAAAAAAGAAATATAAGACTCAACTATGACAGCTGCCCTTATTAGGTGGCTTGTCTTCTCAACCAGGTTCAGGTTCTTTTGAAGTGCAATTATATATGCTTTCCTAGCCTATGAAGTCTTCTGGGGTACATACTCCATCACTTTGCTAATAACGCATGATTTGATGTCTTTGAAGCTATCTTGGCTGGCAGAACAGACATTTTTAATTCCCATGATCTTTAAATCTCCCTCGATGCACTTTTTAACGATCCTGTCAAATATCTCATCTGGATGAATGCCAAGCTTCTGAATAGGATGGTCGTTTCTCTTCATAGTGCCAAATATCCAGTCCATAATAATGTGATTCTTGATAAGATCAGGGTACCTTCTATAAGTAGGCGCGAATGCGACTTTGCACTTATAGTCTTCACAGACTTTTTTCTTTATCCACTCAAATGCCGCTTTCGATACTAGAATGGCCTTTTTCAACACCGTCTTGCATTCCCCCGGAATTAGCAACATCATAATTGCCATATCGTCGTTCCTTGCTGCAAGATAATTGCCTTGAAGAGCCTCATCTGGTATGAGACTGCCATTGCCTGTGGGATGTAACTGTGATTCCATAACCATAGGCTCATTGTTTCAGAGATCTGTCGGACTTGGATGGCTGGAGACGAATGCACAGTACATGGTGATGAGAACCATAAGGGTGGTGAAATTGAGGATATGCATTTTTGCGAGTGGGAAGAAAAGACAAAGTAAGTATGATATTACACATATGGTAAGAAGGCGATGCCGAAATAATTTTCTGTGGCATTGTTTGCTACAGCAATATCCGAGAGCAGATCCCCCATGGCCATAGACGAATTCTTTCATTGAAGTTCTGCCTATGCCTCAACAGCTTCCTTGTTGTCTTTGTCCTCTTTCGGGACCTGGATTCCATACTCTGTTTCTAACTCGGTGCGCAGCTTGATCTGCCTTTCAAACCAGATGACAATGAATCCTAGAGCAGCAAATCCCAGAGACACTTGCCAGACCAGCTTCAGAGTATCAGAATACACACTTATCACCTCGTCGCGAACTTGCGGCTCAAGGGACCGGATGAAATTTGCAGATACATGAGAGTATGCCTCTCCACCTCCCAGCTGTGCAGCAACAGAAGAGTCTGATATGCGGCTTGACAGTCGCCCAAATTGTGTGTTGAATATGGCAGCCGGGATTGAAATTCCCCAGATGGCACCATAACTACGAACAAATGCCCAGGTAGCCGTGGCTAGCCCAACATCCTTTTCTTCGAGGCCAACCTGAACTGCAGGCAGTATCGTTGTGAGCAGCATACCCAGACCTATGGCGGTGATAATTTGATAGACGATCCACTTTCCATCGCTTGAGTCTGCGTCAAGGAGTGTGAAGAGCCCCAGCCCCACAAGGGACAGACCCATTCCAAAGATGTGAATTGGTTTATAGAAGCCCCATTTGCTGAGGACGACACCTCCGACTATAGCAGTCGGAACAGCAAGGATTACGGTAGGTAAAAATTGCACACCAGCACGGGCCGAGGTAGAGAGCTTCACCGACTGGAAGTACACAGGCATAAAATAGACCACCCAGAAGGTGAGCATGTTGTGGATGAAAGACAAAATCAGAGCGGCGAAGGAGGTGCGGTTGCCGAAAATATGCGGTGGCATCATGGGCTCTGGGCACCAAGGGCTGGCCTCGTAAATGTGGAATATGACCATGCCAACAAATCCTAGCACCAGACACATAATGATGCGCCAGCTAGACCAGGAATAGGCGGTACCGGCCCAGGTGAGGGCTAGTAGGATAGAGACGATGGACGTCATTAGTAGTGCATTGCCGAGATAATCGATCTTCTTGATATTTTCCTCCCAGGGCTCTTGTTTGTAGTTGACGTGTAAGAAAAAGAACAGAAGAACGAGTGCCGTTCCTCCAATTGGGAGATTTAGATAAAACTGTTGATTGTTGATGCATGGGTTAGCTAGGTGAGCTTGACTTGGTGTGAAGTATATTAAGCACTCACGACCCATCGCCAGGAGCTGTGTTGTACTAGAGCACCACCGACGAACGGACCAAGGGATGTTCCAATAGAGAACACCGCGAAGATCATGGCCATGAAGTTTCCTCGTTCGCGCAATGGGACCAAATCGCTGACGATCAGCTCGATCAGGACGTTGATACCTCCCCCACCAATGCCCTGAATCGCTCGCCCAGCAACCATCATGGCAGAGTTGATAGCACCACCGCTTATACCGCTGCCAAGTACGAAAAATGCCACCGCGCCGATCATCAACCATCGTCGACCGAAGATATTTGCAGTCTGTCCGAAAAGCGGTTGAAAGCACGCACTTGAAACCCGAAGAGTCAGATCAGCTTCCTCGAAGTCTTTGGATTCATCTTTCAACTCACCTGGTGAGAAAATACGAGTTGACAAACCAAACATAATCCTTTCCCGCATGCAATTCATCGGAGATAGATGGCAACGCGGTGGACGTGACCGTCGATTCAACCGCAGCTAACAAGATTGACACACAAAGCGAGAGGTAGATCGCCCAAAAGCGCCATCCCCTCCCCTGTTTGTCCTCAATGGGCAGTGTCGATGCTGTCAAAGTGTTTGGCATGCTGGGAAGTCACGCCAATGTTGTATGTTGTGAACGAAGAAAATAATATCCTAGTAACAGTCGGATCACGTTGAAAAGTAGGCCACCGAGAGTTGGTTTGGAGTTAGAGACGACGCGTTTGTCAACAAGCCGACGCTGAAGGTTGGGGGAGGTTTCTCGTTGTACAACATATCCATGGATATAGATGTTCCCCTTTCCGGTCGAGGGAATCCGGGCCTGTGATTGGTCCAAAGTCGCCGAGTGGTCCCAATTAGGACTAATGCCAGGTTCTTCCGACTACGGACTTTCCTAACTAGGAATATCTTAGTTATCTACAGGATACACATGTGTGATACCTCCACGAAGGTCTCCTTTACCTGGGCATGCTGCTAAATATATAGATGTAAAGTGTATGCTAAAGAATATCATTGAAAGTTGTCTGACCTGCTTAGTTCCGTCGCTGTAGATTTCTTAGTTATCGAGGTACACCCCGCCCGAAAGGGAGATCAGCACGTGGGTCGCGGGTAGACGGGAGAAACACGTCGCCAAATGGAAAGCTTCCAGACTCCAACTCGTGTTTCCTCACACCGTCAGACACAGCCATCAACTCGAGCCATTTTTCAGCGCAAGCTACATAGACCCCAGTTTGTGTTGGCTTCTCGCATTTCTCAGCCCATCCACTCCTGAATATTTCCAAAAGCACGGAGTGGGATGTCCGAATAGCGCTCGCGGCAAGCCTGCGACCGGTGCCACAACCTTAAATTGTGGTGTGAGCTAGATGACACAAGCAGATGCAGTCGTTGCGTGAGGGCAAGTGCAAGCTGTGTGTTTAGCTTTCGAGTCATGGTCGCCGATCTGGTTCCCATGTAACCAAATGGACAAGCGAGGTGCTCCAGGGGCTGGTATCGCACTTGGGGAATGTCGACTCGTAAACCTGTTAAGTCCCCTAACATCTTGGAGCATCTTGACTGGGCTAACTAAGATTGGGATCCACCTGAAAGAGGACACCCGGGCGATGATCATCACGTACAGCCTCACTTTAGAAATTTGGAGAATACGCAGAATCCCGATACCAAAATCCCGGGCCATCATATCGAGGCTATATATGGGCGTTGGGCCGGACGTCTTGCCAGAGCTTTACAACCTCCATGAATTTGTCAGATGCATCGCTAGAATCAAGCATCTTCTCTCGATTTTCTCGCCACGGCAGCAACCACCTCGGCCCGATGACTGGCCCCCATACTCTTTCCTCAAACCCTTCTGTATGCCCGACACTTTCCGCCCGGGAAACAAGACCCATCCCGACGTCGTACAGCCCCATCATTAACTATGCAAATTGACCATGACCCATGGATATGTCGGGATGGAACCAGGGTTTCCATTTGTGGAACCGTGGATTTCTACCCGAGCCGCTTCTTTTTTCTACAACATCCTTCAAGCCTCCTGATATAATCAATATGTATATAATTCACAGATATTAAATTATGATATAGATAATATGCTATCATCAAGATGCATTCTACATACAGTTATATCCCGCGGTAGATGATGTACATTTTTCTCGTCAAGTCCATCTAGAAAGATGGAGTCACAGGAGGACCATCAAGCTTGAAGTAACCAGGCTGGAGCTTTTGGTAAACCTCCCTGGGGTCGTACTTCTTGGCAATATTCTTCAGCTGAGCCTTGTTAGTAGCACCATATCCAGCGACAGCATCCTGGAACATGCTGGCGTAGTTCATGTAAACATATTCATTGAAGACTCCGACGCTCTTAGCCTCAGCAATGACCTTCTCCATGAATTTGTTGACAAACGCGTAGATAGTCTCGTCATCAGCCTCGTTCGTCCACCAGCAAGAAATGTGCAAAAGGTGAACAGGGCCAGATGAGCCGGCGAGTCCAAGAGCGTTACCGCCGTGGTTCTTCATATTGTTCAACATGGCCTCGGTGATTCCCTGGTAGATGAGCACGGGCTGGGCGCCGGCGACATCGGCCACCTCAGAGATCATCGAGTAGAAGAGATCCACCACCCAGTTGGCAAATTTCTCGTCGAGAGCCGCACTGATAGGCCAGTACACCTCGCGAAGACCGAATGGGTTCTCGCTCTCAAGGTACTCGACGTACTCGACAAGGGTCTTGGCACTAGATGTGTCGGAAATGGCGGGAATGCTTCTGTATTGCTTGTAGATTTCGGGGTTGGGGTCGTTGTGCACGTAGGTCAACTCAGCAGAGGCAAGGTTCATATCTTGGGTCCGGAGGAAGGCGACGTATTGCTGGGCTTTGCCGTCAATGGTGGCATTGTTGATCACGTTGATCCAAGCATTGATAACCTCGGGAAACTCGGTCTGGAGGAAAGTTCTGGCACCACCGTAAAGCTTTGGCGAGGGGATGGTGTACATATTGTACTTGGTGACAAGGCCAAAGTTGTTTCCACCGCCGCGCAGAGCCCAATATAGGTCAGCGTGGGAAGTTTCACTCGCGGTTACAATCAGACCACTAGCGGTCACGACCTAAACAGGATTTGTTAGTAATTCATTCGGCAAAAGGTATGACAGATGTATATTCTTACCTCAAAGCTGTGGACATTATCGCAAGCCCATCCGTACAGGTTGGAGTGATAGGAGATTCCACCACCCAAAACAAAGCCACCAACACCAATGCTGGCGGCACGACCTCCAATAACGGCCAATCCATAAGGCTCGAGGGCAGTGTAGGTAGTGAGCCAGTTATTTCCAGGCTCAATTGAGGCGACTGTCTTGTCTGCGTTCAGGGTAACGGCATTCATATCCTTGAACCAGATGCTGATTCCGCCAGGCGCGCTGGAAGCCCCGGTAAAGGCCGCATGGCCGCCACTGCGAGCAGCAAACTCACAGCCTGTCAACCGGGAAAGTAAAACTGCAGTGCTGACCTCCGTATTCTTGGTAGGACGGAAAATACAACGAGGCTGGACCTCTTCTTGCTGCACTGACCAGAACGAGCTAGTGAAGTTGCTGTACCCAGTAGTATCTTGAGCAGCAACCTTGGAGCCAAAAAGGAATCCCAAACTTGCGCACTAAGAGAGATTTAGAATAAATTATTGCTCGATGGCTTGCGAGCTTACTTACAGCAGCTGCACAGGCCTTATCGGTTGACCGTGTCTCAATGGCGGTGAATGACTCCAATGCAGGAATTTGCGACACATCCACACCGAGATCCTCCAATGCGCCAGTGACGCTGAAATCATCCGCTTCGATGACCGGGCTGGTCACAGTTGTCTGGGCTAGGGTCAATCCGCAAATCGCGGATAGCCCGCCAATAAAGGTCGAAATATGCATGATCCAAAAGCTATGCAAGTAACCCAAACAGAAACGAACGTGATATATAGACAAATTCAATGGCTTGGAAAGAAAAAAGGAGAAGAAACTAAGGTGGGGGGAGCTTATTGTTTTTTAACTTCCCCTGCGCTCTGATCCGATGAGGTTCCGGAGATGCATTAGGTGTCATTAAGTAACTAATCAACGGGGCCGTATAATTGGCGTATAGTATGACTAGGCTATTCGCTTTCGTTAACGCGTATATATAATAATCTCGCTTCCAGATCTAAGCGAAGCGGCGCAGCCCGAAGGGTTAAGCTACATAGCTTGAAGCTCATAACAATGGACTTGTGGGTTTGCTTCTAGATTCACCGGCAGCGATTGTTTCGCTCGTCCATCTTATTCTTACGTAAAGTTGTATTTATCTGTTACAAACTCTTTCTTTTCTTTCTTTTCCTCAAGTCGCAAGTGACTCTCAAAAGATAGGGGATATGAATTTTCTAAGCGAGCGGCCAACGCAGAACACCATCGCCCGGATTCCGGAGGGCTCCGGGGCTTATGCAGGGCTTAGTTTCAGAAGTCCAAACTCAATTCGAATTTTCACCCCAGCCTTCTGGCATTAACCGAGATCTGTCCTGTCTTTTGTTCCTTTCAAGATCAACTGGATAATCTTTCTCTGGATACGGCTATACTGACTCACGCCATGGGCCTGTCTAGTTAGATCTGTTTCTTTCCTCTCTCTCCCAGGCCCCTCCATGTGCGCCTCGGCCCGTCATCGGCTCCCCCAATGGCCACGGGAGGCACAACCGCCGTGGCTGAGGGCGCGGGCCCTCCCCCCACCGGCACTATATATTTCTTCTATCATTGGCCCAGGGCTGGCGGGGCATGCATCTTCAACAATGGCCTTCGAAAGAGATTCGTATATTGCCCCTCGTGCATGTTTTACAATCCCTGTTCATTCTAAGCCATGCACCCCTCGAAGTTTGCACAAGGTGGCTGTAGGTGGCCCATCTGTGAATCTCAAACTCAAGATATCGGCCGCCATGCGTTCGTTAAAGTTCTGGTGAAATGGCTCGATGTATATGGGTGACAGGGGCCCGCGCGGTCCCTGTCGTACTTTTCTAAAATTCAGTCTCGCAATAAAGGATGGGAGAGGCCATTACGGGCACTTTTGGGCCCGAAACTATTAAAGGTGCCGGCATTGCCTTGATTGTACTGACCTCGCTGGTTGTAGGCACTCGTTTTGCTGGTGCCATTCGGAGTTACAAAGACCTCAAGGGTGAAGATTACCTTCTGATTATCGCTTACATATTCTTCTTGGAATTGAGCATTCTCTATATCTACATCTCTCCTGTCATCTTTCGACTAGCAGCAGTCGGTGCCGGAACGATTCCACCCTATGCCACCATCTCGGAAGATGGACTCCGATTACAGACTGTCTTTTTTGTCACGACATCTTCATTATGGCTCTGCTTGTGGATGATCAAGTTCTCGCTCTTGGCGATGTATAAAAGGTTGTTGGTTGGAAAGAAGTACATTATCGCCTGGTGGGTTATTATGGGATTTTGTGTCCTGGTATGGATTTTTCGTCTGAATGCTGGTGTTCAAATTACTGACGACACTGTTTTCAGTTTATCATTGGCTGCATTCTCTCATCGTGGTTTTCATGTTCGAGCTTCCATGCCTGGTTTACTGCAGGCCAATGCAACACTCCACGCGACCATCGGGCAGCCGTTATCAGCTTGTACTACGCATACGGGGTGGATATAGCCACTGACATAGCAAGTACGTGCTATGCTCCTTATTCCTTAAACTGAGCTAACTCGACGCTAAGTCATGATCCTCCCAATCCGCCTGATCTGGAATCTGCAGATGAAAAGCCGCCAAAAGCTGAGCATTGGCGGGCTATTCTGTTTTGGCTGGGTGTGTATCATCATTTCCACCATCCGCGTCGTTCAGTTAGGTGATACTGAAAATGGAGTCCCCGCTCCATCATGGCTAGCGCTATGGGGAACCATCGAGGCATCAATCGGTATGCTTATATTTCCCGCTTTTCCACTTGCATATTCAATCGTTTTACTAACTGCCATTCTCCTAGCCGTTATGATCGGTTGTTGCCCCGGCCTTTATCGCGTCCTGAAAGCTGCTATCTCGCCCTCCAAGACATCCTACCCGTATGACTCGTACAACCTCCGGGGCCGTAGAGGCACTGGTATACCATCGCACCACTCGGGTACTTTCAGAGGAACGGATATTCCTTTGAATAGCTTCAGGGGAAAGGAGGAGTCGTACCAGTCGGCGAGTGCATACCGTTCTACCAGTCCGTCAAGCAGTCAGGAGAAACTGGCATATCCGAGCGACGAGCGGAATATAATGGTTAATTATGGAGTTGCCGTTACGGTAGAGGATCGGCCGAGTGATTATGGCCAGACGGCACGTTTTGTATAACAAAAGAGATGTAAATAAACCCATTGTGGGAATGTACAGATCAATTTGTGAAGCTGAGACGATGCTTCCATATCCAACACTGTCACTCAGCAGATAGTAATGGCATATATATTTCGCCACCTACCCAAGCCCTAATTCATAACTTCTACTACAACCCAACTCCTTGCATGCTATGATAACCAAGAGTCCAAAAGCAAAAGATGGTCTGCACTCATTCACGTGAAGATATTATTCTGGTTGAGGTTCATACCCCGTACTCGGTCGCGTAGCGAGGGTGGGTGGCACAAAATACGGAATAAGGCATTATTGACGCGTTTCAACATCTGCTTCGTGCGTCCTCTCATAGCCGAATCATATCCCGGGGAAGTGTCGTCCAGGAAAGCATCAGATCTTCCAAAGTATCCCACGCAACACGCTTCTTGGGACTTTCCTTACCTGAGGTCGCCACCAGTTTCGAACTGCTGGCATCAAGTGCTTTCTGTTCCAGGGATCGACTACCGCCGTGCCTATCACTCTCGCAGCGATGTATGCGGCGACGCCGACGGTGCCTGTCGGGGTACGTATCGCAACTATCGTCAGACTCGTGGGGTAAGGCTATTGGAGCAAGGTCGTGGCCTCCGTTGTTGGCGTATGTGGATGGTCGGGCTCTGACGCGAATATTGTCAAATCCCACAGAAGTTGATGGGGGCCCTTGAGGCCGGTTAGGTCTTTCTTTACGCAGCATGTGGGGATGCTCGTCCATCACAGTCATGCTGAGAGGCCGATCAAGCGAATACTTCGCTGTAGGATAGCGCGGGTTGAGAGGGTAGTCTCTATCAAACTGCTCGCGCGGGGCCACACATTGATTGGAAGTTGAAGGTAAAGGACCCGGAGACCGAGCTCGACCCAAGCTGGCCACAGGGTGCAGATCGGACATTGAGAAGCCAACAGAAGTTTCATGAAGGTCTGCTGCGGATGCTGAGTTTCTTCTAATTCTTGGGCTGGACTGGTTGATGAACATTTCCCCCATAGGTTCTTTAAGCTCAAGTTTAGTGTATTCACGGTAACCGGGGTGATTCCTTGACATTTTATGAGCGGCCTCAAGATCCAAACTACTGGTGGAGGCTCGACGAATAGCAGGCAAGGGGCTGCGCCCAAAAGAATGGCAATTTCCCAATGTGATCAAGGTGGATCGTTTCGTTGACGCCTCAGCCGTTTGAGAGGGGATGTTGGAGTTCGGCTTTGGGGTAAAAGAACTGTCCCTTCCTCGGTGGCTAATTCTGAAATAGGGGCAATCAAAAGCCTGTGCCGCTGCCTTTCCATGGGATTGTTGAAATATGGCAAGTTCGGCCTTGTGAACATTCACCACTCCATCTCTAATCCTCAAATGGCGATCTTGTTGAAAGTTTATTTGACAAGCATCGATTTGATTTAGTAGACTTTTGACAAGGTCATAATACTTGTCAATTTCGTTTCCGGTTGAAGGTCGCTGCCACACTCTCATGCTAGGTTTCGCACCCAGTGTTGAAGACGACAATCTACCCACTCCATCGCAATCTGAACGAATATCGGCCACATTGATGAGTCTCTTTAACCTAGCTTCAGTTTCGGCTTTCTCCCGGAGAAGCGTTTCAATCAACTGGCGTTGGCATTCGAGCGAAGAATGATCGGATGTCCTACCCAATGGAGTTTAACAACGTGGATCTCGAGAGATACTTTAGATGAGACATACCGGTTAATTTCTCTTGCATACATAATCACATTCAGCATCAGCAACATGGTCGATTTTAACTTGTCCAAGTGTGAGTTCAACACGTCAAGATCGGGACCAAGTATCACAATTGTAAGCCTCCGTGTGCCACGTTCCCATTTGCTTTTACCAGAACTCGGATCTTTCTTCTGAATTGCTTCGTCTATTTGACTGAAGATTTTCTCGCATTCCTCCAAGACTTCCTGGGCCGTCAGAAAGGCCTGCTGGGAGCAAAGCTTTGTCTGGCTGTCCTGTTCCAAGATCTTGCCTAATTGATATAGGATACTGCAAGTGAGTGAGACATCACTTGCAAGACGCTGTGCGGAATTATCCGCATCTTTGATCTGGCGGTAAAAGGAACAAAGCTTGACCGAGAGTTTGATTCCAATCTCTGCGAGTTGGAAGGTGCTGGCAACGACCCCGACGATTTCAAGCCCAGACATTGCGTTTCACGGCCTATACAATTGATATAAATTGGAACTCATGGTTGGAGGATGACGAAGAGGGGGGCTGATGTACAAAAGGGCGAAGATGTCGAGCACGAGCCCCGGGGCAGTGCACGGCTGTTGGCACCTCAACAGGTAGGCTTGGCAATCTTACAGGCTTCATCAGCAAATCAAAGTTCATCCTCTAGAAACTGTTTCCTGGATATCGTGCACCAGTACACTTGCAATAGCTAACACAATTGACCCCTGGACAATTCGTGTGTCTGTGAGATTCATTCACACTGACCGCTCACTGAGTTGATTAATATAAACCACCAACCATCAGGCTATAGAAGAGAGCATAATTCCATCTTAGTAGTATCTGGTACCGCTACGATTGTCGCGATGGAATAATAGCTATCTGAAATGGTGCCGCGCCTAACGGAGACCAGCCTGTCCGTCTGAAATCAGTTCGTTCATCACATCCACTTATCTACGAGCGAAAATGCAAATAGTACAAATACATGCGAAGTGCGATCACTAGATCGTAACAATATCATCCAAATATAGCCCAGGCTTTTCGAGGAGGCGATCGCACAGTGCTTCTTTCGTCGGAGGTGTTATGTTTTGTCTTCGTGACAAGACTCGAACTTTCTACATTTTCGAACCGGCGAAAGTTGTTCTTGATGTTGATGATAAGACGCTTACTGCAGTCAGCAGCTTTGACCATTTGCGCGGCAGTCAGTGATTTGTTCGATATCATATTCTGAATATTTCCGAGCTTTGAAAGAGGTAGTCTTGGCGCCATTACGGAGGTATCTGGATGTTGATGGAGGAGAGCTTTGGCAGGAAGCGGTGGGAGACTGCTGAGGGATGTGAGGAAGGACTCCATCTGCTCACTTCTCTGCTCATCACCTTAGTTATTAGATGTTATTGGCTTATTTGTCTCCACTTGCTTTGATATCCGTGCATCCCCTAATACCTTGCCGCCCCCAAGTCCACCAGCGAGTTTTTTTTTCAACCCGCTCCTACAAGATTATTCTCAACCGATTTGACGTCACTACGCACTCCGTGGGACAAGGACAGCCCGCCTGATTTCCCAGTTTCGAAAGACTTCCAAATATGTGCATGGCATTTCATTGTTTTGGAAACCATGGCTGACCCTATTTCCATAACGTCGCTGATCATCGACATTAGCAGCATCATCCCCCGCCTCATAGCATATGCAAAAGGCGTACGTGATGCAAGCTCCGATATTCGAAGATTAAGTGAGGAGCTTTTCGCTCTCAAAGGAATTCTAGAACATCTTCACTCGGAAGTTGAGCCTCCACGACCTACAAAATTAGGACCACTGTCTCTTATCACCCCAGAACCTCTGATGAGCATCCTTCAAAAAACAAATGAGTCTCTTCAAGTTCTCCTTTCAGACATTAAAGAGCCAGCGAACAAATTCAAGAGAGTGAAGCAAAAACTGGAATGGCCGTTCACCCAGGAACAACTCAACACGCACCTCACCCGCCTAGAAAGGGTAAAATCTTGGTTGATCCTTGTTATCACAAGTGATAGCAATAGCCTCCAGCGAGATTTGCACAGTGAAATCACAAGCCTCGCAAAATCTCTGGAACAAGATCTGAAAGTACGAAATGATGAAATGATCCGTACAGCCCACGAAGAGCTTTCCCGATGGTTGGCTCCTGTCAGCCCAAGTAGTATCCATCTGCAAGCCTCGAATTTGCGAGCAAATCACACAGGAAAGTGGTTCATTGATGGTATTTTGAATGACTGGCTATGGAATGATGGCACTCATCGGAGCATTTTCGTCCTCTTAGGCAAATGTACGCCCTGACCCATTATACACTGAGATAGTCTAACACCTTTTCATAGCTGGAATCGGAAAGACAACACTTTTGCAAGTCCTCCATGTTCTTGAGTGGTTATTGAGCTAACATTCTATAGTGCTCATACTGTCGATGAGCTGGTACGGATGTCTTCAAATGACCATAGATTGGTCTTTGCCTACTTCTACTGTAAATTTGACGACACTGCCTTTCAAGAGCCGGTGAACATTCTAGGATCGCTCCTAGTCCAGCTCTCTGAATCGATTCCCTCGGTATTAGAGTCTATCTGGCCGCTCTTCAAAGCGACAACAAAGTCAAGTGCATACAGACGTCCAATCGACATTGGTGCCATTGAAGATGCCATCATCAAGATTAGCTCTGGTGGTAAACGAGTCATTCTTCTTATTGATGCAATTAATGAGAGTGTTTATAAAGAGATCATAATACGTTCTCTTCTGAAAATCTCGAATTTGGCCCCAAACCTTCGAATTCTCATAACTGGAACGGCCAATCTGATCCCCGGACAGCATGCCAATGTAATTCATATGAATGCTGAAATTGTCAGAGACGATATCGACGTATTCATACGCTTCAGACTGCAGCAAGACGAGACGCTCAGGAATCTGAGCACGCGTCTCCAAGATCAGATTTGGACGACTATTCTGGAAGGAGCTGATGGATCGTCAGTATCACACTAAAATACTATCTTCGTATCTGACCCATTTTTGCAGATTTCGCTGGACCCAGCTTTCTTTGGAAACCCTCGGCTCACTTCGGACCGCCAAGTCAATTCGAGAAGCATTGCAAACATTGCCAAAAACTCTACGAGAGACATATATACACATCTTAGAGCGAATCCCACCAAGTGACTGGGAACTCAGCCGCAACGCCCTCTTTTGGCTCAGTTTCTCAAAACGTTCGCTCACCCTACCCGAGTTGAGCGAAGCAGTCATACTAGAGAAGACGTGCACATATTTGGATGACGACTTAAGGCTGGTTTCGCCGCAAATCCTTCTCGATATTTGTCAGGGACTCATCACCCAGGATGAGTTTAGAAATGTGAAGTTATCTCACGCATCTATCAAGGATTTCCTAACGTCCGAGTGGATCCGCTCCTCTAGCGTGCGATATTTCAGTTTGAATCACGAAACCGCCGATCAAATCATAATGCGACTCAGCCTTACCTATTTGTGTCTCGATAATTTTCTGTCTGGATATACAAGCTCCATCGATTCAATCGCATCACGCGAGCACGAGCACCCATTTCTAGAATATGCGGCCCAGTTCTGGGCTACCCATGGCGGATCATGCAGTTTCGATGATCGCGACTATCAACTCGTCAACAAATTCTTTAATTCTCAATATCTTCCTCGTCGAGGTAATTTTGGCGTATGGGTGCAGGCACTTATCCCTGAAGTACCTACTGTAGCCATCGAGACAACGAACCCGTTGTACTATGCAGCTTCATTCGGCTTGGTTCCGATCGTCAAAGCTATTCTTGCATCTGTCCTTTCCGCAGAAGTTGATGCTCCAGGTGGACGCTATGGATCCACACCTCTGTTCGCAGCATGCTGGCGGGGAAACTATGAGACGGCAGAGCTTCTTCTCCAAGCGGGAGCAGATCCATATATTGTGGACACTAACTCGGGATTGACAATCTTCTCGCTCCCTAAATCAGCCGAATTTTCCCGTCTGTTGGCGACCCTACACAAGGGTTTGGAGAACACGGCGATTGGTCCTGGTGTTAAGGGGAAAGCAAATATTGGCGAGTGTGCAAATCCCGGGCCCTATTCAGGCCAAATACCGCAGCATACAGCCAGGGGTAATGATACTGAAGGGACTGAAGACAATGATAGCGATATCCGCAGCCTTGTTGAAAACCCAGGGCTTGCGATGGACTTCCTTGCTGTCTCACCATTGATCGACCCTACCGTGGAAGGATTCAAAAAGCACATTCTGCATTTGTACCCACGGCTGGAGCCTGCTTTGGTCCATCGCTTTGCGAGTGAGCAGCTTCGCCGGTATAATGTTCTTGTTAATTTCCAGCGAAACCATATAGACGCTGTCACCAACCGCTCGTGCCGCTCAGGCGAGTATTGTTTTGCTCTGGGAGGCGGGGAATCCTCATTGCAGCTTCCTAAGGACCCCTCAGGCTTGCTCCAGGGAATGGACGTTAGTCGAAATTCTGATCGGCTCTCTGATATGGGCGAAACAGCAGCGCCTGTGGCTGAATTCCCCCCTGCAGTTCCCATTCCTCCTGTCTCGCTGTTTCCCTCTCAGTTCGAGTGCCCCATCTGCTTTCAGGTCAAGAAGTTTTTGAAACCATCCCACTGGTCGAAACATGTTCAAGCAGATTTGCAACCATTCACATGTACATTTTCCGACTGCTCTGAGGATAAATCATTCAAACGGAAAGCGGACTGGGTGCGCCACGAGACCGAAAGGCACCGGCAGTCAGAGTGGTGGGTCTGCTCGTACTCCGACTGCAGCAAAAAGTGCTTTCGCAAAGACAATTTTGTCCAGCATCTAGTTCGTGAGCACAAGATGCTCGAGCCGAAGGTGAAGAAATCCAATGATCTCACTTCAGAGAGGCATTCTGAAGTCCAACGAGACTTAGATATCGATCGACTGTGGGAGATAGTCGAGCAGTGTCGTCAAGAGATCAAACAAACGTCACAGGAGTCGTGTCGATTTTGTGGAAATACCTTCGATAATTGGAAGAAGCTAGTGGTCCACATGAGCAAACACCTGGAGAACTTAGCCATGTCTGTTCTAGGTTTGGTCCAGCAAAACGGTGCATCGGATGGATTCCCTCTCTACCAGGCAGGTATCGCTGGCAGACCCAGTTGCGATTGAATGTTTCTTCACTTGAAAGCGGTAGACACATCTAGCGCGGCTTTCCTAGGCCTATAGTTTCTATAATTATTTCACTTGCTATAATCTTCCTGGGGTCATTTGAGTACCGTTACAGTCTCCAAGTGTCCACAGGAGGCGGAACGGCGATTCGCTTATCCCGACCGCTCTAATTCCTAGCACGTCGTTCTAGCCAATTTTATCTCAAGTCTGTGTTACTTACCCCATTGGCCGTGCAAGTCATACATCATCATGTAAATAAAGTAATCCACGTATTTTGCCACATCCTTTACAGGATACTGCTTCAAGTATCAGTAAGAAGTCGGGAGCGCAATGGAAATGGATTTTCCGCTGGGCAGCTAGCTTCAGAGCAACTGCAGGAAAGCAAGGGAGTTGTTTCCTTCAGGACTTCCGGGAGTGATGTTCGGAATATCAGGTGCACCAGATCACTCCCAATCAGAATCGAAACCATCGAGATTTTGAGAGCTCACGAAGCTCACCAGGTTATTGACAAATGTCCCGCGATTCTCTGGCTTAGTGGCATCTCTGAAGCGCTGGAACGTGCCCGACTCTGTGGAACGCCCATCCGCCAAAGGAGAGAATCTTTTTAAAGCCGCTCATATTCTTCTATCTGTTGAATTGGTACTCGAAATATCTCTTTACCAAATAAGTACTACTTATGGATACCCGAAGAATTCGGGACGTAGCTCCTTTATGCAACACTCATTGGTACAATACCGCACCATGATCCGCAGTCGCAGCTTGGGGGCGACTTGCCTAGCTTGCTTCACCCACGGATGCCTCTCATCGGGTAAATACTGAGACATGCTGATATTCTTCTCCTCTGACAGGTGAGGTAGCCAAGCAGAACCCGGGTTCGTCCCAAGAATGCCGAGCTCTCTGTCTCGTGCCGACTGCCACATGTAAGCCAGGATATACCATTCAGCTTTTTTTTCCATTTTTCCGTGGCCTTTTGGAATCGCGAGCTTGTGAATGCATCGAATAGCTTTTGCACGGCTGGTTCCTTTTCCAATGTGTGTTCCCTGAATAATGCTTCAAACTCCCTCAACCGAGCCCTGTCGTCAACATCAATCATCTGAACAGGCGCATCACCCAATAATCCAAACAGGCCAGATCTCAGAGCTGCTTCCCTGGTGATATGTAGAGAAACCCCCGCCATGGCTATGTCTAGCATGCTTCTTTGGCCTTTCGCCCAAGGTAGAACATCGACCATCTCGCGCATATCATCACCTTCTATGCAGTGATAAGGAAGCACCGGCATGACAGATACGCCGATATGAAAAGGCGACAGGTCACCGGGCGGATCAGAACCATCACCGCCATCTAACACCGCCTTCAAGTTAAAAGGGTGAATAAGTTCCGCCATGACAGAAGGACGCATCCCAAGATCCTTCGCATGCAATAGGAACTCGTCAGCCCTACCCGGAGCATCGTGATCAACTCCCCAGATAGTGTAGTATAGTCGTATCCAGTTAAGATGCAGTACATCTCGATGCGGCTGTACCCATATTGACTCCAGAGTATTGATCTCAACAGATTTCAATATTTGTCCCTGTTCTAGTGCGACCAGCCAAGACTCGCTATTAACGAATGTGATGGTCGGCTGCTGGGCGTTTTGTTTCATCGTCTTGCGGGTGTCGCAGGCTTGGTTGGATTCGCAGCCGTTGAAAAGGCATTCAGGGATGTCTTCTTCTGCAATACGATACGGTAGACAGTGCATCCAGATAATGCGACGCAGTTCCAGAGGCAGCCGCATGAAGTAGTGGAATGAGTTGTCCCTCATCTTGCCCATCGTCACTGTCATATGAGGTGTGTTTATCAAAAAGTAGATAGAGTAAACAAAAGGTGGACATATGATGGCGGAGAAAGATTGTGGGAAAATAACGAAGACCTCGTAGTTCAAAGATCTCGTAATTTCCAGCGTATCATAGCGTACCACAATGTTCCTATTCTGGTAATATTACCATTTATGGCCCGTGCACAGGAGACAAGATCGCAATTTGGTTGCATGTGATACGAACTCCGTACTAGTGCTATGTATTTGATAGATGACCATGAGTGGCAGTCACGAACTCGTGGTTGATTGGACGGGAAACAATTTCTGTGGAGCGGACAGAGAATCTTTGATTTAAGGTCTTTATTGATTACTTCATATTACGATATATGACAAGTTGCATGCAATATTATTGAGGTACATAAAGTGACGCGTCTCTGTTTTCCAACTTCTTGTTAAAGAAACACCGCAACTGTTCACTTCTCTTAGGGAACAAAAGCAGCCGAAAGCATAACTTTGCTCGGTAAGGAGCGCCAGCTAGGATTTTCCTAATCTGCCCGAGGGAGAAATTGTCGGGGAATTGTACTGTCTCCTGGTGTGTAGATTATTGGGCCTTAGGTACAACTCAAACCTGATCGACAGTCCTCTGATTCAAAGATGCGGTTCTTTTTGCCCGTGCTCGGCGGTGCTCCCATAACGAGATGTGTGGCCATAGTTGTGTGTTCCATTTCCAAGATGGCTTGATAGAAAAGGGGCCGTAGCGGGTTTGAACATGGGCATCATGCTTACGCCGAGATTTGGTGGAATGACCTGCGGCAATCTCGAAGATTGTGTACACAAGGGAAATAATATCGAATGTTGTCGTTCCATCTTTATTTTCGACTTGTAACTGGAAGAGATATGAAACGGCAATAGTGGCGACCGAAGATGACCAAGAATTGGGGAGCCTCGAGGTATTTCCAAACTCTTCATATATTCGTTTCGTGAAGGTAGAATCCGATTAATCGGAGGGTCTTCTCGGAATATTTTGTTTCACCAGCGAAAGCGTGGTTCCAATCATTCGGGTCCGTTAGATTCTCGTTATCGATCTGTTTCCGACGGCATCGAAAAAGACTTGAGAAAGTGGTCTTACAACCCCCTAAAGTAGACATTAGAGATGATGACAATGACAGGACAGTCAAGCCACCATGAATACCTCCAAATGCTGACAGATCCAACTATGTAAAAGATCCAGCACATTTCCTTCTCGGAAGGGCAATGTCCCATAGATGCACTGCTGAGCCTCAATAGGAAGCCATGTATCGTGAAGATTCCTCAAGATTTCATGAAAGGTACCCGGGCTCAACCCTGTTGAGTGGCCTCAAAAGACGATTCGTGAGGCCCTTCTGCGAAACAGGCATGGATTCGTCCTCGATCGGAGTAGTTCCTACCTCTGTTCAATGTCAAGTCAGCTGCTCTGTTGTGTGAGTATTCACATAAATCTTGGTATATAGTCAATAATACCTCCTACTCCATCTAGACTTTCGTTGGAAGATGAAGGGAAACCTCGGTTCCCGAAACGGAAGGTGCCACGGAGGCTTAAAACTCAATGTCGAAAATGAAAAATACCGTATGCACGTGATCTGCAAACACAAACAGGATCTACAGAGTCCGACAGAGTGGTATTATCACTGACCTTCAGTGTATCTGGCTACCGCGGCAAAATTATTCTCACTCTCACTTGGCATCTAGCATTATTTGCTATTGGATTGAACTGTAATGTTGGCCTAGAAGCCTCCGAAAAGTTAATACCCAATCATCACTAGGCAATGATGCATGGGTGCACGCAAGGAGCACTGGTAAGAAAACGAGGTTGGTCACTCCACAGCTACCCCATATTACTCGACCTCGGAATAAATTGAGGCTAAGATGGAGCCAAGCCACTCTAGGAAATAGATCGACGCTATAATGGTAACCCCGGTGGGGCCCTCCACGTCAATCTAATCTTAATTTATGGGGGATATGGATGAGAACAAGAGAACAGGTTACATGTCCAGATCAGATCGGATGATTGGCCAAGTACAAATCCCTATGACATGTATGACTGGTGGATAATTGTGTTTCAGAGAGGAAGAAAGGTCCGACAAAATATTATCTAGTCTTGCCTACGACTCAAGGCAGAGCCTCAGATCAACAGCAATGATTACTGCTTTTCATATCTTCCATCTGCGGATAATTGAATTAGAAAAATGAGCTTTCATTACCTCGGCAACCGCGTAGATACTCAGCGTAGGAACATGCATCATGCCTAGGCCCAGGCCCAGGCTCAGCACGCTCGAACCTATGTTCCACCGACATCATCGATCGACCAAACTTCACTCTTTTCAGGTCCATTCATCAATAACCCCGCATCACGCCATAACTTCTAGAATATGTCCAAGTGCTGTCCAATGACTATAAGAATATCGGCAAGGGCTTGGGAATGGTCTACAACTCATTCAGTTCTAATCTCTTAGGGCAGAAATACCAAGATCCCTTCGCAACCACACACGCAATATTTCAATCTCCTGAACCATTTAACAAAGCCCCTCTTACGGCACCAATCTCAATCATCCACAATGTTGGCCCCAACTCCAATCCAGGCCAAGGCCTCAAGCTCAGCCAGCGAACTATACCTCAGTCAAGCCCGCGCCAGCAGCAGCACCGAAGATTGCATGGCTCTATACGAGAAATGGGCAGCCTCGTATGACGATGAAGTTGGAGACAGTGCTCAGGACTACGTTGCTCCCGTGCTTGTCGCTCAAGCCGCCGTCAAACACGGGCTCTCAAACGGCGCCACAAACAGCGTGATATTGGACGCCGGTTGCGGGACCGGGCTGGTCGGAGTGGCTCTTTCAATGGCCCAGGCCAAGGCAATTGATGGCATTGATCTGTCTCCCGCCATGCTTTCTGTCGCAAGAAAGACTGGCATCTATCGAGATCTCACAGTCGCGGACATGAACCGCCCGATTGACAAGGCGGATGGAACATACGATCTCGTGTCGTGTGTGGGAACTTTCACTCTTGGTCATGTTGGGCCAGATCCTGCTCTGAGAGAGCTCGTCCGGGTCGCGAAGAATAAGGGTGTCGTTGTCTCGACGATTTTGCAAGAGATCTGGGTGTCTGGAGGGTTCCAAGCCGAGGTTGAGAAGTTGGTGGCGGAGGGCCTGGTGAAGATAGTTACTGAGGAACTTATAGACTATGTAAAGGGACACGGCGACAAGGCAGTGTTGCTCATTCTAGAGAAGATCGATCGCGACTGAACGAGACCCATGCCAACCATGACGCAAAGCCCGAGCGACTCACAGCCCTTGCAGCCCGAATTGATGGCTCTTCAACACCTCCAACGCGACATAAAGATGGGATTTCAACACCCCAACCCCAATGCAACAATGCGATAGGCCCCGGACGCACTCGACTCTCACGCGGCTCGTTATTTTTTAACCATACAATTAACAAATCCTAACAGACTAAATGAGAAATGAGACAATTTTGTGATATTTGGGTGAATATTTCCACTATGCATTCGTTATTGAACCAGTAGGTATGTGGTTCATTTGAGCTTTTCTTGATGTACAAAATATGACATGCGTTGTACATGATCAACGAGAGGCGCGGGGTAAATATTGGCAAGGCCGAGACGGAGCAGAGATATCCGCGGCATATGGTTCGCTCTCGACAAGTACAGGGGTCATCGTACTTGTGAGACATGGGGATCGGGGATCCTTGGCGTGTCTCACATTCATCGAACCTACGTTATCTTTGTACAAGTTGAGAAACTCCCATCAAAATACGTACTGGAACCAAGGCAGGACGCAATTCCTATAGCGTGTTCATTTCTATACACACGGAAGACCGAAGAAAAACCCACCAACACCACGCTGTGCAATGAGGGCCAAAGACCAGCCATTCTAAATTCAAATAGATGGTATCATGAAACGTTCATAAGAGTTCTGAGGGCGCGAAGGGAGAGGGGTTTGATGAGGTAGTTATCGATACCAGCCGTAGTAGCCTGGTGCTGGAAGCCAGTGGAGGAAACTCCAGTGACAGCCATGATGCAAGAGGGTCTGATATTATGTTCGCGTTCGAATTCGCGAATTTTGCTCGTTGAGACGAGGCCGTCCATCACCGGCATTGAAATGTCCATCAGGACGAAGTCATAGTGAAAGTTCGAGGATTTGTATTTCTCCAATGCGACGAGGCCGTTGTGGGCTGTGTCATAGCTGCAGTTGATTTTGCGCATGAAGGTGGACATGATCTAGTTTGTGTTAGCGGTGCTCAGACCTCGGAAGCGACGTGGGACAGTACCTTGACATTAATTTCATTGTCGTCCACAATGAGCACATGAGCCAGTGCTTGCTTGCTGGATGGTCGGGGTGTGGAGCTGCTTGATCCTCCCGGTGAGCTCATTGCTTCATTCGAGTACTCGGACGTCCCTCTACCACAGACGTCAGAGTCGGAGTCTGAACTGATTTTTCTTTGTATTGGTGGAGACATGACCTGGAAAGCAGCTTCGGGCGCAGGGGACGAGGCTTTTGTTTGGATTTCGCGCCACTTCATAATTTTTTCAACGGCTTTGTAAATTTTCTGTGGTCCGAATCTGCAAAAGAGATGAGTTTTCATATCAAAAATTGTAAAGAAATTGTAACGTACGGTTGGGCAACGCGGATGATGTTGACAGAGAGACTGTCGAGTATGATTGGGACATTGCCGCTCAGCACGATGAAGAAGTCAAAGCCATTTTGAGCTGCCATTTCTGACACAAGTTGACCATTTTCATCCATAGTTCGTCTGAGGAGTTCCTCCTCAATGACAATGACCTGGCCACGAGCTTTGTCGATGGAGTCAGCCAGCGAAATTCTCCACTTCATCTTTGTCATGAAGATATTTGCGAGTGCACTCTGAATGGAAAGATTTCGTTTGCTTTCGACGGTGAGAATTCCAGTGGGAGCCTCTGTGAGGTCAGGATAACCATTGAAGCCTACCAAGCATGCATGCATTGGGGTAGTTCCTGGCTGAGTGGTTGTCGGTGTCAGGCTATCCTCCGGAGCAATACTAGCAGGTAGATATTGAACCGGGATGTAGACATCGGCCTGAGTCCCAAGGCCTATCTCGCTCCTTACATTGACATGCCCCCCGAGCGACATCACCAATTGCTGTACCATGCTAAGACCCAGCCCGACGCCCTCGGACAGCGGGTCTTCTTGGGAGAATGGGGCGAACAGTTTGTGTTTGATGAAATCGGGCGCGATTCCACAGCCGGTATCAGTAATAGAGAGATGCACAAGCGGTGATTGGGAGTCCGATCGGTCTCTGACTTTGGATAACGCTATTTCGATGAAGCCGGCTGTGGTCCACTTCATAGCATTGCCGAGAAGATTCATCACAATTCTCCTCCAGGCACCTGCAAGGGAGCGAATCATCCAGGTGTCCGTTTGGTCAACTCGTACGACAACAGAGAGTTGGTTTTGTGCCCTAGAATCCTTGCTGATCGAATCGCATGCTTCCTTGTTGGACGACATCCTTTTAGCGAGCTGGCTCACCTGCTCAGGTGCTCGCTGACCGGTGTACAATATGTCTGCAACCTCTTCCACCAAATGGCTAATGTTAAAATCGGAAATAAGATTGGCCGTGTCATTTTCTGGGATCATTTCATTCATCCTGTCCGTATGGCTCAAATTGTTAACCTTGCAGAATTCCAACCTAGGGCGTATTAGTACATTTTCTATATCCAATGTCTACTCGGGTGGACTCACATATGATTCGTTGTATCTAACAACGTCATCCCAGATTTTTCGATCATGGTCACCATCTCTTCTTGCGATGAGCTAAGAGAACTGGCATGTAATAATTCAGCACTCGCCAGTATTCCGTGCAGTGGCGACCGCAGTTCGTGGCTGACAGAGGATATGAAATCGAATTTTGATCTTTCGGTAGTTGCCCAATGAATTCGAGAAACTTCAGAAACCAAAGAATCACCAAAAACCTTGAAATAGTGTAACTCCTCCAGCCCAAGAGCTCGATAACTACTTGTAGTCCATACCAGCACCCCAGAAAGCCAACGACATTTATTCCAATCCCACAAAGGAAGGAACAGGGCCGATTTAGCACCGGGGAGGCACCGTGCAAGGTGTTTTGCACAGGTTTGAGTGTTGGGATCAGGCCGAGAATCAAAGTCGCTAGTGTAATCATTCGAGAAACAATCATCCTCGTCAATAGGCTCATCTAAACTTAGGATCTGACCTTGGGGGAAAGACTTGAGCATTTGATGGAGCAATCCCTGTGGTATTCGTGGTTGATTATTTGGGCCAGGATTGCCTTTAGATGGCAACTTTAGTGCACAACTCAAAGTATCGCACGGAAGGTCGAATTCATGCGACACAACCCGAGCTAGCCCAAGAGGGATAGGCAGCGGAGCAGCCGGGAACCCGGGATCTGCAGCTATCGACGGCTCCCTAACTTCTGGCTCTTTGGGTACACTGGCGAAGAAATGTTATAAGATACCACGCAATAGAAAGATGGATGTACTCACAACGCAAAATTAGTTGGACAGGCATCGAGGAATGCAACCCCGTCCAGGTCCATAGATTCCCGGAGCAATGTACTTGCACGCGAATATATAGATGCAATGCGTTCGTATATGGGAGTGCCCTGGGTTAATGATAGCTGCGAGAACTCTTGATCGACACCTGGAGCTGCACCGGCATCTACTGACTTCAATACTTCACCCATCGACTTTTCTTCGCCGGGACTCAGCATTACTGGTCGATCGGAAAACCCCGAGTATAGAGATGACAGTTCGGTCGTAGAGCGTTGATCCTGCGAGAAAAACACAGATCCTTCCCCCGTGACGGCTGAGGAAAGCGATCGTTCGGGCTTGGGAGAAACACATCGAACATCATGACCCAATGGCACATCAAGCACCGGACCGGTGACGGCAATTTCATGTGGTATGGAATTCGCTGCATTAACACCAGACTGAAGACGGCCACGGTTAGAGGCCTCTTTAGGATCAAAGTCCGCATGGTATTTAACGAAATCTGTCAAGCCTTTGACCAATCCTTCAGTCCGAACATGGGCCCGGCTCATTCGGACATTCTCCAGATGCAGTCCAATGGCGTCGGCCACTTCCTGGAGGTCATTGACCTGATCATCTCCAAAATCTGCCCGTGGTTTGTTGTCGACAATGCAATAGGAGCCGAGAACGTATCCAGAAGCGCTGAATAGAGGCACCTCTGCGTAGAAGCGCATATGCGGCCACTGTAGAACATATGGTCGATCCTTGAAGCGATCCTCCAGGGTGAAATCTCGAATAATATGGCGCGTTCGATTGGCGGTTACATTATCAGTATAGATTTCGTCCGTCGCGCGGCCTGTGAACAAGCGAACGGTGTGGGGACAAACGCCCCAGATCAGGTCTAGCGACCGCGCTCCGAGATAGATACCATCTCCTGGTTTGTGGCGATTCTTATCTCGTAGCGACACTGAGCCGGTCGCTTCGGCGATGATATGCTGGGTTTCGCCGTCGATTATGGACACGAAGGAGCGGTTGGCATTGAAGCGGAGGACACCGAGCTGAGCGAGTGCGTTGAGGGTAATGTCCTTGGCTAGCTCGCAACCTGTGGGCTGTTCATCTCCCGTCAATGTCGCAGGCGTCTCATCCTCCTCAAAAGTCGTTGCATCGGGTGCTGGAAACGCTTGACTGACTGTACAATAATATCTGTTATGGAAATGATCAGTGGTGATCAGTGGGACAAGGATACTGGCCAAACGCCACAAACCTCGACAAATCACGGATCCGCTCGCGCTCCAGATCTTCTTCCGGGGTCCGATGAGAGGCGCTTACGCCTGCAGAAGTCATAATAGTCGCTGGCTCATAACTGACTAGTAGTCACAAAGTAGCAACTCATTGAAAATAATTGGTAAAGCCGAGACTCGAATTCCCGGGTGGCACGTGAAGACAGAACCCTCCTAAAACCTGCTCCTTGGGAGTTCTCCACTATTTTGGTTATCGACAGTGTTGATTGGCCTAGAAGATATATTACCACGGCTTAATATAAGCTGGTTGTATGATCTTCCGGTTAATTCCCTGTTGATTCTGTGTAAATCCATGTATTTGATACACCATCTCCCCTATGAGGTTCACAATTAGTATGGGTATATTTGGTACTACGACCATCTGCATGGTAGAAGGCAAAAATACAGCCCTATCTTACCACTAAGTTGTTGACCCATAAACAAAAACCAAGGTCTTATTTAGGGCCTAGAGGGCCCATTCCAGTCTGACAGAATATACGAAGTAGAATTTTTGATATCAGAACGGCAAAAAGAGACTCATTTTGGCCTAATAGGGGAATCAACTGAAGAAAAGGCCCCGGTGACAGGAAGCCTTATTATTGAGTGAATTCCGGCTCTATCATGGTATGCGCCTCGAAAGGACAACCCCAAGTCGAAGCTGCAAGGCAACCAGAAAGGAAATTTCTTGAAAGATTTCCCGGAAGTGCCGGAAGTACCGGAAGTACCCCAAGGAGAACTTTCCGCTAATTCCTAGGTTTTCAAAGTATGCTCGACCGTGGCTGAAACTGTGTCGTGTACGATCAACTTAACATGAAACTATAGAGCCTCGGAATGTTTCAGCGGGAGGATGGTTCTCATCAACGGTACCTCGTCCGCCCTCCCCTCCTCATAGACCAAGGAGACAACGCCAAAGTACTATCGTAATGCGATATTCTCCCAGCGTCACGTTCCTTAGCGGTGAGAATCTTCATACCATGGCAGGAATTCATCTGCGTATACGAGAGCGGTTGTGACCAATAATTAGGAGATTCCAGCCCTTGAGGTTATGGCGTGGTGGATACCCGGGTCAGGCGCAAGTATCAACAGTCACCAAACTGCATTAGGTCGGGGGCCTTGGTTTGCGGCACGAAGGACATAAACGGAGGGAAGAGATTGTTAGACATTTGCTGATCCTCGAGCGATGGCACGAATAAGTCCTATCCTATCGGCTCATCATTGGCGACTGCGCATGCGCCCTGTGCGTTCATATTCTGCAGACTGTCGAGGAGTGACTGGACAATGCCCTTCGCAGAGAGGGCGGTCGGGGAGGTGGAGGGAAAGAGGTCGAAAACGGCCTGGGCGCGCGTGAGGGAGTCAAGCGCTCGCGGCACCACGGAGATGAGCGAGTTAGCGGGGACGTAGGCTACGATTGTCAACGCCGCGTTCCAGAGCTGGCCAGCCGTAGAAAATATCGGACATGGAGCAGACCGTGGATACAGTATCGACGATAATACTTGCGTGGTGGAGTGCGCTAGCAATGTGCAACTCAACGCCCGGCTGCCGGGAGTTGGGTGAGGTGATCATGCTGCTGGTGTGGGCGTAGTGTAGACGCGTGAAGGGGCGCTGGAGCAGCGTATACGCGTTGTGATAATGAAGCTCCAAGAGCACCGCTTGCCGGTGCAGCCTGTTTGGCAGAGTCAAGGTACGATCAAAATCGAGCATCTCACTATTGCCGGAGCTGTTCCCATACCGGCTCAGGAGTAGCTCTGAAGGTAGCTGGTCGCGCCAGACCTCAAGATTTCGGGGAGCAGATGAGAGGTTAAGGGCGTGATTTTCGAGAGCGGCCGGGCTATTGCCGTCGTCGTCGACGAGGTCCGCGATTGAGGCGCATACGCCAATGTCAGCTACAATCATGGAGAACTTAACTAAATGGGTCGAGTACATGTAAGCGTTCAAGCCATCCTCGTGTGGCGAGGAAACATAGCGGGCCAGAGCGTCCTCGTCAGGAAAAGGGCATTTGGCGAGGCTCTTTTGGCTAGCCGGGGGCATGTCGAGCTGCAGCGAGCACTGGAGATTCAGGGAAAAGAGCATCCACCACAGCTGCAGGCGAGAAGTCCTTTCAATCTCGGGGAGATTACTTGGTTGCGGTCAATGGAGTTTAGAAATGTAGGCCTTGCGGACAGTGATGCCAAGCAGGTTGTATGCGTCACGGAAAGCGTTCCCCTTCAAGAGGTAGAGGACCATGAGAACTTGACATTTCAGGGCCTCCAATGTCTCATCTGTGTTGCCCTCATACACTGACGGGAGCGGTGGAAATATTCAAAACCGGGCCAAGCAGCTTCCGGTGGGAGGGCTGCGGGGTAGGACGACTGCTGGAGACCCAATATACGCCCAGCAAGGCCAGTGACATGGCTATTCTGTACTCCCAGAGCGATCATAGAATCGACCAGGGCGCTAGTTACCGAATACTCATCATACATGGTCGGTGGCGGCAGGGTCTCAAGCTCGGCGAATTCAATCTTGCTCATGATCGGCAGAAGCGGGTGGCAAACTTCCCAGAAAAGCCGGAGATAGTAGCTACGCTAGCTTTTGAGAAGCACATTCGAAGCGAAAGGGCGTTCCCCCAATGGAACGCTGGGACATGGGAGCTGGGGGAAGAGACAACCTCCAAGTTCAGAGCTCTGCCCCTTGGGAAAGAAGCCTTGGATATGAGCAAGATTGAAAAATTCCTTTGTGGCGTTATCCGGAAATTCTGTCGCCAATGAATTCTCCTGGTCCATGTTTATGCCAGAAGGAGGGACAGTTGGGCTGGTGTTGGCGATGGAGCTGCTTGTGCTGGCCCTATCGTTGCGACGTGCAGCATAAGTAGGCTAGGGTGATGACGACCTTGGAGGGAGTACGGCCGGCGATTCAGATCTCGCACCGTCATTGTTGGCCCGAGACAAGCGTGATGTGGCATAGGACACGATGCACTTTGCCTTAATGCCGACGCACTGTGTACACAGCTTCTGCTCATCGCACTTGATGCGATGTAGGCGGCAGCGGTCACATGCTCTAGCGGCCTTTTTTCTCTTAGCCAGGGGACGGACTGTGTGTTCGAGGCTAGGCCTAGAGTTTGTGTCGCTAGTCTTGTTTCTGGCCGAGCCGATCTTGAGCCTTGATTTTGGCTGTCTGCCTTTGCAGGTGCGGCAGAGAATCTGTGAAACATAGAGGAAGTTGGGAGATATTAAGTTAGAGGGCCCTGCAGGTATGCCATGGGTGTTAGCTTTAAGATAAGCGCCCGTCCGCCACAGCTTCGGTCCGTTTGTGCATCCATGGATGTTAACCCCGTCGATCTCGGCCAATGAACCCTTTCAGCAGCAAATTGTGGGGTCGGGTTTTTATTCCCAGCAAAGATTTGGCCATCTACGGATTTTCCAACTTAGTAGAGGTAATTAAACAAGCACTTCTAGCGATCTAGATATTATATATCAAGCCCTCGTTATGCGGGAATTGTACCTTTCGGCTCATTCTACGGGTTGCGACTGATTATCCTAACAAGGCATCAAAAAAATATATCAAAAAAATATCGTAGTAGAATTGTGGTAGAATCGTAATCATATCGTCTGTAATATCATTATAAATCAATTCGATATTCAGATTGCAAGCTATATCATTGAGTATGTATAGAATATAAGCGACCGATTATTCCACTTCTGTGTCAATCACGCATTCGCTCCAAACACCTGCAGCCTCTACTCCAAGGGAAGCTTCTGTAGTTTCTCCCCCAGCGTGCTACCGTCTTTGGGGACGCCAAACACCATCTGTGCCTTTAGCTTCCAGTCTGATGGGACGCTCCACGCCTTCTGCGCCTCGGAGTCGATGATGGGGTTGTAGTGCTGCAGGTTGACACCCAGTCCGAGGGCATCAAAGGCGGTCCACAGGTAATACTGGTGTATACCATTGCTCTGCTGCACCCACTCGTCTGTCTTGTCCTTGTATATGTCCGGAGCGTGCTCCTTCATCGCGGCCGCGCACGACTGGTCGTCCCAGAACAGGATGGTCCCGTAGGCGTTGGCAAAGTTGACGATGCGGTCCCTGGTGCCCTCATTCCAGCGCTTCTCGCCAATCCTCGCCAGCAGCGCATCGGCGGTGATGGACCAGAGCTTTCTGTGGTCGTCTCCAAACAAAACTGTCAGCCGGGCCGACTGGTTATCAAAGGCCGATGGGACGGTCAACATGGCGGCCTCGGCCAGCCCGACAATAGTGCTGTCGGGGACCGTCGTCTTTGATTCAAGAGCTCGGATAGTGCGGCTTTTCTGGGCTGCTTCACTGAAGCTCATTGTGACGATTGGAGTTGCCATTGCTATAGTTGCGAGGCTGGATGATGTTGATGGATGCTTTGGTAAAGCTTGAAGAGTTGAGTGAAAGACGACAGAGGTCATGACATGAGCTAACTTTGTACTTACGGCATGAGAGGGTGAAATAAACGAATTCTATAAACATTATGTCAATTTGTCATCGGAATTAAGATTGGTAATGGGAGGTTGATTTGTCTAGCCCTGTATATAGTGTCCCGGAACTAAGCCAAGAAATTACCGGATTCGTGCATCCGCCCCATATCAGCACCGGAAGAAAAGGCAGAATTACCAGATACAGTGATTATGTTTTCCCGGAAGGCTTATAGTATAGATTGGAAATCCAATTAAAGCTTTCGATTAGAAATGATTCTAGCGGGCTGCTTTATAGTTTATGTCAAGACGGACTGTCACGCTCTTTCACCAGTACGAGCAATGAATTTTATCAGGCACAACTTCCTAATGTCTACCTCAGGACCCATGGTAGGGTCGGACGAGGAACTATTCTTTGACAAGGATGGCCACCTCGATTTTTCACCAAATGACCCTGAAAACCCAAAAAACTACCCGTTCGTACGGAAGTGCTATATCACCACCGTCGCTATCTCCCTCGTTATGAATGCCACTTTCTCCTCCTCTGCACCATCCGGAGCTTTTCGGGGTATTAGCAATGACCTCCATGTCTCTACCGAGGCTGCTGGACTCGTTACAACCCTCTTCCTCCTTGGCTACTGCGCCGGTCCGCTATTTTGGGCGCCTTTATCCGAGTTCTACGGCCGTCGCTGGATCTTCTACATCTCATTCACCATTTACTTTGCCTTTGCCTTTGGGTTTCTCTGGGCTTCTACGCCTAATTTTGCCGGGCTCTTGGTCGGCCGTTTCCTGACTGGCACAGCCGTCAGTGCCGCCCTAACGAATGCACCCGGGATCCTCGCGGACATATGGGGACCCGTCGTGCGTGGCAACGCCATGATCCTATTTGCGACGATGACATTTGTAGGACCTGCTCTTGAGCCAGTAGTCAGTGGATTCATTCAACTGAAGGAGACATGGCGTTGGACCTTCTATGTCCTACTCTAAATGGCAGGTGCCACCGAGCTCCTGCTCATCACTCTACTGGAGACCCTTCCAATGATGGCTCTGCGCAACAAGGCTCGTCGCCTCCGGAAGATACCCGGCAAGGAGAACGTCAAGGCTCCAGTCGAGACATTAGATCGTTCCCTGGGAGGCATTTTCACAGTAGCCTTGACGAGGCCTTGGAGACTTCTCATTGACCCGATCAGCTTCTCCGTCGCCATTTACTTTGCCGTTGTCTATAATCTGTTGTATATGCTGTTTAGCATCTACCCTATTGTCTTCCAGCAAAAGCGCGGTTGGAACACCGGCGTCGGCGAGCTGCCATTGATCGGCACAGTCATCGGAGCGTGTCTCGGCGGCCTGGCGATGTTTATCAACAGCCAAATATACCAAAGGAAGCTCACCAAAAGCTACAAATCAGTTCCAGAAGATCGCCTTCCCGGCGCCATGGTTGGCGGGGTTATGTTCGCAGTGACGATATTTTGGTTCGCTTGGACGGCGGAATACAACTCAGTTCACTGGGCCGTGCCAACTGTGGCAGGAACTTTCCTCGCAACGTCAATCCTCCTCATCTTTGTCGTCTCCATTAACTATATCATCGACTCGTACCTGATGTATGCCGCATCCGCCGTCGCAGCAAATACCGTCCTGCGGTCCGTCTGTGCCGCGGCATCCCCACTATTCACGCAGTACATGTTCGACGCGCTCGGTGTGGGTGGGGCTGGATCGCTCATCGGAGCATTGGCGGTGCTGTTGATGCTCATACCTTTTGTTTTCTATAAATACGGGGCGAATATCCGAGCGCGGTCCAATTTTGCGTCGATAGACCAGACGCCACTCCCCCCTGCAGATGGGGAGAAGGCCGTTAATGGCAGATCACCAAGTCAGACGTCTGAAAAGGTGAATAACGGTTGATAAGAATACTGGGCGAACGAACGAGTGAATTGAAGTCTAAGCATATGCCGCAACGGCAAAGTCCCATAATTAAGACAGTAGGCTTAACTAGGTCCTCATAATAGCTTGTAGTAGGTACATAGTATCTATTAAGCGTTATAGGTGGATGTACTATATACGCTACCTACTCACTTAGAGGAGGTATTCTTACATGTAAAATCCCTACTATAATCTCACGCTGAATATATCAGATTAATAAAGTATTATGTCGCCGGTGACAAAGGTCGTATGGGAAGTCACCTATTCCCGTTCAACTCCAAAAGAAAAAGGGATATCTCAAAAGTTAGGAATAAAACCTGTTAGAGCAGTACACATAGTTTCGGTCTCGCTCCCGCTTCAATCTCGGTCTCGTTCCCGCTTTCGCTCTCGGTGCTACTATTAATGTGCTCTCTCGTTGCGTATTCAATTTCGCTCTCGCTCTCGCTTCTGACCCCGCCAGGGTTCCTGCAGCTGAAAGCCCCAGAACTCAGTAAAGTTCTCCACCATGCAAAGCTATGGCATTATATTCCGCTTTGAGCATGATCGACCTGGGAAAACTTCCCTACAAGCTGCCCCGGCTTGATCCACAGTGGTTCCTGCAGATGATATCGCGTGGAGCATGGGTCTTCCTCTAGTTACTGTCGGAGTTATTGTTGACATCCCATCCGAGTCTTCCGTTAACCCTTTCTGTCTCGATCTGAAACCCCTACCGCCGATCTCAGTCTTGCGCCTGGGATGTCAGCAATATGAGCCACAAAACAAGGAAAAGAATGACTAGTTTCTGCTCAGCCAGGCAATTCTAATGCCCGAGCTCAAAGCAGGCGTCCATTCATCGGACCCCCAAATTACCGGCAGGGCAGCTATAAAAGACATGTCCCTCTACTTGGAAATAGATTTATCATCCTTCATTTAGATCCAGACTCCCAATCCAAGATATAACCGAAGCTCTACTATTCTACAGAATGAAGTTCACCAATCTTGCCCTCACCGGTGCCGCTATGGGTCTTGCCAACGCCGGCCCTGTCTCGACGCGTGCTATTAGCGACGGTATGTCACTTCCCAACCAATGCATGACTTGTCTAATGTGCTTCTTCTTTAGCCGACGTGCTCAACTATGCGCTTACCCTTGAGCATCTCGAGGCCACTTTCTACGAGGAGGGTCTCAAGAACTACACCCAGAAGGACTTCATCAAGGCCGGCATGAAGGACCCTTTCTATGCCAACCTGAAGGAGGTTGCTTCCGATGAGAAGCAGCACGTTGATTTCTTGACCTCCGCACTCAAGGGTATGTTCCTGTCATTTAGACCGCGAAAGAAAGACCAGTATACTAACATTTTCTAGCTGCCGGCGCCTCTCCTGTTGCCCGCTGCACCTACAACTTCCCATCCACCGACGTCAACAGCTTCCTAGCCCTTGCCAGTGTTCTTGAGGGTAAGAATATATCCAATCACACTAAGAATCACCACTAATAACCTCCCCAGGCGTCGGAGTCAGCGCCTACCTCGGAGCCGCAGCCTCCATCATGAGCGACACCTACTTGACAGCCGCTGGCAGCATCCTCACCACCGAGGCCCGACACAGCGCATACCTGCGCGCCGCGCTCGGTGAAGTCCCCTTCGCCCAGGCCTTCGACAACCCCCTCGACTTCAATGAGGTGTACACCGTCGCCTCCCCCTTCATTGTCTCGTGTCCCTCCAGCAACGGAGCGCTTCCCGTGAAGGCCTTCCCCTCGCTCATGATGAGCTCGATGAACGCCGTCATGACAGGCTCGCAAGTGCACCTGATGGCTGGCAGCGGCTTCAACGCGAGTGCTAGTGACGTGAATGCCGCCTTCATCACCGTCACCGGTCCAGTCTGGGCTCCTCTCAAGTCCATGGGTAATGGAAAGTTCACCGTCACTGTTCCCAAGGGTGTTGCCGGACAGAGCTATGTCGTCCTCACTCAGGGCAACAAGCAGGCCACTGATGACAATATTCTTGCTGGTCCTGCTATCGTCGAGGTAAATTAGATTACCTTCTGCGTTTGACTTTTTTTGTTCGGTCATTCCTCGTCCCTTGTTTGCAGGGCTGATGTTGCTTGTATTGATAGGTTGGAAAGAAGACTGCAATGGGTACCCCAAGTGGTATGGCTGCTATGGGTATGGGTGGCAAGACTATGCCTACTCCTTCGAAGTCTATGAGTGGCTCCTGGGGTAGCTCTTCCGCTACCGCTTCTGCTTCTGCTTCTGCTTCTCCTATTTTCACTGGTGCTGCCCAGAAAATGTCCGGTAGCATTGCTGGTGTTGTTGTTGGTATCTTTGCTGTTGTGGGTCTTATTTGAGTACGGTGCACTTGAAATTCTTCCTAACTCATTTGGACGGGGATGTTGATGTTGATTTTATGTTCAGTTCTAATAATAATAGTATCTTGTGCAATGACATCTGAGCCTTCAGATGTATTCCAAGATTATTCCAATAAGGATATACACTATGCCCATAATATAATGCTCTGCCGATTTTGGCCATTGTGACCGAGAATACCGTACACATCATATGAAAGGCGATATCCAACCCGCCACAAACTTCCAAAACTGGTGTAGAACCCGAGTCACATGATACGGGGGAACATGTCTACCTCGGATAATTTCCTCCTCGCATTTATTCACAGGCATCTTCATGATTGGTCTCCGCACCATGTCAATTAAATTTGAACATGCCCCCTCTACGCGCGCACACAAAATCCCGCAACGGGTGCGATCAATGCAGAAACAGGCGGGTCAAATGTGACGAGCAGGGTCCACCATGCTCGAATTGCACAACCCGCGAGTTAAAATGCACATATTTGAAAGTCGCCGCTGCCCGTCGCGCTACAGCCCATCTTACCCCACCCAGTTCAACATCCGACGTACCTCGGCCTCTAGATGGCCACGGCTCGCCCACAGCGGTGCCTGGTCGAGCCGTTCCCACAGCAATACCAGTCCCGGCACCAGCCCAGACAAACTCATTCGGAATCGACAACCTAGAACTAATGCACAAGTTCGCAACAGAGACGTACGAAAGCCTCTGTATCAGCGACTCGGAAATAAAAATCTGGCAAATAACCATCCCAACACTCGCGTTCAAACATGGATATCTGATGAGCGGGATCTTGGCGCTAGCCTCAATGCACATCGCAACAACATGCGAACCACCAGAATTAGCACTCCTGTACTACGAGACAGGACTGCAGTACTACAACCGTAGTTTGACTCCATTCCGCAACGCGATCGATAATATCACGCCGCAGAACTGCGACGCGGTATTCGCGCACTCGATCGTCATGATCGCGATCAGCATTGCGTCACCCCGACTAACCGTCACGAAAGACGAGTGCGCCAGTATCACAGAAAACATTGTGATACTGTTCGAGCTGCTGCAGGGCGTGAAGAAGATCATTCAAGTCACCAAGTCGTGGATTAAGCTAGAGTTATTCTCGCAGGGCGAATTTTGGAAAAACACGCCTGCTGAACTTGACACCGATGCAGAAGCTGCGCTGACACATCTATCGGAATTGAATGATCAAGTTATGATTGGAATTTACTCGGGGCAGCATCTTATTAATAAGAAAGTTATTGCGCATTTGAGGCATTGTTATGCCAAGTTTGCGCGCTCGGCGGATCCGGCGCCGGTTCTCGCTTGGCTTGCGGCTGTTGAGAAAGAATTTGTTGATAGTCTCCGGTGTCGGCAGCCATTTTCGTTGCTGATTCTTATGTATTGGGGGGTGTTGCTGAGGGAGCTTGATGGGCAGCGATGGTGGGCGCGGGATTCAGGTAGAGCGCTGGTTTCGGAGTTGTTTGATGCTCTAAGGTGTGTGGATGCGAGGTGGGAGAGAGCTCTTGCTTGGGTGCAGCGGAAGATGGAGCTTTGAGTATTGGAGTGGTGACTGCGTCATCCAAACATCATGGCCGGGTCAGTCGGGTCACTTGAGACTAACACATTGTACATATAGCATTTTTTGAAGCGATTTACATTCATATAAAAACACGATTTCTATCTTTTTGAGACTGAGAATTGCCGCCAACGAACATGAACGTCAGCGGCGGTGATCTTGACCAAGGGACAACCTTCGTGAAGTAGATGGATGCCATATATTTCCGCTTTCGGTATGTTTTAAACTCTATTGGCATAACTATCGGTAAGTATTTACTAACCCCCGCAGCTCGTCCTACCTGAGGTTACTATCCCTTCTGTGCTTACTTAACTTGTGGGTCTCCCCAATTACACTCTTCCAGTCTAAATCAACAATCATACAATGGCCGAGAATCCAATTTGCACAGTCGAGGAGTTCACCAGCACCACGTTCGACTATGTGATCTGCGGCGGCGGAACTGCAGGACTCGCTCTCGCAGCGCGCCTCAGCGAAAACCCGGATGTAACCGTCGGTGTCATTGAGGCGGGCAAGTATCGCATTGGAGATCCAATAGTTGATACTCCTGCGGCCTTCCCGCAGATGTTCGAGAATCCCGAGTATGATTGGTGCATGTATACGGTGCCGCAGGTAGGTACTCCCATTGCATACTTCTGCTTCAGGTCGCTAATTCATTTCCTGGGGGGTATAGGAAGGCAATCGTGGCGTGTCTCAACATATGCCGCGGGGAAAGCTCCTCGGTGGATCCAGCGGCATGAATTATATGATCTACGTGCGAGGATCGACACAAGACTACGACGACTGGGCGGAGCTGGTAGGGGATGATGGATGGTCCGCGAAGCATATGCAGCAGTATATGCGAAAACATCAGGTACGATCTCAGCATTTAGACTTTCCAATCTAATTCTTTCCAATGGAAAGACCAACAAAATGAACAGACCCTCGAGCCAATCGACCCATCAATCACCGGTCGGTCCACAATGCCACTTGTAGGCGAGTTCCACGGCACGAGCGGGCCCATTCGCACCAGCTTCAATGATTCAATCCTGCCGGTGGAGAACGACATCATTAAAGCCTGCGAGGATGTAACCGGCATATCAAGCAAGCCCACTGACGCATGGAGTGGTGACCACATCGGCTTCTACCACACCCTCGGTGCAGTCGATCGAACCGGCCCGAATAAAGGCAAGCGCAGTTACTCCGCACGAGGATACTATGAAGCCATCCGCACCGCTCGGCCAAACCTCAAAATCGTCTGCTCGGCCCTCGTCAATCGCGTCGTACTAGACGGCAACAAAGCTACCGGCGTAAGCTTCACACACGATGGAGTCGAGTACCAGGTCTCCACGCGACGTGAAGTAATCGTCAGCGGTGGGACATTGCAAAGCCCCCAGATCCTTGAGCTATCGGGGATCGGTGACCCAGAGATTCTCAAAGCCGCCGGCGTTGAGTGCAAGGTCGCTAACAAAGGGGTCGGTGCAAACGTCCTAGACCACCCCCTCACGTTTTCTGTAATGGATGTCCAGCCCGGAATAGTCACACGGGATACCTTGTATCAAGTGCCCGAGGCAATGGAAGCTGCTAGTAAGCAGTATGTCGAAGCCAATGGCGGGCCACTTAGCTCTGTCAGCACCATGCAGGGCTTTTTCCCGGCAAAGAGAATACTCTCAGAGACGGAGCTGGGAGAGATCATCCAGAGTATTCGCGATATCAAACCGACCAGCGCATTCCACGCGAAACAACTTGCACAGACTATTGCACACCTCGAGAGCGACCACTCTGCCAATATGAAGGCTCTTACCGTGCCAGCCTCCATGAACCCGCATGCGATGGATCACCAGAGCAAGCTGCTTACACCGCGTTCGGCTGATCAACCAGCTGGTTTGACCATGGCGTTTTCTCTGCAGTACCCCATATCTAGAGGGACTATCCATATTGGGAGTGCAGGTGAGTGACAGAACACGACTCCCCTGAGTACCCAATCATCTCATATACTAATGCTTCCAGACCCAACCAAACCCCCTATCATCGACCCCAAATACGGCGGCCACCCAGCAGACGTCTCCCTCCTGGCGGCCTTACTGCGCTGGGCTGATAAAGTCACAAAATCAAAGCACGTGGAGTCCTCGTTCCTGCGGCGCGCTTATCCGGACCTTAGTATGAACTTGCAGGACATGGATACGGCCCGAGAAGCAGTGTATGACCTCGTTTTAGGCGAGTACCACATCAACGGGTCCGTTGCTATGGGTGATGCGTTGGACAGCAGATTGAGGGTGAAGGGCGTGGAGGGACTTCGTGTTGCGGATGCGTCCGTGTTCGCGAATAATGTTTCGGGGAATATTGTTAGCACTGTGTATGCTGTTGCGGAGAAGGCGGCGGATTTGATTCTCGAGGATTGGGCTAGGAAGGAGACTATGACGTAGGGTTCGTTTCACTTGATGGTATCCCTCCAAACCCTAACTATAGCACACTAAATTACTTAGTCCCAAACATGGAAATTGCATTATCTTTGAACTCTTCTCATAACCTCACAGCTTTGTAACAGCTATGCGGGAGGATAATCTCTTTTGATCACTCCATCTCTTCGAATTTAGACTACCATTTACCCAATTAATGCCAGCATAGCGGCTATATTAGACTAAGTGGATCTATATATTCTAGACCTTGAATTAGGTCTCGACCCATTTTAATTGGGGCGATATCGGGAAGGATATTATTTCAAGATACCCGATACAGGCATATGGTATAGATGCATGCAATGTTGGGCTGAATTTTGTACATTTTACCTGTCAGCTCTACTAATTCGGGGGATATTCGGATAATATCAAGATGAAGTCTAAAGCTTGATGCCGTGCCTATTTTTGCATTGACCATTCACCTTCGCCGTATGAGAGTAAGGCAAAGAGGGTTGAAACTCGGGCCTCCGGAATCCAACGTTGTAAATATCAATGAAGAGCATATATTGTGTCGAATTCAGGCACTTTCTGTTAATAGAGATCTGACCAATTGATATATGAATGATACAGGTATTCTGTAATAATATCCAAGATCAAAACTAAAAACCCACGCTATTTCGTATACTTAGTCACCTGATCCTCTCATCAAATCGTGGGAACACGTGCAACAGAGCTGTATGCGCTAGTCCCAGGACGGAACAGAACATTGGGGGGGGCGAGATCTTGACTTTTGAAGCCTCTCGCTTCTTTTAACTTGCTTTTTCCTTCGCCAGTCTCTGTACCTGACTGAGTTTGGATTTTTCTTCCAATAATTCTCTTCTTCCGACCTCTCCCAACAACCTCCCCTCTTCACATCCGACAATGTCTAGCCAACCTCTCCTCCAAACCGCTCCGGGTAAGTCCGACAACACCTCCAATCTCAGCAGCTCAGCAGCTCCGCATGAGAGACAATTCCACCTAGACACACTCCCGTCACCGCCATTCTTCCTGGCGCACAATTGTTTTGCTTCTCTTGGGCTGTGGAGGCCGACTCACACCACGATAACCTCCACACTCAAGAGAAGCAGAACAATTGCACCATCCTAACCCACACCACAACCACCTTTCAACCCTCCAATCTCCACCCGAACCCAGCTAACACCCACCAGGCAAGCGGATCGCCCTCCCAACCCGAGTTGAGCCCAAAGTCTTTTTCGCAAACGAGCGTACCTTCCTCTCATGGCTGAACTTCACCGTCATCCTGGGCGGCCTAGCCGTCGGTCTGCTCAACTTCGGCGATCGCATCGGTCGCATCTCCGCAGCTCTCTTCACCGTCATCGCCATGGGCGCAATGATCTACGCCCTCGTGACATTCCACTGGCGTGCGCAGAGTATCCGTCGGCGCGGGCAGAGCGGTATCGATGATCGATTCGGTCCCACAATCCTCGCCATTGCCCTGCTCGCCGCTATCGTTGTTAACTTCATCTTGCGGATTAAGGATGGGGAGATGAACTAGGCCCAGCCTGGATAGTGGATACTATTGCTTTTCTTGTGGGGATGGCGATGTTGGATTGGAGATTTGATTTCTCCGTCTCGCCATCTGAATGCTATACCATTGATCACGTTGGCCCATTCTTGTTCGTTCACTGTTTATTTCGACAACCATATCTGTTTTATGTATTCACTTGGCGTGTGTTGGCCTGCTTTACGCTTATGAGGCCAGAATGCCTTTCGCGTCCATATGCTCGAGTCGAGCGTCTATCTTCTTTTATTGCACTGGCGTTTGGGGATTGTGCTTGTCTAACAAGCGAAAAAGAATGAACGATTGAACTAGAATTGAATATATCGTGGCATTCTATATGTACACACTGTCAATCTCACGAGAAATTGTCTATCCCTAGATACGCTCAGCAAAGTTTCACAATGATTCAGATTAACCTTTGGCAGTAAACCTGTTATCACTGGAGAACTTTGTGCCCAGAATGTAATACCACGGAGCGCAAGAACATTGATAGTTATTACCAGCCTCTCGAGACCACTCATCAACAAACATAGGAACCTCCCATCCCCTTCCATCCCTCGCATCAGCACAAATTCGCCCAGCATTTGCACACTGAAAGTAATACTAATCCCGTGAAAGTCCCCGCTCGAGAATAAACCTAACCAGCATTCGAGCTAGCCAACTAGGTTTATACCGTAGTTAGGGATCGATAAGGCTGTTGTTGGTTGTTTGTGCAAGGCGCTAAGGGGTGTTAATGCTGGGAGTGTGTTGGAGTGACTCGAGGAGTAGACAATTGACGATAACAGATTCGCTGTATGGTCCGCAAAAGCAGGGGCTACTATTTTGATTGCAACGTTAAATATGATTTTCACATGCCTTATCTGTATACATATCTTGAATAGTATCTAGGTGGTCCGTAAATTAACGTCGATAGATTACAACACGAACAGCCGAGTTTCAAACCGGTACATAAGTCCAAGTGATCTGCAGGCTAGGATTAGAATTCGGGGTCTGAAGTTGATCGCATCCACATAATGCGGAGTGCATGAATGAAATATTGGAGATTCGAATGTGCTTAGTATATGAAGTATATATTATACTCTGCAGCGAGTTATCTCGGAAATGTTAGAGAGAGGGATCGTACTGTTGTCTGTGCTAGGAACCAATACGATATATATATTATGCAAGGTTGACCAAGTACATTTCTACGATAGTCAGGATGGTGACGGAAAGTATACTCCGTACAGTAAATGAGCGAAAGGTATGAGTGGATGCAGATTAAAAGTCAGGAAGAGATACGGATACGAGTTAGGGTTATGTACTATGATCGTGGAATATCTTGATAAGAGTCCGATCTTGATATGCCTTAAAATGGCTAGAGTATACCCCGGATGTCAGCAAATGACGCTATAAATAGGGGCAATATATCTCGTAGAATAATGGCTCCGATGGTTGTATATAGAGTTCCCTAGAATTGCCCCTATTCTCCCTTGTTCCCTTCGGTTCGACAATCTTCCACCACTTTCCATTTGCTTTCTCAGCCACATCTGACCTATGCAATATGAGTTGTACTTTTGTGTTTCGCACATGCAATTGAGGCGCAGTCAGAACCTGTTTATAGCCGGTTCGCCCCCGGCCAAATTTATAGATGTAGGATCTGATTTGCTAGGGATCTTCCAGATCGTAGATACAGCTAGCTTAGGCAGGAATAGGGCAAGGCCCAGACCCGTTATAGGCTTGGCATGCAAGAGGATCGGTCAGAGTGCTTTATATTGGGTACCAGCATAGTCCGAATGTGAAAAGGTTATGGGTTATGGATGAATACAGTAACTGTGAATAGGTAGTAGGTGAATAGGACGACATGAATGCCTTGAATCATTCATAATAGAATAGATACTCCGTATACCCCGTATTGTACTCCGTAAATAAATAAATAATTCAGGTAAATAGTGTATGACGTGTCGCAGATATTTGAGACTGATCCAATGGGATTATCCAATGGTACATGGCCCGACCATACAATTTGTATGGGAACAACAAGTATCGCATCATCCACTCCACCCCGTTCTCCTCTCAGGCACCTCTCCCCCATTCCCATTCCCATTATTCTCTCTTATTCTGTCTCTCTCGCAATCCCCCTTTCTTCCCCTTTCCCTTTCCTTTCCAATTGTTCCTCTGTCCACTATTCTTTCTCCCATTCTCATTCTCCCCCCCTTCTCTTTATTGTACTCTCCTCCCTCTTATTAATAGATTTTTTTTTCTGCCTTCCGTAATCAACATCCGGTCGCGCAATCGACGTCCATTCCTTTCCCGTAATAAACTTGGAACGCATGGACCATCTGCCACCTAATCCAAAACCATCTCTATGCAGTCACATGGCATGTTTCGCTTGCTTCCCTGGCCCTCTACTATAGGAGGGAATAAGGTGATGGATGATGTCAAAATGCTGCCAAACTGTGGTATCAACGCTCTGTCGCTGCCCCAGCTCAAACGCAAACGTTCAGACTCCGAGTCCGACGCGACCGATGCGCCCGATGCGCCCGCTAGGACGAAAGTCTGCGCCGACTCCATTTCTACGCGCCCAACTCCGACCGTGATCGCTGACTCGATCACTCCGACCCCTTCTACTCCAACCCCATCGTCAGACTCACCGGTCGCATCCGCGCGTCCGCCGGCGCAGGACGCCGTCGTCGCCAGACCTAGTGTGACCCGACTTCGGGAAACCATCACCGCCCAGCTGAGCTTGGAGGTGTTACTCAAGCACAACGAGCTTCGTCTTATTGACCAGGAGATCGCCAAGTGCCAAGTCGCTCTGGAACAGCTGCGACGCTGTGGCGAAATCCCGTATCCCGGATCCCATGTTGCCGGTGTCTCGCCAGATGTGAGCTCGGGAACGGGCGCGTCAGTGCTGGCACCTGGAAATGGTCCCGCGCCGATGTCGCCTGCTCCATGGGGAGTAACCGAAGGTCCCTACGCCCGCCACTACGCCCGGTGGTTGCTTCCCGACCCTCGCTTTGACGGTGGTGAAGTCGGCTCTGGGATGCGAGCCAATTCGCTGGTTGAGGGTCGGTCGACGCGCGGGAATCCCGGTGAGATGGGCATGCTGGCCGGAAAGACCCGTCCCCAGCGAGGCTCAACTGCCACCAAGCATACCGCACTGTCGGCTGGTTACCCTGTGGTCAAGGAGAAGTCGGGACCCATGCTCATCCGGCGCAAGTCGGATGGTGTCCTGGTCAAGCTGGTCTGTCTGGACTGCCGGCGCGATAACTTCTCCAGCACTCAGGGATTCATTAATCACTGCCGCATCGCGCACAACCGCAACTTTGCCAGCCACGACGCTGCTGCCATGGCTTGCGGTCAATCTGTTCAGGTGGACGACGCCGGGATTGTTGTCGGTGGCTCTGCTGAGCCCACTGCCAATCCAACAATTCCGGGCTACGTGCATCCTCTCATCCGCTCTACCCACGTTGCTACAACCCCCTGGAAATCTCTTCGTACACCCGCTAAGGACTTTGTCACCCCCCGCAAACCGGCTACGGCTACCACGTCTGCTGTTACCACTCCTCCCGCAACTGCTGAACCGACCAATCGCCGACGCTCCGAGCCCATCCAACAGCCTCCAAACCCACAGTTTTTGGCTTCTCCTGCAACTCCTCATCTGTCCGCTCTCATGAAATCACGTGGTGCTGGTCTAAACATGGACAAGTTGGTGGAAGAATCCCGAAAGCCTGTAGATCTCGGTGGTCTTTTCGACGATGACTCGGAAACGGATGACTATCGAGGAGTGTCGGCGGGAACCAGCCGTCCCTCCCTTGGTGCTCGCACCGGTCGCCAGCTGATGCGTATTCCTGTTGGTCAAACTGCTGGAGAGTCAGAGAGCCGAAAGGCACTCGACCGCGCGCACACCCCGCCCATCGAGCATGCGACCCCCTCGCGCCCACAGTCCTTCCTGGACATCTCGCTCGCTGGCAAATCCCAATCTCTGCAGTCTCGGGAATCGGACATGGATCACCAAACTCTGAGCCCCAACGCCATCGAAGCTAACCAGGCCCCCAGCTTGGTCAGTGATGATGAGGATGATTACGAGGCAGCTTCCGACTCCGACAGTCCTGCGTCATCCGAAGCAGATGAGGAGGACCAGGAGTTCCGCCACATCCATGTCGAGGACGACGAGCGCGCCGCTGCCCCATCGGCTGCCGCCGAAGCCAAGCCGGGACCTTCCCTCGCGAGTCCTGCGCCGCAAACCGGGCCACCTTTGTCCCAGCCCTTGAAGCGCAGTCGCTCTAAGAAGATCTCATCTATTGTGCCGTTCAGCGATAACGACGATCAGCATGTGGGCTATCTCAATTCTTCCGCGGACAATGCCAAGACCAAGTGTGCTGCCGAGCGCAAGCCTAATCCGTCCAAGCGGTAATGACGGGGTTCACTATTTGTTCTATGAAAAAACTTGAAAAAAACCGGGGTAGAATGCCCTGCTATGATCTCACGCGCCCTGATCCAGTCTGTACTGCCACTTTTCACACAGTGCCGTTACCATTCCGACCTCTCTCATCTCCTCTCTTCTTCGCTTCTCCCTACGGGAGACATTACGTATCTTCATGTCCCCTGACTATCTATCCACCATCCACCATTACTTATTTCTCCCTACCCCTCTGCGTCATGTCGAAACACAATTCACTGGAAAAACCGGTCATCTTTGACGATGACCCGTAATGCATGGATTGCATGATCTGATGAATTTCTTCTGTCTTACCCCTACCCCACTTTTATTTCTTGTGATGCATGCGTCTCTCCTGTATCCCATATCTGCTTTTAATCAAGACGTGACGGCCGTGACTGTGTACATAGCAATGAGACTGAGAAAAAATGCGACTGGTTTGGCATAGATGCGGTTCTGAACTTAGACTATACTCCGTAGTGAATACTGTAACCAGCAAGCGGTCTTGAGTCAGGTCCTGTGTAATAACTATACAAAATGGTCAACTAAATTCCTGTATTCAGTTATGTAGACCCTAGTTATTGCCGGGCTCTTCTACTTCCGAATCGGCTTCAGGTGGTGTGTCATGAAGGTGATATTGATCATGAAGATTATATTAGAATCTTTGCCGGGCTTCCTTTGCTATGTCGTTGCCTAGGAAGTGTAGCAGCCATAGTTTGCATACGATATACGTCTGGAATAGGTAGTTCATGGTAGTCTCGCGTAGGTTGTCTATAGTATAGCAAGTTAGGCAGATTAAATCGAAGATATTGATGAACTACTGGTCGTAAATCAATATAGAGTCACGAGGATTATAATTTGGGCTTCATCATACCAATCTATGGAATATGAATGACGAATCATGATGACCGAGGTAGAGATAGGTATGTCGATCAGCAGTGCGTCATGTCGACTATATAACATCCTCCGAGTGTCCAGTGCAGATGTCTCTTTATTCATTTGTCATTCTTATAGGTTCCTCCCGCCGTTGCTTTAATGAAGAGATACTGGCGGTTGGGAAAAGGGAAGGTGCTTGTACCCCGTAAAAGACTTAGTGTACAGAAGGCGTGAGACGATCGTATCCGTTTGGCTATTTTATCAGAGACATCATATCTGGGATAATGCGTGTTGGATTTCCTCTTGCTTGAGATCCCTCCTGATATTCATCTTGTCTCCAGCTAGGAGTATGGGAAGAAGTGGCAACAGCATGAAAGGCACAATCCTCAATAGTATACAGCTGTCATCACGTAGCTTCTTGCTTTATCCTCTTACTACGCCTCGTGCCAAGCTCGCCAGAATCTATCTTTGATTCCTTTGGTAGCTGGTTATTCACCGAATCAATATCTTTCACAATATTTAGACCAGCCTCGGGTTCTTGGTTGGCATAGTAATCCGAGACAGCGATATTGCGGAGCACATAAGCAGCCCTCTCAATATCGATAAAGGAGACAGATCTTTCTCCAGCGCCATTGTTAAGCCGTGCTCGCAGCTCCTGTGAGGCATTCCACAGATCTCGATACTCATTCATATTGTACTTGACAATCAACTCCCCATTGGGCTTCTTGTGTTTAGAAGGCTTCTGCTCTTTGCAATGTATACCTTCTGGGAAATCCGTCAGACAAAGCCAAAGATACACATCGTCGCTGTAAAAGGGCACTTGTTTCTTAGCATCGCCGAAGACCGTGGCAATAGACAAAATCAAAGATGCAGTAGCTGGGCCGACGCCACGGATAGGCGCAGTAAGAGCGTCCAAACTGGCTTTGGGGAATGCATCATTCGGCGCAATTACAGGGTCTGCATCTGGGAGGGTGGCAAAGGCCGTAGATGTAGACTTGGTGATCGTTGCGACTTGGTTGCTTTTCACCATTCCCATGAGCATGGGACGGGAAACACCATGTTTCCTAGAAATAAGTCAGACAAAGCCAGAACCTGTAGTATGAATACCGCAAATTGTTACTCACGTCTTCCATTCCATGATATCAATTAACTCCTCCTTGAGCAAGTGCGCTCCCTCCGGCGCGCTTTCTTTCTGACCACCCTCACTCGCCCGCTCCGCGATAATCTTCGGCAGAACTTCATAGCGCCACCGGTCAAGCTGGAGGAACTTCTCCCTCTCTTCGATAATACGCTTCTCCTCGGACGGATCGAGCTCCGTCTTTGTGGTCGGCGCTATGCTAACCTTCGTCCCCGCTTTTCGTTTTGGTCCCTTCCCTGCCTTTGACTGCAGCTTCAGCCTCAGCTTGTTGAGGTGCACTCGCTCTACCGTTGATGGGTAGTGGGATAGCAGGTTGTGGAATGTCTCTAGGGTGATATGGCGCGGATGGAATGATTCATGTTGTTTGTTGTCATTCTCTCTGTCATTGTGATGGTCTTGGCTTTTATCAGGCTGGGAACGTGCTGTCCTAGTAATTACTTCCTTCGCCATAGCGAGATTACTGAGGGGAGGCAATTCGTACTGGGCAGACGATAGAACCTTGGAAGGATGTTGAAGCTTGCGTGGAGATCGTATAAGCTGTTATCGAAGCTGATAACGGTATGGGCTGTATTTTACGTGTTTTGTAATTTTGACTGTAAGATACTAGGGATCTCGACAGCCTCGTTGCAGAGCGAAGCGACTGCCCTCTAGCTAGCTTATTCTCCCCTATCCTTGTAATTCAGTACAGCCTTCACAATTAGGCATATTTCCTGGTATGCAAACTGCTAATAAAATCAAGTCCCCTTTATCATATCATGATCATTATTAACTGTTTAATCAACCACTTTATGTCAATTACTTTAGCAACTACTTCAACTACCTAAGCAACTACTTAAGCAACCGCTTGAAAACCGCTCGAGAGACCGCTTTGAGCAACTACTCTAGTAACGGCTTTAATGACTACGGCTCCGCCATGTCAAACCCGAATTAGGCTTAGTTGCTCTTTTACTTCAGCTTGGCACTTTCATCAGTCTGTCACCTTTCTTCAGCTTATCCACTGATATTGCATTTCTCCCAACACCTCACTAGCCTGTTACCTCTTCTTTCCAGTTTGATCAGCCCTTCATTTTCTTGTCCGCATAATACCGTCAGTGAACAAGCCTGCCGAGTCCCCCATGATCCCCGAAAGAATATCGTCTCTTATGGCGCCCTCTCGTCAATTAGCGCTACGGACTTACAAGCAAAGGTCTGTAAGTGTAGCATCCCGCCTTTCTGAGATGTCAGATGAATTGACAATATCCGATATTCTTGGCATGAAATTCGCGGCAATGGAAAGTGAACTTGAGTATATACGATGTGTCCGAGACGGCCTCAACGAAGCAAGAAAGACAGAAAAGATCTCCCACGACACCTTTCAGCAAGAAATACAAACCTTCTTAGAGTCCTTCCGTTCGTCATTATCAACCATTCATGTCCTGAAGGCACAGCGCCCATTGATCATCGAAGACATTGCTGAACAAGTTTCAGCGAAACGTCAGAGGATTGAAGGACCGGTTGACCAAAGCCTGCTCGAGCATGCTTACCGCGACGCTAGAATCTCCCGTGTGCTGGGGGCACGTGCAAAACAGAAAGGTTCCAAGTATGATCAATCTGCGTTCAAGAAGAAGGTCTACGCGTACTACGGTATCAATGAGCATTGTCGCCCTGGCTTTGGGTGGTGTCATGTGTTGGGCACTGTACTTCCCCAAAATAATATCAAAGCTGCTCATCTTGTACCCAAATCTATGACATCCAAGGATGTTTGCCACCTATTCGGAGTCAGCAATGGAGTTCTTGGTGACCGCCGCAATCGTAAGAATATTCTCTTTGTGGCAAAGGAAATGACTGACTCATACAAATTAGGCATCACACTGGCAGAAAATATTGAGCTACTTTTCGACCGAGGTACCATCGCGATTGTACCTATGCCCGGCCCGATGAAAAGTCCAACTCAATGGAGGTGTGTTGTCTTGGACGAATCAAAGAAGGAGGACACCATCGGTTTCTTTGATGGATCTTATATGAGACTAAAGGTTAGTATTGCAAAAGCTAGAGTTGAGTATTATATCAATGATATAATAGGACATTGACAACAAGCCATTGACGTTCGTTTCCGATAACCGTCCTCGCGAACGGTATTTGTACTTCTGCTTCATCATTGCATACCTAAATGCAAAGAGCCGAGGAGTTAGTGACGCCGTGGCAAGGAAGGTTGAAGCCACGCGTTTTTGGCCCTCGGCTGGCGAGTACCTCAATCGGTCGACGCTGGTTACACTAGCCCGTTGTGTTTCCGGATCGGAACTCCCCGAATCCCTTGTTCAAGACAAGACGTTTGACTCCGGCGATACCTCCACTCGTGACGCTGACGCTGGAACTGTGCTTGGAGCTGATGTCTGTGACGCAATTCTTGCCATGAAGAACCTCTAAGTTATTGCTATGCTGCAGCCCGGAGGACAAGCCACGGAGGAGTCAAATTTGCTTTTTTCTTTTCTTTATTTTTACTTTCGCTTTTTCTTTTGTTCAGCAGCGACTATGATTATTGCATTCTTATTGCTATATGAATAGATGTTTCCACTCAGTGTGAAAGGGTACATCTAGAAATCTCGTTTTCACCGTGCAGCCTTTTTGTAGCGAAACGCCCTACTCTTCCTAAGTAGTAGTAATTATTACCTGTTACTAGAAATATTCCCGGATCATAGCTATACCTATACCTATACCTATACTTTCGAATAGTACTTCGCAAAAACGGTTATCTTAAAACTCTCAAGGAGGTTATAGTAGCGACGAAGGAACTCTACTAGTTAGAAGCACCGTTTGGCGGCTCTGCCGTGTCAAATCTCAATTGGGCTTAGTTGCTTTTCTTCAATCCAGCTTGGCAAGCCAACCGACGCCAATCAACCAACACAACAACAACAACAAGGCACGTAAGAAGACCAACAACAGGTTCTAGCCTTATCACATCAGCTATAAAAGCTGTCTCACTCTCTTGTTTCCGACAGCACAACCTAGCAGGCTTCAACGCCTGACTCGCTATCGTGACCGACAGGCGGACACAGTATGAAGCCCATCACATCAGAGCATGAGCCCCAAACGACGCAGTGGGACGAAGGTCAGGTTTACGTTAAAACCTGCCATAACGCCACTCGGAAGGCCCTCGCTCTCCTTCTCTCTCGCAGCAACAAGGAAAATCTGCATATCACTACCACTGAACTAGAATTATCTTCCGGTGATCCCCTAGACTATGGCCCTCGCTTTGTGAATCCATTCGCCTATTATGTGATACGTTAACAACGTTGGGATGAATTCGATATCCACGGCCTGAATATCAAGGATATCCCGGAATTATATCAATACCGGCGGTGGCTTAACGCGTGCCAGGTGGTCAAGGCCTTCCACTATTCTCTGGATAACATCTTTGGTGAGAATATGCCGGCTTATATCCTTGATGAAGAGTAAGTCGCTGAGTTCCTATACTATATAATACCTTTATCTAACTATCCTTACTATATAGCAACAATCTGGGCTCTGTATATGCACCCCAATGGCAATGGAAGCTCGCAGGCTGGACAAACGCGAAGAAAGCGTCTCAGCCCCATATCAACGCCTTCATAGTTGATTCACAGCCTCACCTTATTGATCGCCTTAACTCGGGTGAGGTATCTGTTTCCTATGGCTTGATCGCTAAGCGCCGACTCGAAGATGGATATAACGACCACCGATACATCCCTATCACAGTCTTTTCAGTATCGGATTTTCAAGTCCGTATCCTTCAGATCTGGCATGGCAAGCAGAACCCCAAGGCTCTTCAAATTCGTTCGTCGCGAATCATGGACTTTAAGGACGGTATCCAAAATAACTTAGACGACTGGGTCACCATTCTATGCTGGATTGCCGGAGAGTCAGTCGAAGATACAAGAAACGGGATTGAAGTTGTTCAGCCATTCGGAAATGATGCATAGCGCGTTATGGGACGGGCAATTGTTTTCTTTTACCACTGTGCAGTTTGTTCCAATGGTTTCTGGTTCCTTTTCTTTGGGTCTGAGTTCGTGCGTTACTTGAAGAAAATGTCAGCGAAAAAAATAAAGTACAATATGTGCATGGGAGGGTAGGCTTAGGACGGTATTTATAGTATATGGAACACACAGTAATATTGAAGACAACACTAGAACGAAAGAATGATACTTAGTGCAAGACCTAGAAAACTCAAGCAACCACCCATCCTCAAAACAGAAGCAGATCCCTGTTCTGGACGGGGGATCGAATTAGCCTCTAACCCACTATATTGCTTTATCGGATGTTCCTTGAACTCATTCTCGGCCTCAGAGTCGGAAATTTCCGTTTCGTCCTCAATGTCAGTGCTCCTCGTAGCCGCAGCTCTACTAGAGCTTATAGCAGATGCAGCTGTTGATATTGATGTTGGCACATGTGCTTTAGCATTAGCGCAGTTTTGTTGGCGCATGGATTCGGCGTCCTTTCTCGATGTGTCGTTGGGACAGTTATCATAGCAGCTGAGGTGGTATTAGTGTCAATGTGTTATTTGGATGCGCGAAGGTGGCGTATAGAGTAAGTTTTAGGAATTGTCGAGGTGTTAGATGAGACTTACTCCAGGATATTTGTGCTACTAGTACACTGGCAATTCCAATCGTCCGGTGCGCAGTTTGCTAAGGTAGATTGCATTGGTTGGACGCATTGCTGCAGAATGCTATTTGGTTAGATGGTCAGTATCTGGGCTCAATTTGGAATGCGTATGCAGATCGACCCAACTTACTTGTCTGATACACATGTAGTATTCATCGCATTGTCTGCTAGTGTGGCTGTCGTTGTGGCTGCTGAGGCGAAAGTAGCGGCTGCTAGAATAAATGGGAGGATGGGTTTCAAGTAATGCATCTTGTATAGATTTTATATCAAGATATGATCAGGGTTGGAACACTTCGCTACTTTATGGATGATACATATAGGGGATACATGCAAATAAAATGAAGTCCACTGCTACATTCTATCAAAGACATAACATTCTACTCCTACCACCTTCACCTTCATCTCAGGCATAACCCTATCGAAAACCACAAGGAGATTCCATGTGGAAGTATAGCCCTAGTTTGGCTAGCGATGCAGGAACCATCCACACCATAGTGCTACGCGAAACATTGAAGATCCGCCGTTTTTATTCAAGGCAGGGTTGCTCAATGCATTGCTGTCTAGGGGTGTTACAGGGGGTCTTGGCATATTTCCAGCTTCTCTGATACTAAGTAGGAGCTGACAAGGGAAAATATAAGACTGCGAGGAGTGATTCCTGGCACAATATTACATTCCTAACTGTGACTGGTTGTTCATGTCCATCCCTACAAGTCTGGTGCATTCTTCGGCTAGTGCCTTGGGCCTGGTTAGACTCGCCAATAGGGAGGATTCCAGAATGTGGAGGATCGGCGGGTAGCTGCAGATTAGAAGGTTTGCTTCTTGTTAATTCAGGGCTGTAGGTAGAATTATAAATATCATGGTAGGTAAAAGAGGAAGATTGATGCTTCTATACGATGATGAGCTTCCATAAAATCACAGGATCATGATGCTATGCAAGGTAGTTTCTGAAACTGAGATATAACAAACATTATCAATAATCAATAATTCATTGCAGTAGTTTTACCCAAAAGTGATCTACAAGGTTTACTCTAGATAAGTTTGAGTGATCCTATTTACATGATCTACCGGAGTACAGCCCTTACAGACCCTTAGCCTGCTTGGCCTCGGTTAGAGCCTCCTTGAGCGCCGTCAGGGCATTGTCAATGTCACCACGCTTGGGATCAGTGACACTGACACCCATGTGGCCGAACCGGATGTACTTAGTAGCAATCTCCTTGTGCAGGCCAGCTGCAAAGATGACACCCCGCTTAAGCAGTCCAGGCAGGACATCAGCCGGAACCAGACCCTCAGGCAAGTAAATGGCAGTCATGCCATGAGCCTGGCATTCAGGGCGGGAAGCGACCTGCTTCAGACCAAGCTCGGCAACAGCAGCCTTGACCTTATCCGAGACCTTGGCGTGGATAGCGAAGCGGGCGGGGACATCAACGGTGATCTGGGTGAGGGTGGTGTGGAGGGCGTGGACGAGCTGGGTGGGTGGGGTAGCGAAGTAAGAGGCCTTGTTGTTCTCGTAGTTCTTCATGATAGGGAGCCAGTTGGCGATAGAGGCGTAGTAAGAACTGGGCGGGGTCTTGCGCGACTGGGCGGCCTGGATGGCGCGTCCAGATGTCATGACGATGCTGAGACCGGGTGGGCAGCCGATGGCCTTTTGCGAAGCTGTAAGGACGGCATCGAGATCCCACTCGTCGAAGGCGATCTCCTCCGAGCCGACACTACACACGCCGTCCACGACCACGAGGGTTTCTGGGCTGACGCGGCGCACCAATTGTGCCACGCCCTTAACGTCAGAAAGGACGCCGGTTGAGGTGTCGACGTGTGTGAGGGTGATGACCTTGTACGACTTCTCCTTGAGAGCTTGCTCCACTTCCTCGAGCGAAGAGCGATCGCCGATGGGTGCCTTAAGGTGGGTGACGTTAGCACCATATGTCTCGAGGCACTGGCCGAAGGAGTCGCCGAAGTATCCGGTGTTAAGAACGAGGGCGTTCTCCCCGCGCTCGATCAGGTTGGCGGAGACAAGATCCCAGCCCAGTGTGCCGCTTCCGGCGATGATGAAGGGCTGCGCGGCGGGGTTGGTAGATTGGAAGACCTTGCGGACGAGAGTTAGGGTCTCGCCGAAGACCTTGACGAAGCCGGGGGCGACGTGGCTCTCACTGGGAGAGTTAGTTGGTTGTATATTGTAGCATAGTATATTGTGACTCACGCATAGTGGGACATAGACTGGAGGACGGCATCGTCGAATTCGATGGGTCCTGGGATCAGGAGGGTGTTGTGAGGGGTTTGAATAGACATAGTGGGAGTTGATGAGAGAGGGGCAGGAGAAATGGAGCGATCAATGGGTTTATATTCGATGTCGTCGGGAAATAGTGAATTTCTTTCGGTCGAGAAGGGAGTATTGAGGTCAGGCAATGGGAGACGCTGGTCCAGGTGTCTGGAAATCAGGCTCAAACGCTCCGTAGGCGATCTGGACGCCAGTTTTCCGATTGCGGCGAGCCGCGGGGTAGTTTTTCTTCGCGTGAAAGGGGATTGGAGGAGTTCCCGAGGGTAAGGGGATTTCGGGGATCACCGCCGAGTGGATTGGCCGAGATTCCGAGGAGAATTCGATGATTTGTTGACTCGGACGATAGAACCGAGGACGTGCGAAGTGAGACTTGGGTTATATATGAACTGAGTCTTGTCTCCGAAGATGGCTGTTTTTCTTTCGGGGTTTGACGTCGGAGAAAAGATGGCCGGGCGGATCCTACCGAGTGAGATTTCCAACCGTCTGAGTCTCACGCCGTATGATTTCTTCTATAGAGGGTATTTGGGGATATGGGGCAATATCTGGGGTATTCTGCAGGATGTTTGTCATTTTATATCATCCCGGAGTATATATGCTGTACTCCGTACTGTTCACTCACATATATTGGAGATTGGAGTATCGAATACTACACTCGTTCTCTCGTTGAATGTCTATATAATATCAAATCCAAATGCCGATGTCTGCCCGGCAACTGCTACTCTATTCGATTGTCGAACCCCAATGTAGTATTCTCCTCCGGCGACCTCCACCAAGAGTAAACCCTCGAAGAGAGGTGTAGCATGTGATTGGCCTCATCAAACCGAAAAGCATTTCGGACGAGACGTTCGGTCTGATGAGCCAATGCGAAAGAAAATCAAGATCGAGATGGCTTCATAGAGCAGATAGCGCTAGCCATATTAGGACATAAAATAGGGCTTAGGGCATTGCTTAGTTGCTCTTCCCCGCGAAGCTCCATCAGGCTGAAGCCAACAGGCGTTGTTTCTTTCTGGCTTTGCTCCGATTTCCGATTTCCAATCACCGTGGATGGACCATTGATCTTCATTGACCCCACACGCACCATCCAGGATGACCGCCCGTTTGGTCTTGGTCATTGGTGACCTGTTCATCCCTGACCGAGCTCCTGTAAGCTGTCCTCAGCTCAGCTTCACTGTCTCCGCTAACACGTCGTCTAGGATCTTCCAGCCAAGGTCCGTCTGTCTTTTGCGTCACAATCTACTCCAGCATGCTGATAATGACTCTCGATTCTAGTTTCGCAAACTCCTGACCCCTGGCAAGATCGGCCAGACCCTTTGTCTGGGCAACTTGACTGATCGCGAGACCTATGATTTCCTCCGCGAGGTAGCCCCGGACCTACAGATGGTCAAGGGTGACTACGATGTCGATTCTCCCAACCTCGCTCTCTCTAAGATCGTGACCCATGGCAGTTTACGAATTGGGTTCACCCATGGCCACACCATCGTGCCACCCGCCGACGCCGAGGCACTGCTTATTGCCGCCCGCCAGATGGATGTCGATGTCCTGCTGTGGGGTGGTACCCACCGCTTCGAGGCATTTGAGATGGAGGGTCGGTTCTTTATCAACCCGGGAAGCGCAACGGGTGCTATGAGCTCGGGCTTCTGGCCAGATGACGAGGAACCTACACCGAGTTTCTGCCTCATGGACGTGGGTTGCCCTGCCTGATTTGAAGGATAGTGTACATGCTGACTCCGAATAGATCCAAGGTGATGTCCTTGTGTTGTACGTCTATCAGCTGAAGACCGACGCCAATGGGGTAGAAAATGTCGCTGTTGAGAAGGTCTCCTTCCGCAAGAACCACCCCCCGGCTTCGTGATGCCGTCCTTATAAGTTATGCCTATTGTCCTACTTTTCCCCTCATCCGTGTACATAATTGCCTTGGTGTTCGCCTGATCATACGTTCTTCTCCTTCCTTCTGACTTGTAGCAGATCTCATGCTTTTTCAATTTGATACATGATACCTTGAATTGAGTCATTTCCTCAAAATCTGCTACGATATTGTCATCTATTCTTACGGGCTGAATCCCTCGCTCTGATTTCGTTTTGTGATTCTCTTATGTCTTGCTCGCGCGTCTCTCCTGGTCCATGGAGTTTCTGCTTATCTAGCAAACTTTCAACACATGCAACATGTGCATAGGCATGATAACTCGATGGTCCGAATTTCTGCACCCTTGAACTAGGATTAAACTAACATTCAATGGAGAGGAACAAGATCATGTCAAACACAGGACTCCATAAACACCAATGGTCTATAACTTTTCCACTTAATAATTCTTTTCAAGTTCTATCTAGTCGATGGTGAAGAATTCAGATAATTGAAATATCATGCCGATGTACTTTTGTACAGGCGGTGCCATACAAAGATACTCAATTTCTCCACTTTTCAAAAGGCGAATGTTTGTACTTAGTGTGGAAAATATACAGCGTATTTTACCACTAGACCATAACAGAAACTGAGGACCCTATTTAAGGCCTAGGGCCATATCCTAGTGACATTTAGTGAAGTGAACCCTGTCGAGTGAGGCTGGAAGTATATACCGCCCGGCAGTATGCCGATTTATCGTCGGAAAGGCGCTATTCCCGAAATAGAAAGCCTCTCATTGCCAAACCCCAGAACTTCAATTCTCTGCCGCCTAGAGGTCTTGAACAGAGGGATCTAACTCGTACAAATCACCTGGGCCGTTCCCAAGTTCAAGCAACTCAATACCTTCGTTTTCATATACAAAATTTGAGGCGTAAAGATTATACCGACCCTCGGAGAGCTCTGACTTGCTCCCCTCATCGGTATTACCGGCGCGTTCACCGACCCTTCGAATACCCTCAACTTAACACTTCTCTTTTTTTACCGACAAGATGGCTGCTGAAGGTCAGGAGATTCCAGTGGAGGTCAAGGCGGAGCAGATTCCACACCAGGAAGATGGTGCAGATGACGAGGTAG